GAAGGAAATTGCGTCTCTCACCCATCTCATCCAACTTTTCCATGTCTCTGATGATTTGTCTGGGATCTTTCATCTTCAGCACAGCTGCTCTCACCATCATCCTCTGCTTCTTGTTCTGCAAAAACATAAATAAGGAACATCAGCGACTTAAAAACTCCCCCCTGCCTTGAAGATGATATGTTTAAAACATTGAGTTTTACCTTTTTTAACTCCCTTTTCCTGGCCTCCTTTCCTGTAAAGCGGTAAACACCAAGAATCAGCCACTAATACAGAGACATGTTATTCCAATGTCAGTAAACAGGTCGGCAGGCGGTTTATTTACTGGCTGATACTTACTGGCCTGGTCGGTGGGATTCATAAACTTCCCACTCTTGGTGGAAGAGGTAGAACGCCGCCCCATTTTTACAAGCCGTCTCCTTCACCCTGCCAGACATCAAATCACCAGTGATGATTTAGATAAAGACAACAGAATTCACAAATTTTTTTAAACGTTATTTAAAAAAAAAAAAAAAAAAAAAATATATATATATATATATATATATATATATATATATATATATATATACACATATATATATTTGTTTTTTTTTTCCTGGATTATTTACACATTAGAAGAATAATATCTCATGACCATAAAAATATGATTAAAAAAATGTTGTCCTTATAATTATTTTTCATACTTTATCCCCATGGTATCAAAATGCTATTATGATTACTGAATATTTTCTTTAGTATCGATATGATGTTTGAAATCTCAGTAGGGCTGAAACAACTGATTGGATTACTCCATTATTGAAATAATCTTCAATTAGTGATAGATTAATTGTTAACTAGAGTCCCTAGAAACATGCCTATAGCTCACAGACAAACCCGTTTAGAGCAGTATTTTGACCAAGATTGTAAACAAATATATAAACATTTTGTATTTGATATATAAAAAAAAAAAAAAAAAAAAAAAAAAAACGTTTTAGTCTGTCAATATGCTCTATCCCAAAATCCTCAAGTGGAAAAGTTTGAGTTTCACCTTATTTTAATTCACAAGAAGTCTCTTTAAAGAATCTTGGGCTATCCAATTATTAATCGAAAAAATAATTGACAGATTGATCGATTTGGAAAATAATTGTGAGTTGCAACCCTAAATTTCAGTGTCATGACAACCCTACTAGTAACCAATTTTTAACTCTTGCAGGTGAAACTGTGGGAAGTACATTTCCATGAGGACCTCAGTGTTTTTTCATGACAACTAAAGGGGATACTCTAGGGCTGCAAATAGTGATTACCTTGCTAGTTGTTTAATCTCTGGATTAGTTATTTTATTAATCAAATAATAACCGGATAGCAAAACTACCTTGAAGAAGATTGTACACAAAATGTATATCAGGTGAAGCTAAAAATAAACTATTTTGATATATATACATTTTTTTTTTTTTACAATTTTGATAATTACTGCTATGAATGTGCTGCTTTTCCATCTAATGGCACTTTTAGAGTCCCCATACTCCAGTTAATGACAAGAAGCCAAATCACTTACTAAATTTGTCAACCATTATTTCTATAATCGATTAATCTGGTTGTTTCAGCCATAGGTTAAAACAAACACTTTTCTCAAGCCTTTTTATAACAGCAATCAACTGATTTAATCCACAGACATATATTGTTTTTATTGCTCCGACTATAGTTGTTTTTTGATTTTAGGTTTTTAAAGCAAATAGCACCAAAAAAGCTTTTAACCAACCGTTCATGGTGTCGCTCACTAACAAACCACAGGCTAAAACACAGTTCTTATGTTTCGCTTGCCTGTCTGAGCTTCAAGTATTTCTGGCTCGGACAGACAGTCAAGTGGAAACTTAAAAAAAGCATCATAAATTTCTCTTTCGAGAGTTACATTGATTGTTAACGACCTATATGCTGAGATAGCAGATTTGAACAGCCAACTGGAGGCAAAATACCCAAACTAACAGCTTAACCATCTCAACTTTTTATACCATCAGTTTCTCTGTCAACAGCACAACACATAGTATTTTATACAACAGAGATGTTTTAATTGCGAATTACTACTTTATTTATTTTATATTTTGAGTTGTCTAAATAAGAAAATATAAACTGTTGTATCAGATATAACAAATATGACATCAAACATTCGATCATATATTAGCAGCAGCAGGAATTATTGCTTCAAACATTTTTATACGAATTCTTCACACAAATACCGCAATACGAAACAAATCTTATAACTTATACTTGTTCTTAAGTAGTGTATAAAACAGCCAGTAGAAGTGAATTTTAGACAAATAGAATAATAATTCAGATAACTTTGAATCTAGTCAATGAAATAGGATCAAACATTTATGCGAGTTTTCTTATCGATTGTTTCAGGGAATATACAAAAACAATAAACTGAAAATGCAAAACTTCTTGTTCTTCTGATTAATAACTTTTAACAGGTTCTAATGTTAATCATCAGGTTCTAATTGAAATCATCTACATTACCCCTTTAAAAAGCCAGTTATTTTAATACGTTAATGCGATTTTTTTTTTGTCCATAACACTCACTTAATAAATAAATTGTTAGCTAATTATAAACAGAATAATAATACAGATGTCTTATTAAACAAAACGTAAATTCACTGCATCGTTTTTATGTTTAACTTATAAACTTATTGCTAGGACTCGTAAATATAAACCACCTCACGTTAGCCAGTGCTAGCTAACAGGTTAGCTAAGGCACCTTAATGAGATTTGTTCGATATTTTTCAATGGAACAGTTAAATGAGTAACGAAAAACGACTAATTCGAAAACATTTACGTCTGGTAAACAATAGTATATTGAGGTTCGGAAGTCATAACTTATCACATTAGCATGAAACTGAAGCTATGCCCCGCGTTAGCATCGATAGCACCATCGCGAGAGGCAAGGCAGACTTTACCTTTTCTATAAAGAAAAACAGCCTCCAATGAGGCTTACACGTCTCCTAGGATACACTCAGCAAAGGATGCGTTTCTGTTTTTAGTCCTGCAGAGAAGAACCTCAGCCAGGACTTATTTTAATTATGAATGTGTTAGCCGTCCGCCATGTTTACTGCTGCATGCAGAAGCGGAAAGGTAACCTTGACGTCACCAAAACGAAGAAAAATTACAGCGATTTTAGATTTAGGGCTCTGTTTTTATTTTATGATTTAAAAAAACATGTTATTATCCAATTCAATATAAACCATGTTATAAATATCACACATTGAAAGATCTAATTGAGTCTTTGAAAATATTTCAGTGTAGTTTTAGACAATGCTATCAAGAGTTACAACTTCAATTGTCTGCCCTCTAGCGGTCAGAAGGAGTAATTACAAGCAAACGCTGTCAGTTTATGAATGACCAAATAAAATAATTGAAATATTATTCATATAAATCAACAGATTTAAGTATTAATAACCAAAAGTAGAAACGTATTTTCAAATAAGTTGAATTTAAGGTATTTCTTTCAATACATTTAGAGAGCGTTCATTTTTATGTCTGTATCAAAATCACTGGAATCGTTATAAAAAGTGGTGATATCCGTGTACCTTTTTCTATTTTTGCCAGGATGGCAGATTTAACTGATATATCAAAAACAGATGCACATTTTGAACAAACTGAGTGGAACTGGGGTTCATTCTTTCATTAATTCCCCATTACACTCAGAAATTCAGACTACAAACTTTTAACTTACATCTTCAAGTCTCGTCTCCAAACAGGGATTTTAGATCTAATTGCAGATACACAGTCAGGATTCTTAAAGGGAAGATAAATCCAAAATAATATTAGATTGGTAATGGACATAATTGAATATAGAAACCAAATAGAAGATCATGGTTTCCTTCTCTTTCTAGACTTCTACAAAGCGTTTGACTCCGTGGAGCATCCATTTATTCTTTCGACTCTCAAACACTTTGGTTTCGGAGTCAAGTTTCGAGAAATTATCAGTGGACTGTATTGAGATATTAGCAGTTGCGTCCTACTGCCCAGTGGCACCACCCCAAGCTTCAAGGTTAACGTGGGTATTCCTCAGGGCTGCCCCATCTCACCATACCTGTTCATCTTAGCCATAGAAATGCTAGCTATCTATATTAAGAATTGTAATGATATTAAAAAACTTAATGTACATGGCACAGAAATAATAATCAGCCAACTAGAAGATGACACAACAATATTCCTGAAAGATAGACATCAAATTTATACAAATACAAAGCCTCAGGCCTAACATTAAACCTTAAAAAGTGTGAACTGCTGGTTGTACATGAGACGCCACTGAAAGACATCTGTAATATCCCTATTAAATCTGAAATTAAATACCTGGGGATCCACTAATCCAGAGACCAAAAACAAAGCCAACTTCTGAATGAAGAAAACAAAATAAAAGAATGCAAGTCACGATTAAACTTATGGATACAGAGGGATTTATCAACAACTAACTAAGATGGAATACTTATCTAGATGTATCTACCCAGCCTATTCAAATGCCATTCCAAACAGATTAATTAAATCTATTAACCAAATCAACCGAAATTTCATTTGGAGAAACAGACCACATTATATGAAGAAAAGCAGTTTGGTTAAAAATGCAAAGGAAGGAGGTTATTGATTTTGACTGCCTAAATGGGACCATAAAAATAAAGTGGTTAAAATCTTGGATCAAACACAGCAACTCTTTTTGGTTTTGTTCAAACCTTGCTTTTTGGACCTTGTTCAAGAAAATTGGAGGATTGGAATTTCATCTGAGAGCAGACTTTAATGTAGACAAATTGCCAATAACACTGTCAGAGTTTCACAAACAAATCCTTTTGTACTGGAAAAGGTTATATGTTATAGACTGATAAAAAACTGCAGATTTTTTTTTACTTTAGTAGTGGGAGCATGGTGTGCTCTGTCATAGAGGCAGCATAGGATCTAATGCCTGGGAGTTATGGAAACATCTTCAGTAATCCTTCATCAGGTGATCCATAGTAATAATCAGCCCATAATGAAGAGGGACACCTGTAGTGGAAGCAGGAGAGACATCCAGGCAGAAGCAGCGCTCCACACAACCTTCTCTGATATTCTCAGCTCTTTGGTAAGTGATGCTTTGCACTCAGTCAACTTGAAATCCATGTGAACCACTAAATTGATGGGAGATTTTTAATTGCAGTCCTGAAATGTTAAAACTTCAGTCACACAGCTGCTATAAATAGGCAGTGATTTACTGGAAATCAGTAATTATCATCCCTATCTATTTTTTTTCCACGTTAACATGCTGAAACACATCCAGATTAATTGTAGGGCTCCGCTGTTATGACTTTTTATTCAAATGCAAATCAGCCTGTGAATCATCCCGGCTGAGCTGCACCATAAATACACTCGCTGACCGCCCAGTTCTCTTCGCAGGGGCCCCGCAGAGGCGATCCTGCTGCAGCGGGGGTAGAGGAGGAGGAGACCCGGGAAAGAAAATAAAAAGTTTGGATTCTCCTGGAGAACAAGAGTTTTGACTCGTATGATGTCTGTTGTGGGCGCACAGCCTTTCATCAAACCAATGCAGACCTCTCCTTCAGTTTCGCCCGGCATCCAGCGGAGACACACGCTCCCAGCCAGCGAGGTGCGGCCCCTCAACACGCAGGACGCCATCAGCGTGTTTGAGATCGAGAGGGAGGGTAAGTCAGCCAACTCATAAGGAGGGCCACAATGAATTCATCAATTAGATATCTGGTGACTTATAATTCTGCATTAGGAACAATCAAATAAACAAACAAATAAATAATAATCTCAAAACACTTTAAATGAGTCAATAATTTATTTAAAAGACCAAAAATAATCAAAACCACTAGTTACCTGAATAATGTGCAACTTTTTGCAAGCATTTTTTATTTAATATACATATTTCAGTGACAGACCTGAAAACTATAATGCAACCGTTTTTGGCATTTAGTTAATCATATTTAGTTACTTTAATATAATTGTTTCATGTTAGCAGGGTATGACATAGAACAATTGTTGCCTTAACTAAATATGATTGAATAAATGCAAAAAAAAAGTGCATAATTTTTTTCACTGGCACTTTAAATAGACCCTAACCATGCAGTGTTTTCAATGCCACTGACTTCAGAAAGGATTAATGAAATATGCATTGAAATAATATTAATTTATACCTATAATAAATTAATTGAACATTGAAATCAAGTTTATGGGTTAGGAGTATTTTTATTAAGTAAAAATCACATAGATATGAATAATACAGTCATTGCATTTTTACATTTTTATAACAATTTTATAACAATATATATCGAAAGATTCAACTTCAGTCCTTGGGTTTGGTGTTTTGTTTCTGAGCACCTGATTTTCATTAATGGCTAATTAACAAGCTTTTTCTAAACTGCAATCATATAATACAGATGTGAATTCTGACATCTTTGGCCCTCCGTAGGATAGGAATCATAGGAGTGTTGTAAAATCCATTGTTATTTGCAGAGAATGATATTAATTTGCAGAATTTATAGCAGCTTAAAGTGTGATTGTGTCTCAGGTTTATGTTTGCATTATGGAAATGTTGCATTTCCCCTATCCTGTGTGTTTGTTCCAGCTTTTATCTCAGTGTCAGGAGAGTGCCCCCTTCACCTGGATGAGGTGCGTCATTTCCTCACGTTGTGTCCAGAGTTCTCCATGGGCTGGTTCGAGGAGGGCCGGTTGGTGGCGTTCATCATCGGGTCTCTGTGGGACCAGGACCGGCTCACCTCGGTAAAATATTAAGCCGGTTGTGATTTTAGATATGTATTATATGGCTCACCACCCAGGGCAGCAAAATCATAGTCAGGGGGGACAACAGAAGAACAAAGAGTGAAAAAGGAGTGACTCCATTTTGCCACTTAAATACATATTCTAGTGCATATTTGCAGTTATGTTCTGCATATCTTGCACCGTTAAAGGAGGAGGGGTCCATCAAGGATTTCAATCCAGATCTGCATCTTTCTCCATTTTATCAAAGCCAACGCGGTAAAAACTGAAACTAAAATAATTTAGAATATTTCTTTTCCTTTCAGGATGCACTGACCCTCCATAAGCCCTGTGGCTCCACCGTCCACATCCACGTCCTGGCGGTCCACCGCACCTTCAGGCAACAGGGCAAAGGCCCCATTCTGATGTGGCGCTACCTGCAATACCTGCGCTGCCTGCCCAACGTGCGCCGAGCCGTGCTGATGTGCGAGGACTTCCTCATCCCCTTCTACCGCAAGTCAGGCTTCAAGGTCCTGGGCCGCTGCGCCATCACCGTTGCCAACCTCACCTTCACTGAGATGTGGTACCCGATCAGCGGCCATGCGTACATGCGGCGTAACAGCGAGGCGATCCGCTTTCCTCAGATTCCCCTGACATTGCCGCTGGCAAATACCGATGAGCAAGTTGATATATGACTCTTTTTGTTTTCTTTGTGGTGTTTTTTTTTTTCTTTTTTTACTGGAATCAGGCACTTTCACACAAAGCCGCTCAAATGCTGTATGGGGCCCTGGGCAGAATTTTATTTGGGGTCTACCTCTTTGTCTTATAACAATATGTAGCAAACTAAAATCATCTTAGATTATATTGATCAGTCTGAGGTGCTGATTAGTTTTGTTTTAATAGAGCTCTGTACACTACACTATGGTAATACTGGGACATTTTACTATATTCTTAAAAAATATATATATATATATATATATATAAATATATATATATATATATATATATATATATATATATATATATATATATATATATATATATATATATATAAATATATATATATATATATATATATATATATATATATATATATATATATATATATATATATATATATATATATATATATATATATATATATATTTTAAGAAGCCAAAAGTAAAGAATCTTTTCATCTGACTCTGAATTATAAGACAGATATTTAATCTAAGAGGGAAAGGTTAAAGATGTAGATCCATTAGGACCACCTTTGTTATTAATCTCCTTTTTTTAGCACAGAAAGCAACCAGAACAAAGAGCACGGCGCCTTACTTAAGGTCCAACAGTTTGCACTGCCCAGGTCTATATGACTGTGCAACACCAGCTCCCAGCCTGTTTTTAATGTAATTTTTTTTTTTTGCTTAAACTTTAACTTTATCCAAACAGAGAGACTGCTGATTAAAAAAAAAAAACAGAAGAAAAAAAAAAACAACAAAAACAAAATTGCTTTTCTATCAGAATGGGGTCATTCAGATGTGCTGCCGGTACTTGAATGCCTGCTTGGTGGCAAATTTGGAAAATAAGAGAACAGGATGTCTAATAAGTAGGATAATACAACTTGATTAACTTATTTGGGTCAGCTGTGCAAGCTGTGCTGGACTGATCTGCATCTGAAAAAATTAAATACATAAATAAGTCTTACTAAAGTGACCCCCCTAAAAAGGAGTTTATGCATTATTTAATTTATTTATTCATTTATTTATTTAATGTATTTAATTTTCCATCCAAAAGCCAAATCAGCTCTGGCCCCCTTCTGGCAGCCCCTTTAAAACCCCTCTAGCAGCGCCCCTGATTGCTGCATTAACAACCAGCCTATTTAGAAACATACATTTCAAACCACTATGATTTAACTCAACATGTGTATAACTGGTGCTCATGTTTTGTGTGCAAACAGCAGTTGCAAAGTTCAGCCACACTTTACCAGAGTTTCGAGTAAAAAAGAAGAAAAAAGGAGGTAAAATGAACCATCGTTCCCTGTAGAGTCTTTTAAGGTTTATTGCACATGTGATACTTTGATTTGTTGGATATTTTTTCAGGTTTTTAACTGAAACCCATCAAACTGAAATTGTGTGGATTACTTTACAATGTACATAATAAATAGAGAATATATACTAGCCCATTATAATGCTGTTATTTGTTATCATGTAGTTAAGATAAAGTGTTGCATTGAACTGTGTCTATAGTCGGCGTAACACACAGCAGTTGTAAGCTGTTTCCTGCTTAACGACTTCCAGGCCTTCCTACACTATGAACTGACGTCATAGCCACTCAATAACAGCTCCTCCATCTCCTGCTGCTCAACTATGGAGGCTTTATCTGTTGTAAACGTCTGGGGATTTAGAGCCACTCATCCGTCAGCCTGTAGTGACCCGACATAAACCTTCATATACACAGCAAATTCGAATAAAATCGACTGTTGGGTGTTTAGAAAGCATCAGAAAGCAAAAATATTTGGTTTTAATTTATGTTGGAAATCAAATGTCAAAAAAACAATGTTTAATAACTGTTATCCTGAGTTGACTTTTTTGACTCCTTTTATTCTGACCTAAATAAAGTTTTGCAAATGTTGCCACTTGGTAAATATGGAGTCAAGAACTACTGGTGAATTGGAGAGCTTGTGGAGCTGTCTGGGTTTTCAGCACAACTTTGGCTTCAGCTGCATCTCTACGCTGCCTTCAGGTGAAACAGTGTGGAGCTTTAATCCGTGACACCGTCTCAGACTCACGTCTTAATCCAATAACATGCACGGCTGAGCGCTCCGCTTCTACTGAAGGACAAACTGGGAACTCAGTGGACTCCTTTAAGACCTCTGGTTAAGTAAACAAAGGCTGTTTTTTATTTTGTTTTAATTATAACCTTTATTCTAATTACGCTGCAGATCAAAATTAAAGCCTTTAAAGAGATATGCAGATTTTATTTTTATTTTTCAAACAAGCTCCCCTGCTTATTACCTAAAAGAAACTCATAGTGCATGTTTGTTATTTGGGCCTTAGATCAGGTAGGCATTTCCAACAAATCCAAAGTACTTTTTGCACCAAACCTTTGTTTACCTTTGCTAAATTTTCCCAACTTCCCCATAGTTTAGCTGTGAAATGAAGTGACACTAATCCATGATTTTTAGATCTATTACCAAAAATGCATGAATGGTTTTACCTGCTTATCTATTCACCCCTTTACTCTATAAACACCAAACAGGCCACAGATTAAGCTTTATCTATCCAACTCCAATCAGTATCTTTGTCCCTGATGATCCCACAGCATCATGCTGCCACCACTATGTTTCACCACATGGGCTAATGTTTCATGATTCTTTATGTTTGATGTTAACCAAAGAATTAAATTTGGCTCCATCTGACCAAAGCACCTTTTCCAACACGTTTTTTGCCTCTGAAGTGGCTTTGAAGGAACTAAAAATATAACTTCTAATGGCTTTCTTTCAACAATAGCTTTTTATTTCCTTCACTTTTCTGTAAATACCAGGTTCATATGCGCTGGCTTGGGTTCTCATTTGAGTTTCAGTTCTTGCTTGATTTTTATGATCTGGTTTCTTTTGCATGCTTTGTTACATTTACTTCCTGTTTTCTTTGCAACACGTTGTTAGTTTGGTCTCGTCCTTCTTATCACTCTTATATTTTTTTAGCTCTGTTTAGTGATTATTAAGCTGTACATTCATTACAGGGTCTCCTTTAATCCCTTATTGCTTTTCCAAATTCAGGTGTTCTTTCTCTAGTCCTGTACATTGCCTATTCCAGAGTCACAAACCGTCTGTATTTATATCCATGGGTTTCTCTCAGCCACGATCTGATTCTCCTGTTTGCTGACTTCCTGAGTTTCCCATTCCTATTTTGCTCTATGTGCTATTCCCATCTTTTCTGTTTGGATTGCTGGCAGATTAAGTTTCACATTTTTACACCTGCTTTAAAATAAAAAATTCCTTCTTACTGTGATCCTGCCAGCCACGCGTCTGCATTTGGGTCTTCTACCCAATCCTACTGACAAACAGGAACCCGTTCTCTAATAAATCTCTAAGGCTTTAACCAAACAGCACAGTTTTACTAAGATTTATTCACACTGGTTAGTAGACCAATTGTATGAGATATATTAATTAGGATAATCAGAGTAAAGGGGTGTTAACACAGATGTAAACAGAAGCAATCCATCATTTATCTTCTTTATTATCAAATTTATAGTCTAGCTTATGTTAGATTAACAGCTAAAGTCCAAATAAGTCCATTAAATCAAAGTTGTCGTAAAGCATCAGTAGCAATATTGGCTCTATTTCTTTGGATAATTGACATAGTTACCTTAATTGCAGAGCTTTTGAGCATTAAAGGCCTGTTCTGGTAATCCAATGGAATATCAACAGGATTAAGTCTAATATGTAGTATATTAATATATAAGCCAATATATAATATAGAGTAATATTTAAGATATAAGCCAATCAGAGGCACTGGTTTTCTGCTTTTGAACTGATTTTCCTCCTGGATTTTCTGCATAAGAACAAAATTCAGGGTTTCCATCAATTACAGCATGAAATCCAGGTTCTGAAGTTGCAGCCCTCCATACCATCATAATAGCACCATCATGTTTGACTGTCTATACGGCGCTGTGTTAGTTTTATACCAGAAGTTATTCATGAACCCCTTCCATATAATCCCACTTTTATATCGCCTTTCTATAGAGTACTTTTCCCTGTTTAGGTTCAAAAAGTTGTTTTTTTAGATAATTTTTCAGCACTGATTTATCATTTTTTCCCAGTTTCCCAGTTTATTGTTTTAATGAATAGGGGATTATGGGGATGGTTGCAACACTTTTTTTCTTTTTCTCCCACCTACTTTCAAACGATTGGGCCATCACCAACCATTTATTTATATGTTAAATGTACATCTGTCTACTAACTGTCAATACCATTTAAATATGATGACATGGGACAGGTTTTTCACACATTTCGTTAAAAAAAGAGTCAACTGTTGCAACCAATCCCATTCCTGGCAACACCTCTTAGGGACAGTTGCAGCATCTCATGAATCCATTCAATTTTACAAATCAGCTTTTGTTTTTTGTGTTTTTGCCTCATGACCGTTGAAGAGGTTAAAAAGCTCATCTGGTCAGATCCAAACTCTGATGCTCCTGCTTGGATTCTACATTACAGAAGACAGCTTGAGGGAAAGACAAAGGACCAGGCCTCTGAAGGAAAGAAGAAAGAAAGAGAAAAAGTTATGTCCATCCAGGGAACAAGGATGTTATCATTTTCAGGGTTGGTATAGGAATACAAACCTTATGCGATTAGATTAAGATTCAAGTAAAGATTCAGGAACATGTATGGTTCATGATGTATGGAAAGAAGGAGAAATGGCCAGTACAGCCAGGGGAAGAACGTTATATTTTTTATTTTTTTTTTGTTTTTAAGGGATTTCTTTTTGTTTTTTACAGCACAAGTGGCTCGTTTTTTCGACAGTAGGTTGACAGGAAAGGTGGTATGAGAGAAGGGGAGAGACAAGCAGCAAAGGACCACAGGTCTGATTCAAATCCAGGTCGGCCGAGTCGAGGACTTAGGTACATGGGTCGTGTGCACTAACCACTGCACCACCTGCACGCTTCAGGGGGGACAAAGCTTTATAATTTTCAGGGTAAGAATAGGAATACTTCACCATAGGAAGATTTAGAAGTGATGCTTCAAAGATGTTCTGGAGAATTTGCTAATAAAATTAGAAAATATATAAAACATATATATACAAAATATATGTAAATATTTTAAATTTATACACAATTATATATATATATATATATATATATATATATATATATATATATATATATATATATATATATATATATATATATATATATAATATGTATTTAAAATACTTATATACTTTAGCATTCATGGTCAGTGCATTGTCTGAGTCGATCCGATCCGCTTTTGTCACTCGCTTAGTCACATTTAACTACTTTAACACAATGGTTTTATGTAATACCCTGCTAACATGAAACAACTGTATTAAAGAAACTTAATATGATTAAATAAATGCCAAAAATGTTTTTTTTTTTTTTTTTTTATTGTACCATCAGCTCATTTGTGCATGTGGAAGCAGATATTCATCCAGGTTGCCATACATTATGTAATTTATGACTTTCCTGACACAATATGATGCTTTTTAAATTTTCTCATTAAAATGATTAAACATGTTTTTTTTTTCTTTTTTTTAGTTCTTTCTTTCTTTAGATTATGCACTATACTCCATATGGTTAACACAAAAGGAAAATATAAAACTCAAAAAGACTAGATTTATGTTTAAATCAAAAGCCAAAAAAGCTAGCTCCCGGAAGTAGTCCGTACAGGTCAGTAATTTTAAAGTAATTTTCCTGGTACTGAAACCTTTCCTGTGAATGTTCACTGTTCTTCGCTGGAGCTTGAAAGCCTTAGATTGTCTTCAACACCTAAACCTGACTGATAGAAAGGAGGTAATTTATTGATTTTTCAAATCTTTCAGTAATCAGGCTTGTGATATTCAGCTAGGCTTTCGAAAAGGTATAATGAACTCGGTTAGTTCATAACATAAAGAGTTGGATCACTTTTTGACATTGAGTCAGGTTTGCTTGACAAATTAACATATTCAACGGCATGTTGCATCTACTTTGATTAGAGAGAAAAATATGTGGCGCCATTTATAAAGTTAAGAAGTCAAAAATTAGGAGCAATATTTATGGTTATTTAGCGGGTTTTAAGATAAAAATAAGGGGGTTATTTTTTTTCCCCAAGTAATTTTTTCACTTTGTCATTCATTAACTTATAAAAATTGTACTTTGTTAAATAAATATTTAGTTTATGGATGAGATTATGGATGTTTAGTTTTCTTATTAAATATCTAGTTTGCAAATTAAATAATTAGTTTGTTAAATGCATATTTAGCTCCAAACTAAATATTTAGTTTGTTAGTATATAGAGACTTCCAGGCTTTTACTTTGGTAGTTCACTTCCGCTTTTCGGGAAGGGAATTTGCATATTCGCTAAATATTTAGCTCGCAGCCTCGCACCAAGCTGGTGAAATATTCAACGGGCTTGGTGCTAGCTGAATATTTAATTTCTTAATAATAAGTACACAACTAAGTGTTTAGTTTGGAGCTAAATATTTATTTAAAAAACTAAATATTTCATTTGCAAACTAAATATTTAGTTTGGAGCTAAATATTTATTTAACAAACTATGTATTTAAATTTCCTACAAAATATTTTGCTCCAAACTAAACATTTATTTAACAAAGTAAATGAATGAATGACAGTGAAAAAAATGACTTTTTTTCTTTAAAAACATTCTAAATAATCATAAATATTGCTTCTTATTTTTGACTGCTTAACGTTACAAACATCACCCCATAGAAAAAGTCAAAACAAGATATATTCTGTGAAAACTTTTAGATGTACTGACCATTTCTGATAGCAGCAGCAAATAGACTTCATGTAATTTTTAACAGTTTGATTTTTTTATGCTAATTTACATCAGATATAGAACTCTTTACATATAGGACATACTACACTGATGTATATTTAAATAAGAATAATCTAGAGTAGGTTTTACCCAATTACACCACTTTCAATAACAGCAGATCTGGTGTTGGCCCAATTATTGCTACTGGAGCTATCGTCACCATCCTTTGTGTGATTGATGGAGAGCAAAATGCAATTGCTCACTTTTTGTTCCATTAGCTAGGCATTTGAATCAAAACAAAAGTAATCAAGCAAACAGAAACCAAACAGAGCATTCAGTTATTATCTGCATCAGTCTGGCAACGATTCCACATAAGCAAATAATTTGTACATCTGTGTGGCGTGCAGAACGCTGTAGCACTCTAGGCCATTCATCCATCATTTTACTATCATCAATGTGCATCTGTTTGTAAAATCAGAAAGAGGAATATAAAAATATTAACTTTTATTGTGTTTCTACTTTGCTGTAATAAAAAAAATATGAGAGACACAAATACAAAATAAAAAACGTCACATGCCAAGCTGTGCCATTATTTGAGATAAAGCCACAGCTACCTCTTTCCCTTCACAGTAGGGCTCACTTCAGCCTCCAGACAGGCTCATGGACAATAATCCTACAAAGTCCTTGCAGTCATCGGGTAATCTAGCAGACAGACACACCAGCCGCAGTAACTATGGACCTTCTCTGAGGGGCCAGATGGGATTGTTGACATGCATCCCTCACAAATATCAAACATCATGGAGTACGACTTTCAGACCATTTTATATATTGACTTTCTGTGGTATCTTTTTGCCAAAATGTAGTCATGGAAATCAATATAAGATCAGTACTGTTTTTTTTTTGTAATATCAATTCTATTTTCCAGGTAACACCCCTTTGGAATGAGTAACTAGTGTTCCTTCATGCATGTAGATGAGCAGAAGTCAAATACAATTATCATTGCTCCTAATTTCACTGCATTGCCAAAGCATCACTTACTAGTTTGTCCTTGTTATTCTTAATGCACAACATGCATGAGTCACATTTAATCAGTACCCTTAATCCTGCTTCCAAGCCTGTGACTCGTCTCAGTTTACAAGCTGTGTACATCAAGTACAAGAATTTTACCTTGAGGTAAGCATCGATAGTTCCAGAGGACAAGTCACTGTTGCAAGGAGCAAGACGTTCCTAGAAATGCACCACAGAAGGGAATGCCCGTATGTTGATATCAAAAACAAGACCACAATAATGAGAAACCCGCAGCTCCCTGAAGCTTTTCTTAGGGTGTTTATAATGACAACCACAGGTTGTCAGTGTTCAAAGAAGTGTAGCATTCTTAAGAAATGTTAAAATGAACTGAGGTGCTAAGATTGAGACTCATATATAAGTAACAGCCTAAAATGTCTAACCCTTAAGAAATCAGTGACCAAAAATGTGTAGCTTTTTTTAACACAAATAAGATCTGTCAAATTACCTGATTAAATTCTAAGGTATGGCTTAAGTGAAATAAATACCAACCTATATGTTAAAACCGAATTTTGTTTTCCATATTATAAAAAATATATAATTAAAAAGACAAACAAGGAATGTGATTTAGTTGAGTTTAATAGGAACTAGCATAGGAAAGTATAGGATATGACAAATGGTATGACAAAAATAACTTTCATTTTTACAGAAAAACTGGAACTATTTCAAAGAGTAATCCATAAGCACATTCCCACCAAATACATGTTTCTTCATTTGATGTATGCATAAACATCTTTGTTTCTCTGAAAGATATAAAATGTTTCAGTTTGCAGAGCACAATCAGCTGTGGCTAACCCTAATCTTTGTTTGAATTTGGTTAACGGAAGCGGTAGTTGGAGTAGGACGGCGTGTTCGCAGCATCTGTTGAGGCTACAGGAAGAAGTAGGAGGCCAGTAGATGTGTCTTTCTTACACCGGTCCATTGCCTGCTTGTATGTTATCTTCTCCTTGGTGATGGGGTCTTCCAGCTCTTTGGAGTGCAAAGCCTCGTCTTTTAACTCATCAGCCATTGTGCTGTCGATCAGATCTGCTGCAAGCGCCTCTTCGATGGTTAGGCGCCCTGCCTTATTGGGATCTACCAACCCACCGGTGAGATACTGCGCTTCCATGTACCTCTTTGCATTCTCATTGGTCATGTAGCCTTTCCGTGCTGCCTGTCCAACTGCCAAACGTTTCTTGGTCACAGGGTCCTCAATTCCAGTGAAGGCCTTCTGGGCATTCAGTAGCTTATGCATTTGGTTTGAGTCAATTAGGCTATGCTCAACGGCCTTGTGAACAGAGAGTTTGTCCCTTTTGGCTAGATCAACAATCCCGCCAGAGGCTGATTGAGCCTCCAGAAGCTTCATAGCAGTTTCTTGATCTATTAGTTTCCGAGTGAGAGCACTTCTCACAGACATGCGGCTTTCAGTGGTGGTGTCAAATATGCCGGAGATTGGGAAATGGTCATCTCCTGTGGGAGTATTAAGGTTGTTCAAACTGCCGTTGCTGTGCTGACTGCTCAGGCTTGGGAATGAGGACCTCAAAGGTGAAGGCATGGACTTCAGGGGTGAAGATGGGAAGGTCTTGCCTGGGGATTTTGGTGTTAATGGTGGAACATACGATTGTGGTTTTTCTCCTGTGACAAGGAGAGCAAACTCAGAAATAGGCATTTTCCCTCCCTTGTAGCGGCTCACGTCGTACTCAGTCAGACGGCCTGCCTTCAAGGCATCCTTGACAGAATATTGCTTCCCACTTTTTCGATCTTGAAGAACTGTGGTATCTCCATCTGGGCCACTTGAGGTGATTTCCTCCCAGTCGCACTCCAGCTTAGACAGCTGTAGGTAGTGGTTGCGATCGATTACACCTTGTACGTAGGCATCATAGGGAGACAGGTCTTTGCCAGTCTGTGGATCAAGGATGGTGATCCTTGTTGAGAGGTTTGTCTCCCTGGTGTGAGTTTCCGAATGATCCTCTGACTTAATTCCATTCCGCAGCTCATCAATGAGAGTATCTCTCATGTGTATTTTATCTTTCTCATTTAGAATTGCTTTCTCAAGTCGCTGGACCTCAGAAGATGTTTTAAGACTTCTCTGGCGTGCCATCTGGTTCCTCTCGCTCATCAACCTGGACTGCTGTTGGAAGGCAATGAATGTGGACTGTTTTTCAGAATCCAGGGCTTTAAGCTGTCTGAGGAGATCTTCCTTCTCCCTTTGCAGAGCATCCCGACTTGAGAGGAGAGCGCTCTCCTCCTGAGAAGTCATGGATCTTGATGTCTGCAAATGGTTCATTTGGTTGTTAATGCTCTGGAGGTTGTCTTCTTGATTTCGCCTTAGATTCCTCTCTTGCGCAACAGCATCTCTGAGACGGTCCCTCTCAGCTTCAACTGCTGGGTCTTTCTCTACTCTAACAACTTCTCTATAAACAACCTTTTCAATAGACTTCTCCTTCTGTAGGATCTCCAACTTCACTCTAAGGTTGCGGATTTCTCTCTCAAGCCGGCTGATGTTGTTGCTCTCCTTCTCCATCTCAAAACGAATATCATCAGTGAGTTTCTCCAGCTTGGGATCCTTCTCAACTTTCAGGACCTCCTCAATGATGATCTTCTCTTCAATGGGTGGTGGAGCATTCTCCAGTTCAAGAATGCGAGTCTTTATTTGCCTGAGCTCAGACTCAGATTGGATCTTCTTCTGTCGCTCATCCATCTTAGCCAAGTCTCTTTCTTTTTCTTCAACCAGTGCTCTCAGCTGTCTGACCTCTAATTCAAGTTTTCTGCGTGTTTTCACTTCATCGTCCAAGGTCCTGTTCAACTTATCATGTTCCTGGATCTGCTTGGGGTCTTTCTGAAGGCGGAAAACCTCCTGGGTGATAATCTTTTCCTCTGGCCTCTGCCTTTCAAGGGATATATATTGATTCTGCAGCTCAAAGAGACATTCCTCCATACTCCGGCGTTGATGTATCTCGTCTCGTACGTCCCTTCGAAGCCTGTCAGCCTCTTTCTCTAGGAGAGGGTCGTTCTCATACTTGATGACCTCCTTTGACACAAGCTTTGTCTCCACTTTGGATTTTTCAGCTTTCAGTTCATCTCTTTCCTTACGTAGGTGACTCAGCAGCTCCAAGGTGGTGTCATAGTTGACTTGTAGGCGGGAAACTTGGTTGTTGAGTCTCTGCAATTCCCTTACAACCTCTGGGCTCTTCTCTTCTTTGATCACCTCCTTTGTCACATCCTTGTATTCCACTTTGGGTTTCTGGGTCCGTAGGCTAGTTAGGGTTGTTGTCACTGAGTCAATCTCATCCTCAAGATCTGAACGGTTCCGACTCAAATCCTGCAGCTCCTTCCTCAGACGCACCAGTTCTATCTCAGTGTCAGGATCGACTCTGTAGATCTCATTGACTATCTCTTTGACCTCCACTTTGGGTTTAAGCAGCTCCAGTTCACCAAAACGAAGCTGAAGAGTAGTGAGTTCCTTCATCAGGATAACATTCTCATCCTTCTCCTCTTCTAAAGCCATTCTTATTTTCCTTGCCTCATCTATCAGCTCTGGATCTTGCTGCACTTGTTTCACAACTTTGGTGACAATTTTGGGTTCAATGGATGGGATGACCCTCTCCAGTTCATTAATCTGGGACCTGGTGCTAAAAATTATATCATTGAGAGACTTGGAGCGTAGTTCTTCCTCTGCAATGTCACCCTGGAATGTTAGAACAGCTTTAAGCTTCTCTGGGTCTTTTTCCAATCTCACCACTTCTTTCTCCACAACCTTCTTCCTGATTTTTGGTTTCTGCTGAGCCAGAACATTGATCTCAGTTTTTACGTGCACAGCTTCAGTATCTTTTGTTTTAAGCTCCATCCGGATCCTCTCCATCTCATCTCTGATCTCAGCCATCTCTTTATCAAGCTTGGGGTCTCTCTCATATTCGGTGACCACTCTGGTCACCAGCTTAGGTTCTACTTTGGTCAGTTGTAGTTCTACGTTGATGATCTTCTCATTGATAAGTTCTATATCAGAACGGATTCTCGATCTTTTGAAATCTTCATCTTGAATTCGACTTTTCAGTGACTGGATCTCCGCTTCCACTTTTGGGTCACGGTAATACTGCACTACCTCCTTCTCCTCCAACCTCTCCACTCCTCTCCTGTGCTTCAGAGACAGAAATCTCTTACGGTAGCTTTCCAAGTTATTCTCAGCATGTATACGCCTGTTGATTTCTTCATCTAATTCCTTTTTCAGACTATCAGTTTCCACCAGATTTTTCTGCTGGCTCTGAAGCTGCAGCTGCTGACTGGCAGCCACCTGGACCACTTTATCTTCATTCTGCAGACGAACCAAAGGGGAAAAGAAACAAAGCATGAAAATGAAAAGCACACCTTTGCATTAAAAAGGAGGTTAATTGAACTTGCTTGATCTTCTACCTTTGTCATCATGTTCTTTGCTGTCCCCAGTTGACTGAGGCGTTGGTTGTTTTCAGCTGAGATCTTAGAGTAACGGTTCAGCAGGTCTTTCTCCTATACCAGAAGCAAACAAAATGCATTAGTTTCAAAACCAAAAATAATTAGGGGTGATATTAAGTTGTCTTGTTCTTATTTAATAATTGCCTGAAAACCCACCGTTCTTTGCACGTCTTGAGCCAGAGTTGAAGTTAGACGTTTCTTTGGAGTTGATGCCTTATAGGTGTCATCTTCGCCATTTTCGTCGTCCTCCTCGTCATCATCATCATCATTGAGAGTGTCACGATAAGTTTTTGACTTGAGCTCATACAGCTATAAAAAGGAATCAGAAAGAAGGATTTAGAACATGGTAGTGCATCTCTGCCTCTCCCCACAAAACTGTACACAGGATGATAACAACCCCACAACACTTATGCATATGCCTCTGGAGTTTTAATGGCTTACTACTACAACATTGCTTAATAATTTGATGCACACCTACATCATTTCATATTTCACCACATATTTTTTAGACGTGGCAAGTGATATTGATCTTGTGCAGACTGCTCCCATTGAGTAGGGCTATTTAACAGAACTTTCTGAGCCGACTGGTTGAAGCGACTTATAGTGTAAAAAGTCAAGACGTCTGAAGCAGCAGGTGCAGCGAGACACCAACACAACTTACAACTCTAACACTCTTGCAGCTCCTCTATCAAAGAGGAAATTTTGGATTCTGAAAAGACAGATGCAATACAAGCAGCTACACATATCCTATCGTGCTGTAATGTTTATTTCATTTGGGTTGTGGACATGTAATTTTTTGGCTTCGTCAGAGCTACAGTAGTAGCCATTCAAAAATGTCCCACTTTCCTTAATGGCTCCTTGGCTGGTCCCCTACAATTCCTTTTTAGACAACAATCTTTGTAATAAATTCAAACAATTCCTTTTTAAACCTCAATATTTGTACTGAAATATTCTTTCTGTCAGGACTTGTGGATTTTATGATCTAAAGAGAATTGCATCTTCTGGTCAGACTCTGTAATTCAGTGAAAGGGTGGGGTCAGAATAAAAAAAATATGCACACCCAGGAGAAGGAGGGGGTCTCTCCTGTGGCTGGAAGTTGGAGGGGATTCTGCTGGGAGCTGCAGGGAAGCGGGCTGGCATTTGACTGGGAAGGGCCATTTCGTATGGCTGCTACTGTATCTATCTTAGACCCAGAGGTGAGTAGTAAGTAGTTACATTTACTTGAGTACCTTTTTGCCAAAAAATACTTTCAAAATTTGTTTTCTATACAATCATTTCTAGTTTCACTTGAGTAATGTCCTTAGAAAATATTATTACTGTTACTTATGTTACATGTTTAGCTACTCTATTCACTGTGAGTAACTTCAGTAAATAACAAATAAGCTTATTTTAAATAAAATTGCTCCACATAAAGAAAAATCGTTAACAATTGTGTTAAAATAAGCGTTTGTTTGTACACAAGCTTACTTTATACCAGGCAAACCTACCGTAAGGATTCAATGAAAACCTGGAGGTTCTAGCATGTATACATCATCTACTGTGAGGATTGGTTTGTTATTCAGCTTTGTTATTCAGATAAAAGCTGAACTGGGAAAGTGTTTCTTCTGCCTAGATTTGATAATTTTCAATTACATTTATTAGTTTTAATGATTTTATTTACTCTTTAAAATACCAGAAATTGCAAATAATTGTTGTCGAGGTATTTCTTAATACATGACTTAGAAGTAAGAAATACTACGAAAAGTTACTCAGTGCTTGTCTTTTTTGACAGATTTTTTTTTAACTCTTACTAGAGTAATTTATCAGATGGCTACTTAAAAGTAAAATTATGATAAAGTAGTGCTACTTTGACATGAGTATGATTTCGGGCGCCGCACAGTGGCAGCCCACTGCTCCTCAAGAGGATGGGTTAAATACAGAGGTAAATTTCTCCAATGTAAGATCAATAAAGTTCTATTATTATTATTATTTTGAGGTACTCTGCCCACCTCTGATCCTGCTTTAAACATTAGTACTACAACCTGATTGACCGACCCATTTCAGGTTAGTCTCAGCCAGCTGAAGTAAGAGCAGGATAAGATGGATTCTCATGTGTTTGCGAACATACAATGATGACGAGAATTCAGCATGCAGGTGAGGTAAAAATATAACTTATACATACAGCACAATCACATCACCCTTATGCAATTTAAACAGGTACTACCCTGATGCTACAGGAATGATCTGTTAACAATATTACTCAAATTGCACTTCAAATGTTTCCAACTCAGCATGCCCATTGCTTCAAGTGGCCCCAACTGACAGCAGCCTGACCTACTTTTCTCCTTGATTTGGCTCACGGTTTTGGTTGCAAAACTACCTGAATTCTCAGAGTTGGACAATTTTCGGGAAACTGACATGAATTTTAGAGGAAAACAAGGAATTTAAAGGGTATTTAAAACAAGAAGGTTGCCCCGTAGTGGGAATTCTAAATATATTTTAGAATATTTGTTACTAAAACAAGTATATGTAAGTATAATTCAGTTAATCCAAATCTCAAACAATCACATGGAAATATCACAGTTTCCTGCTGTAGGGTGCATTGAGGCTACATGCTGTTTACATTCCTGCATCGCATACACAGTGGAGTTCCTGAAACCTTCACTGTTATGGGTTCATTTTGGAAACCAGGAGCTACACATTTAAGGCCAACAGTTAATTAAAGCAAGTTTTGGTTATGGAAAAAATATTATGGGTAAACTATAATAGTAGCATGCAGGAGCAGAGCTACAGAATGGCCGACGATGGACAATGATTTTGTTGCTCCAGTGCACTTCAGTTCTCTTCTTAACCAGATCACTGATATCCTAATGTGAAATGTCCTAATATGATACTTTATTTGTAAGTATATTAATCATAAACTAACATAAAAAACAGTATTTATTCATATCAGTATACTAACATCAAAAATGGCAAATAAAGGTAATGCCCTTTGTAGAATTTGTTCTTGTTTATTATGGCGGAGAAGGGAAAGTTATGTGTATCTTATATAGGAATGTTCAATGTAATTAAAGATTTAAACAAAAATAAATGCTCAGTTAAAATAAAGTGGATAATAAAAAGAACTTATTATCCATTTAAATGTAAGAGCTTCATGAAAATCTGTTCTCAGTGATTTATTAGGAAAATCCTGATGTTGCGCTTGTTATTTTTGCCTCATTGGGTTCAGTGTGTCTGTGTCAGTTTGTTATATATTCTGAAGAAACCATATTTTCATAAATATAATTATCAATCTTTTCATAAAATATGGGAAAAGTTAAAAGGTGATGACACACCAAAGCAAAGTCCTCCAGATTAGGTAGAACTCTGGATTCTACAGCCTCCATCACTCACATTTAAAACACTCTGCAGATCTTTGGACAGACCCTTGAGTCGTTCTAAATCCTCCGACTTCTTCTCGATGTCATCCACCACTCTCTAAAAAACAGAAACATGGTTAAACATTGATGATTATTGAAGCTGTAGATTACAGATTTGAGTTTATGTCAAAACAACAGAGGTAGGAATGGAAGCACTATTTACCTTTTGGGAATTCTCCTTGGCCATTACCTCCCTGACGCCATCAGTGGGTTTGATGGTGTTATCAGGCAAGTTGAGCAAGAAAAAGTCCAGGGACTGACCAACCGTGTTAAACTCTTGATTTTTGTTAGATGCTTGTTTAAGGAGAGCCAACCTGGTGCAATGTAAGAAAATACAGTTTATATGAAAAAAAGCTGCTTATATGGAGGTGAAATCTTTAGTGAAGAACGTTTTCTTTTCTCCTCCTCACCTTTCCTCGAGCTGATTGTTGACGTTTGTGTACCGGTTCTTCAGGACTTTCACCTGACTCTCCTGGCGGCGGATGTCGGGGCAGTACTCGTTGAAGCCCTGCTGCAGGGGGCTGCAGGCTTGCTGCGTCAGGTCCAGATCTTTGCCTAACTTGGTCAGTTCTTCTTTTTTTGTGAGAACCTCCTTCTGCAGATTCTGCTCCACAGAAACACAAATGAGAAAAAAGAAAAACTGTAAGAATCGAATATCCTGGATCTTCCTGAGTTTTGCTGTTTGACTAAATGTGATACCTGCAGCTTCTTGGTGCGACTCTGAAGGACATCAGGTTGATCCGGAATGACGCCGTCTTTAGTTAGATGCTGCTCAAACCAGGAAACTGTGACATCAGTCTTTTCCAGCTGTTTCTCCAGGAACATTGAGGCGGTGGCTCTGGTGATTAGGAGGCAAATCAGAGAAAAGTTAAGCAAGAGGAGCATTTTACTAACACCTCTGTATCTTTGGTTTTGAATAAAAACATTTGTACTTCTTGTTGTAGAGATCAATAAGCGTATTGAGGTCGTGGATCTTGTTTTCCGCGGCGCTGAGTTTCAGCGGCAGCATGGCGGCCTTTGGACCCACAGGTTTCTTGGCCAGAATCGGATCCGCCTCTCTTTGGACGGCAGCTTTTTCAGACTCCAGCTTTCTGAGATTCAGGGCAGATTTCTGCAGGAAAAGGACAAACATTTGATTCAATCATACAGCTCTACCTTTTTCCCACAATTAAATGTTTCAGATCATGTAACAGATCTGAGAATCAAAGATTACCTCAGTAAATATAAAACTTTTGTTAGGAAGAGAAAAAAAGCTCTAATAACCAACCTGCGGAAAGTTGGCCCATTCCTTTAGTTTCTGTTATCATGTTGCGATTAAAATACCAGATTTGATTCCAGACTTTGATAAAAACCCGTCAAGTAGCTTTTTATAACAGAAAACCTGGTTCCATTATGCAATCATGAAGCAGCAAAGTAACTTCAGACCATCCCACCATATTAGTTTTCTTTCTGGTATGCTTTGTTAGTTTCATGCCAGATATAAAAGGTCAGTTTTTGTCTTGTCATTCCGCAAAATAGTTTACAAAAACTCAAGGATAAATACATTTTATCAGCAGGGACTTTCATGTTGGAGCTCTCAAGTAAATGTTTGCTTAATTTCTTGGGTTGGATGAGGTTAGCTGAGTAAGTGAGGCCTTTGAGGATTTAGCAGTTTGTTCTGGGTTTATCTCTGCCCTCTTGGAATAGTTTTTATAGACCTGACAACTCCTGGGAAGTTCCCCCAATTCCATAAGGTCTCTATTGGTGGATGACAGCTTTTAATGTCGTTCCTTTGATTCCGAAACCTTAGAAATAACTTTATCTCTCAGCTGCGTTTGGTTTTCCCTTAACATGTTTTAAAAATATTTGAGTCAACATCATGTTATCTGGGATTTTCTTATCAAATGTTTCCTTGAACTTGAATGGTTTGGTGGTAATAAAGCTGGGTGGTTAGCCTACAGAAATATAACTGATAATGAGGCGAATAACAGCTAATTCATAATCTAACAAGGAGGTCAACTTTCATATTCTCCCAACTTAGTTTGTATTTTCTCTCCTCAGTAATAAATGGAATCATTTAAAACGTCACTTTTTTATTTCTCAGTTCTTCATTGTACCACCTTATTTATTTATTTATTTATTTATTTATTTATTTATTTATTTATTTATTTATTTATTTATTTATTTATTTCAGCCAGCCCAGCCAAACCTAAGTTAATAATGACATATATGTAGATATACTATATTATAATACATTTCGGTAGAATCATGTGACTTAAATACAAGTCAAGCATTTTCTTGCTAATAAGACTAAATATAAAACGTTAATTAGTGAATATGTCTGAAGAAGTAGAGCTTATCTAATCATACTTCTTCCCCATAATGATCATTACCCTTTCTGTTTGCCTTCAGGTAAATGCTGCTAATAAAAACTGTTACTTTAAACCTGTATGTTCAGACGGATGAACAGACAGACAGACAGACAAATAAAGAGACAGACGGATGAATGGATGGAAAGACATAGAGACAGACAGATGGACAGACAGACAGACAGATAGACGAACAGAGAGACAGACGGACAGATAGAGACCAATGGAAAGACAGACAGACAGCAGACAGACAGAGAGACAGATTGACAGACGGAAAGACATAGAGACAGACAGATGGACAGACAGACAGACAGATAGACGAACAGAGAGACAGACGGACAGATAGAGACCAATGGAAAGACAGACAGACAGCAGACAGACAGAGAGACAGATTGACAGACGGAAAGACATAGAGACAGACAGATGGACAGAGTGATAGAGAGAAAGATGGACAGAGAGAGAGAGACAGACAGATTGACAGACAGACAGATGGACGGATAGACAGACAGATGGACAGACAGACAGATGGATGTTTTTAATCTTCACCTCATTCTCTTGCTGCCTTTTTTCCAAGTCCTTCATGGGGGCGCTGGAGTCCAGAGGGGTCCTCAGTCTGTTCAGGGTTTCCTTCTCGTGCGTCAGCAGAGCTTTGTTGATCTTATCGATGTCACCAATCAGCTCTGGGACTTTTGGATCCTCAGGTGCACTTTCAATAACAGCTGTTGGGTAGAAAAGGCCAGAGTATTTATTTTGATCGTTTCCAATCTGTAGATTTTATTCCTCTTGTATATGAAGAGATGTTCTCCTCTTACCAGCCTTCTGGGGACGGATCACCTCTGCTGTGGGGGTTTTCAGCGAGTCCATCAGAGCAGATCGACGCTTCTTCAGATCTACCAGTTCTCTGTTGAGTCTAGAGGAGGAAACCCGGTCACATTTCAGGGTTCAGACAGTAAAATATTAAATTAAAAGATGAATAAAGAGAGTTTTTCTTGGCCACCTTTTTATCCTCTCCAAGGCTTCTGGGTCAGGGGGTGGAATCTCAAAACATGCCCCTGGGAGGCTCATGGTCCTTCCCTCTCTGTCCTCAAGCTCCCAGTACTTATTGTCCGAGTTGGACTTCAGGATCAGCGTCTGACCGCGCTCCACTACCCCCTATGTTAAAACAAACATGGCTGCACTTCACCTCCTCTTGTTTGATTCAGACAGCTCGCCGTTAAATGAGTGCCGTCTTACCCGTTCCTCTGCCCAGTCGCAGAGAGACACCACCGTGGTGGGCTTGGTGGGCGGGATTCTGCGCAGTTTTAGAGGAGCAATGTTGCTGCTGAGCTCCCTGAGGGCTTCCAGGCGCTGCTCGTTCCTTTTCACCGATGGTTCGTCTCCCTTTAAGTTCCATAAAACAGTAATTAAGTCTTACATACCAACAGATTTCAGATTACATGAAGGGTGCAATCTTTATGGTGTCATTAAAAAAAGTAAATCAGCCTTAAAAATATATTGAAAGTTGTCCAAAGAAGATGGAAAACACTAAAAAATTCAACCAGGAGGGGACCTAACTAGTGGGTCTTAATGTTGCTAAACTGGACACAGTCACGTCTCACAGATTACTTTTCTGTTTCTTTCACTTCTTTATCTCAGTATATGAGTCCAGAGCTTTGAAAGGTGCAAACTGCAACCACAAACTGCACTGTATATTTTAGGGATTTCACTGTATGTGATGAAGCAAAATGACGTCCAAACAAAAAGAAGGGTGTGGATCAGTGTTCAGTCTCGGTTTCCTTTAGGTTCGTTCTATGACCAGCCCATCAGAGCATGTGACTAGATTAGAATGGGATTAAATAGAAAAAATGAGTCACTCTCCAGCTGGGAGGTTAACATCATGCAGGTGTGGAGAGTCAGCTTTCTGTCAGGTACTGATAGTATTTTACATAATGTCATAACATTTCATTTTGCTCACCTGAGCAGAGAACAATAAACCTCTCTGGTTTACGCTCTCCTTGCCCGATCTGTCAGCTTAGATCGCTCTGCAACACGTTTAAAGCTAGATACATATTTTATAACCTAACCATGACTTGAATTTCGCCACATCTTTCTTAGCATAAAGATGTTGGATTTTATTAAGGGGCAACAGATTAAAAAGCGGTACAACATAAACTCATAATCTGCTTTAGATTGGCAGGTGAAGATTCTGAGTCATCCAGGTCAGAGTCATTCCAAAAAAGAAAATTAAAAACAATCCACTGGACTTTGTTTCCAACTTTGAAGAAGTTTTGCTTTCCATCCAGGAAGCTTTTTCAATTCAAAATGTCAGGAAGGATGTTTTATACGTACTGTACTTTTATTTTTTCTGTATAAAACCTGGAACTGAACGCTATTCCTGACATTTTGAATTGAAAATGCTTCTTGGATGAGAAACGAAATGTCTTCAAACTTTAAACAAAGTCCAGTGGGTTGTTTTTAATTTTCTGATTTAGATTCTAATTTGTAGAAACATAGTCCTATTGCTTCCACTTTGTATAGAGTCCTATGAAGGTAAGTTCTTATTTAAAGTTGCAATAAGAAAACGTAAATGGGAATTTTAACCGATATTAGTGAATCATTTCAAAAGCAACTTTACCAGCCGAAAAAATGTTGGATTTTAAGGAATAGTGGAGGATGTACATTTTCCCAATGGATCATCAAAATAAGTGGTCCTTCTAATTGTCAATCATTGCGGTGATATGTTTACATAACGCCACTTAGACAACTTTTGTTGTCATTTTGTACACAAACACTGGAAAAAATTAAGGTTAGTAGTTTTTTCCTAAAATAAGTGCATTCATTGTTGGATTGAGGAGGTAAAAGAGACATTTTGCCAATGGAACAAGACAATTTACACTTAAAATAAGTAAACACAATTGCATTGTCTTATTTCAAGTGCATATTATCTAATTCTCTTATTTTAAGAGTAAAAATACACATTGAATTGGCAAACTATCTCATTTACCTACTCAAGTTTAGGGTAAATATAATTAATTTAAGAAATGTTTACTTTTTCAATAGCTGGTAGAAGTCCCTCCTGCTGAAATGACTGCAGAGTTAGAATAACTGACCAAAAAGCTTGTTTACCTCCAGCGCCAGCAGGATCTCCGGGTTCTTCTTGTTGTTGAAGGACTTTGGATCCAAGTTGGATTTGAGTCTCTGCAGAGACTCGGACAGCGTCTCCGCATCCAGCTGGAACTACATCAAACAGTCAAACAAACCCTCCATTAATGACATCATCCAGAAACGCATCTCCTGCCTGACTGAAAGGCTGTATCATTCCCTCTACCTTCTTGTAGTTGTCGACGTTCTCCAGGTGAACTTCCTGCGCTATGCAGAGGTTGAGGAAGGATTGCCACTCCAGATGCACTCTGTCACAGATATTCTGGCAGAAAACGACAGCTACATTTTAAATCCTGCTTTTTAAAAACACAGAAACAACCTCTGCTTTGCAACATGCACCTGTATGGCAGGTATGCCGGGGTGATCCCCCTCAGTGAGATTGTTTCCTTCCGCCACGAGTTGGTTGACCTCCTGCTCATGCGCCAAGAGTCCATTACTTTTGAATTTCTGTTCATAGACACACATGTGAGATTCACTAAACCATAAGTTTATCACTCAGACATCAGGCTGAAGTGGGCTCCACATGCGACTCCTCACCTCGTACTCCACGCGTACCCCTGAGGGGTCGGCCATGTGATCGCTCCAGTCTCTGTTGATAATCCTCTCCTGCTGGCCGGACAGGTAGACCAGCTCTTTGCTGCAGCTCTGCATGTACTCATACAGAGAGGCCAGGTGCTTGTGCCTGAGCCTGGAGCTGTCCTGCAAACACACACAAAAATTCAGAGTTTCCAAAGAACTTCTAGTGAAGATTTAAAGGAAATGTCCTGTAAAATAAAAGCAAACTCACTAATAGTTTGTTATATCTCTCTCTGAAGACTTTGTAATCCTCCTGGAAGCATAAAGGACAGACTGGTTAGAGCTCTGACTGAGAGTTTTGTGAGAAGCGTTCATGTGACACTTGGTGCCGTTACCGGGGAAGCTGTGGAGCCGGGCTGCAGCTGGCTGCTGTAGGCCTCAATCTCTTGGTGCAGAATGTTGTGCTCAGCGATCTGCTTCTCTACGTCGTACAGGTTGGGGCCGTACTCCTCTCCCATGATATGGTCCTACAAACCACAGAGCCTTCAGAGGTCAAACCTATATTCATCTCTTTGCACTGCAGAAAAATGTCAATCTAAGAAAGTCCATTTTATTTTATTTTATTTTATTCTTTTCCCTTGAATTAAGCAGATAACTGAGACTATTTGCTAATGAAATAAAGCAATTTACTTTTGAAACAAGAAAAAGATTGCAATAGTTACCAGTTAGCAACTTGGTGCTTGTAGGTTCCCAATGGGAAATTATATTAGGACCAAGTAGGACTACATTGGTGACTTAGAAACGACACTGTCAAGGAACGCTATGGACAGCGGAAACATGCAAGAGGAGGAGAGTCTAGTGTCGGAGGTCGTGGATGAGTCTCCTCCATCATACATTTTTTTATTTAGAGGAGGAAAGCGGGACGAAGATGTTGTGGAAGAGGACGCCAGGGCGGCAGAAGCTTGGTTTGGTGTAGAAGGCTTACAGCCGTACATGTTTGAGCCCTTGCCTCACAACGCTGCCAGTTCTGTTAGCTCTACGCCTGCTGAAGACACAGACGTCCATCTGAACACTGGGACGGGACTTAATGGGAAAGGAAATTATTCTTATTTCTTTTTTCAAAAGTTGCGTATATTATCAATCAAGATTCTATGACCGGAAAAATTTGATTGACAGATGACCGTTGATATATGATTGGCCGAATTTAGATATACAAGCTGATGTGTAACTAACTGGCCTACATAAGATAACGGGGGAAAAAACACAGATTTTAAGACTGGATTTTTTTTTTTTTTTTATAGAAATTTTCAAAATTTTGGGACAATATGGTCTGATAAAGAGTACATTTATGTGCATACATAATTAAGCCAGAATGATTTGACATTTAAATATGATTTCCCTAAGACTTTAAGTATAATAATACTTAAAATAAGAAAGGGAAATGTCTTGAGAGCTGTAAAAAACAAAACTTAGTTTTATATACACCCTGTGTGTACAAAATTACAATAAAGTTATTCTAGGTCATAATATTCCTTCCATTTGCAGATCACCTTATATACTCACTCAAATTAAGGTTGAATACACTTATTTTAAGAAATTCCTACGTATTTTTAGATAGTTTTTTGCAGTGTGTAGAAGTAAATCCAACCTTGAAGGTTTTATTCAACATTGAAATTTGCAGACAATCTTCTTAAATTAGCTTTCATTACTTGATGTATAGTAAGGATGAAAGAATTATTAAAAAAATCTAATAGCTGATATGATGTTCAAGAAGGAGCTTATAAGTGAGCCACTGATTTAATATCAAACTGCTTTACTTAGCTGAAGAGTTGGTATATATTTTTTCTTTAAATAAACAAATTTTCTCTTGGACAATTTGCCCATGAAATTCATTTTTTAACAAGAAAAAAAAACGATCATCTAATTTCAAGCGCATAATATTCAATTATCTTGTCTTAAGAGCAAAGATATTCGCTCCTTTTGCAGATGAACTGATTTATCTGCTCAAATTAAGGAAAAACATCCATTTTAGCAAATCATTTCTTATTTTTTAATCAGTTTGTAATGGAGCAACTCCTGGAAGCTGTGACGGTTCAGTCTCAGGAGGACTGCGCTTTCAGTTAAGGCGCAGAAACTGGGCTGGCTGCTCCAGTTCTTCTAGAACCAAGTCGCTGCTCCCTTATTGGTGAGTTTGGAGTCATTTAAAAGGCATTAACAGCTCAGCCTGAAATATTTAATTATTCTGATACCTTCATGATCCCTGTTATGTGATGCCTCAGACTGAGTCAGATTCAGCTTCCCTCTCCTAAACGTCAGCAGCATAAAGGTGATAATTGTTGGATCAGCTGGTTTCTCTAATCCTCTCCAACACCTACCAGCGAATCATTTTCCATCAACAAATATAATTTCTACTGCAACCAGTAGTGGATCAGGTTAGAGGAGTTTGACCGCTATTATTTTTACTGTAACACTCAGGACTGATCCTGAAGCTGCAGCAACGCTCAGGTTCAACTGACCAGTTTTTCTTGAAGAACAGGACCCCAGTCGATCTTCTGCTTCAGCTCCAAGTCTTGCACCTGGTCGTAAAGATCCCTGTAGAGAGCGCAGCTCTTCGCCCAGCGTTCATGCAGGTTTTTTATGCTAGAGAGGAAGCAAACATCACAAAATAGTTTTTTTTTTAATCCACTGTAGAGTTTGAGATACAGTGTTTTTAAAGGTCAGAGTTTTCCAGATGAAACGTACTCGGTCTCTATCACAGAGGCCTGCGGGTGCTTCAGCTTCTTGGCTTTACCCACGTCCAGGAAAAGGTCCTTGAGCAGCTCCTCGGCCTGACCCAGGTTGGCCGAGTTTTCCTGCTGGTGAAGGCATCGCTTGTTCTTCTCCTCCAGTTCCTTGTCCTAAACAGAAGCAGGGGAAAAACATTTCTTTCAAGCTGGGATTTGTTTTTTGCTTTTTTATTCTATTGTAGAACAGACACCAAAAAAAGCAAATAAAACTACAGCTCTGAAAGACACACATTTTACACAGGAGGTGCAAAAAAATAAAATAAAAAAAAACTGATCCAGAATAAAGTCCTTTTAAAAGAATGAGAGACGTCCGGTCCAATATAATCTAAATATGGGCACCACACTGGAAAAACGTTCGAGAGATAAGTAAAAATTTCTTAGATTAAGTGTATTTACCTTTATTTTGAGTCTGTAAATTAGTATTTTTACTCTTAAAATAAGATAATTAGATAATATGCACTTGAAATAAGTCAATGCAATTGTGTTTATTTATTTTAAGTGTAAATTGTCTTGTTCCATTTGCAAAATGTCCCTTCTACCTCCTCAATTCAAGAACAAACTCAATTATTTTAAGAAAAAAGGACTTATCTAGATTATGATTTTTCCAGTGCACAGTATGTGGAACTGATCCATGCTAGTATTGTTGAGGTAATCATTGATGATGTGTGAGTTTATTACACCTTAATATCCACTGCCTGTTGCATGTCAGAACTGATGCTTCAAGGTGTAATAACACCTAATCCTAACATTTACAATTTAATAAAGAGTTTGTTAAAGATAGCCTCTCTGTGTCTACACCTTGAAGCTTTATCTCTCTCTGGTTCTTTTCCCCGAAAAGAGATCATTTGGGACAACCTCTTTAAATAACACTTCATAACTTATATGTATTAAATAACCACGCTGCAAAAAAAAGATGTAAATAAGTATTTTTTTCTTAAAATAAGCGCATTTTTTTGTTGAATTGAGGACTTAAGTGAAACACTTTGTCAATGGAACAAGGCAATTTACATTTAAAATAAGAACTCAAACACTTAATACACTTAATTCAAATTTTTATTTATTTATTTCTAACTCGTTCTTGCAGTGCATGGGACATGACAACAGATTTTTATAGAAATTGTAATCTTACTCAGATTAGAGAAATTGCTTAGAGTTTACAGAAGGCAGCTGCTCACCTCTCAGGAAGTGGCCCCGATAAACACTTAATGGGGCATTTTATTCACCTCCAGTCTGCCACATCATTGCATCATACATGTTAGCAGATGAGTAGACATCCATGGCTGCAGCATTATCAAAATATTTCACTTGGTTCTTAGCTGAAGGACACCGCTCTAAAATTAAGGTGTAATAAACTCACACATCATCAATGACAATTATCCGAACAGTATGGATGATGGTGGATAGATATTCAAGGGAAATCATTTTGGAAATTATTTTAGCAGCAACCACTGATAATTGGAGGTTTGATCCACCAGAGAAGAATGTTTTTCCTGCAAACTTTAAGAAATTGAGCAATCTTTCAGGTGCAGATTTTTTTCAATTGTTTGAAAGTCTCAGGATCAGAGTAACGGGTTCCATCTCAATATCAACGTTAATTATTATCTTTCAGAGAATCCCAGAACAGTAGGTTTGGATCGTATAACAAAAGCCCAGAAACAATGACTTTGGGTTCCCCAGTTTGTTTTGCATTTAAGACACAACGAAGGGAGAAAGTTCGGAGATATGTGTAATCTGTGAACTATTTGAAGCTTCAGTGAAGGTTGTTTTCTCACCACACGCAGCATCTCCTCAGCTTGCAAGATGTTCTTCTCCACTTGGTCAGCATTCTTCTGCATGCGCTTGATCACTTCTGCAAGTTCAGCCGCCTCCTGCCTGCACAGAGGAACCCATAGAGTCATCCTTATCCCGGACCCAAATCTATCATATAACTATAAAAATAAGAAAACTTCTGATCAAATGAGGTTAACGCAACACACAGCCATATTTAATGAGCCACACGACTAAAAGTAGTGGAAAGCTTTGATTTAAAAGAAACATAAACATATTTTTATCTCAAATTCAAACCTAAAAAGTGTAAACCTGTTTTAAGCCCCATTTACTCTTATACCTTTTAATAAAACTTAATTAGTTAGGGCTCCACATGTTGGGTATAAACGGATCAGTGTTTCACCACCAGCCACGAAAGCGGTGCAGCAAACGTACGGAGGAGATGCTCTGGTCAGACGGGAGCAAAACTTTAAGCATCACCAGACTTAAGCATGGTGGTGGCAGCATTATGCTGTGGGGACACTGAGGTCAAACTGTGCCGAACAATCCAGTCAAAGCCCAGAACTGTATTCACGGTGAAACCTGCTTAGGAATATTTTTCTATGAATGAGTCTGAGCGGTTTGCAAAGCTGATCCAGAATAGTAGCTTTTAATGAGGCACTGAATCATCGAGGCTTGATCAAAACATGCATCGCGCTGCTAGCTGGTTATTACTATAAACATAAGGAAACTGCACCTTATTTTCTTTCACTTCCTGTTCATCAACCTTCATTGTGTTGTTCTTTCACATAAAAGATGGGATGAGTATGTGTGACTCCTTTTGCAATCATCATCATCATCATCCACTGAGAGGAAATAAACCTGCTAGCTCGGCTCAGCTGGGATCTTTGCTCATAAAAACCTCAGGCAGACCTGTTTGGTGGCTCCGTCTGTTTGGTTTAGGATTCCTTCTTCATGAAGACACGACAGCAAAGTATTTATCATGACCCGCCCGGATTAAGAGCCAGAGGACACATTGTTGGCTGGAGGGGAGCGTGTCCCCCTTCATGCCCTCCTGTTAAACGGTCAGGAATGTGGTTTGGTTAAATGTCAGTGAGTGAGACATTCCTTCATCCTCAAGAAAAACAAGCAGCGTTAGTGGTGGACTGAAGGTTTATGAAAGGTGTAGACCTGTCTTCCACACTGTGGGTTTGTAGTAGGAAGACTAATGGGTGACAAATAGTTTCTGCAGAGAAAAGTTTTCTGCTCTTCTAATCACTCCCACTACAGGAATGTATCTGTATCTGTAAGGAAGTTACTCAGTAACTTTTGCTCATATTTACCCGTCTTTATCAAACTAAGGACCATTTTCTTCATAATATTTACGGTTTGTGGATAGATATGACATGTACAATTAATTTAAACACATTTTGGCCCTCTAATATTGTATTAATTGCAATAATTCCCTACAGTATGGATTTATTTTAACACCATAGGAAATAAAGGCAACTAAAATCAGAATTTTTGCCTTTCACTGACTTTGTTCCTTATAAGCTTTTTTTCTTTTTACGACGCTGAAAAATTGCTGTAATTAGGACTGCCTAACGAGCCAACGCTGCATCACTCATCCTATCAATGTCAGCGTGTGGTTGAGGACAAACAGGAGACTTTGCAGTGCCACTCCTGTGCACCACACCCCATAATGAAACGCTAATCATGTTCAGAAGTATGTGCCCCCTCCCTCCCACCTCACAGGTGACAGCAAGCAGAGATACAGGCTTCACCTGCTCACAGCAGAGCTGACGTTGCTCTAAGGAGGCAGCAATTAGTGACAAGCTGAGAGAAAAAATGGCTGCAAAAGGTGAATCCCACCCAGTCACCTTCAGTGGTTGTAAAGCAATAATAGCCAGGTATTTATTACAAAATTAGCCCCTGATTGGATTGTCGACCTAATTGGTAAATAGGTGTGGAGAAGGATAACATTATGGTTAATGGAATAAAAAATAAATATTCAAAACTCTTGGATTTTTAATAATTTTCTACAATTTATTGATCTAAATTGAAATATTTTTGCTTTTTAACTTTAACATCTCTCTTCTTAAGCTCCAAAAAAAATTAAACGTTTTAAAGATCAGTTTGTTGTTTTGTTATTAAGAGGTAATACATCCTTAATAGAAAAAATATATAATTAAAAGCACTTTCATTATTTTTGTGTGTTTTAGAAAATAGTGTGGAATTCGCTCTAGAGGAGGTCCTTTTTAGGTACAAAATTATAAAGCAATAAAACTGCTTTTTTTAATTATTTTATGATCACATTTGGAATAAATATATGTAACTTTTAGCCACTAGGGGCGCTCGACCAGTAACTTCCAGGATTAGAGGCCCTGGAAGCCATAGCAACTGGCAGCTCTGCATTGTCACAAAGTGAAACAGTTGGATATTAAGTCATGAAGTAATTCTTAAAGCTAAGATTAAATCTGACATCTGAGAACCATAAATGTGTCTGATCAGGTGTCATAAGTTTTATTTGGCGAACAACTTTTAGCGTAGCTAGCTCTCGTGTTTAAGAGGAGCTCAGACTGCCGTAAAGCGGAGCTCTGTGTGGTAAAATCAATTACTCTGCAACAGTTTTGACCCTATTAAATTATATAGGATCATTTCTGAGAGCAGCAACTAGAAAAAATCATTTATTTCAAATTTAGCTAAACTTAGGTCAAACGTTACACACTGTCTTACCCTGTAACACCAAGTGTCACGACAAAAAATGATAGATGCTTATAATTATACTCATGCAGTGGAGAAAATGCATTATAATTGGCACAGAAATGCTTAATAACTCAAAAAAATTTTATTTTTTTTTTACCTCAAAATTTAAATACATTAAAACAAAAATGTTTATACCTATAATATGTTGTCGATTTAAAAGTATCAAGAATTTATCTAACAAGATCTGTCTTTCTTTGATAAAGAAACTAAAACAGACTTTTCTATTAGAACTGGAAACCCTAGCCTGTCTGACTTAGTCTATCCAGGCTATTTGATTCTCACAGAGATAATAAAAACTCACAATGGTTAAAAAAAAAAATCTGTAGTTTTTGAAAAGGATTTCGAATTAGGAGACAGAATCAGTGTTTGACAAGTAAAACTGCTTTTCTCAATAACCATCTATGACCCAGTTCAAACTTACTTTAACAATTAATTCTATCTTCATGAGTATTTTTTAATACATAAAGCAAAGGCTTGACATGTTTTTGGAGCCCAGGCTTCCATGTTGGCTGGGTTGTAGTTTTGAGTCGCCCATATAGGTAACTGCAGGCTGATGATTGACCTCTTTGGCAAAGAGGTTAAGAAAAGGAATCAATGAAAGAGGAAAGTTGAGCCTTCAAAATGTCCTCTGACTCTTTTTGCTTTTCAATCACTTTTATAGACATGCAGTCTATCCTGCTAGACTTTGATTGTCTGTTAATATTCAACAGGCCTCCTCAGTCATCAATGAACCAACAATACATTGAGAGATTTAGGGAAAAGCATTCCTCTGCATGAGTAAAACCGATACAAGAGCAGCTGTGAAGATAGAAGACTAAATAAGGAACAAACACACACACACACACCCAGGAAACCTGACACACACACACACACATTCAACTCACTTGCTGAGCTTCACAGAGCTGAGTTCGTTTTTCTTCGACATCTCGGGAGGCCGTCAGGGACGTGTTACTGTAATCTGAGTCCTGCTATGGTTCTTCCAGCACCCCACTCTCTTCTCCTCTTCTTCCTCTCACTAATGTGTTGTATTCTCTACTTCCACTCACTCCCCCTCCCACCCCACTCAGTTAAGAAGCGTCCACCTGTCTGTGCTCCTCCCAGGCCAACAGGTGTAGGTGTGTCATCCATACTGAGCGCTGCAGACCGGGTCGACCTGTTCCACTCTCCTGCCAGCTTCCGCTGCCTTATTTTTATTCCAGGAGTTTTTCCCTGCCACACATTTAATCCAGTAATCAAGTTCTGAGAAACCAAGCTTCAGGAAACAGGAGCTGCAATTTGAGATTTCTGTTTTGCTTTGCTTTCTTTTGCCTACAACAGTTTTTGTTCAATTGGAATCCTTCTTTGTGTGCCAAACTAAAACTTGATTGATAACTCTGCTTTGAAAACGTTTATTATCCACAGTAGTGTTTTAATTTTTAATCACAGTTATCGTGGAGTTAATCTGTATTTTAGATTTTCTTAAAAAGGCAAGTCAGCTGAAATAAAAAGTCCCAAATCAGGGATTTTCAGACGCTTATTTGGAGCTGCAGGTTTTTAGGGCATACTGTATCTATGTGCTCCTGAGATTTAAGTTTATGTTTCTTCTGCCTAAAAGTAATATTTAAACCGTGAGGTGCCCGAATCAGAGTGTAAGGCAAGGCAAGGCAAATTTATATAGCACAATTCAGTACAAAGACAATGCAAAGTGCTTTACATGATCAAAATATAGGAAAATAAAACAGAATAAAAGCAAGTAGGAAAAAAAAAAAAAAAAACATAACATGATTTTCTGTGTGGGGAGCTAACAATTAGGGTGATGGCAAGGAGACCCTCCAGCCTCGTAGACCATCAGTCATCAATAACCCAGAGATTATATTAAATCATTGCGATTTAAATTACAAAATTTCTTGTTTCATTTTTTGTTTTTTTTGGGAGCTCTTTCATTTTCCACCCAAAACAAACTTCTAAATTACATTAAGTTCATTTGAAATCAAAATCATCCAGGGGTATGAATAATTTTGACCTTTGCATTATGCAGTCTATATTATCCTCTCCCTATTCTAAAAAATATTAACCCACAGCACAATGCTGCTACCACCATGTTTCACACTGGAGATGGGGTGTTTATGGTCACACGGAAAGTTAGTTTTCTGCCTTACTTTTTTTTTTTTTGCACTATATTAACCCTTTATATGGTAAGTTTTCGGTCACTTCCATACCCCTTACTAATGAAGTCTAGAAGCAAAAGATTTATATCCAGCCATTCAGCTAAGATATGACTACCTGGAAGTACACATGATTTATCAAATTGAATGAGTCCTTGGATAATAATAACCAGCTAATGTAAAAAGATAAAACGCTAATTGAAAAGTTAATAAGCTAAGTTAAAAAGTAAATGTAAGTGAATGCATCAGCATTAATATCCTATGGTTGGGCAACAAAAATTGTTTAACTCATTGAATATTTTTTCATTAACTTTTGTTCTTTTTCTTAATATATTAAGGCAAGTGTCTGTCTTGTTTTTACATTGACCTTAATTTTTGTCATCAGAATATAGTTATTTTTTAGATGTTACAAAAGTAATAAGGTCTTGTCTTACCCTCCAATAGCAGTCTAAGCTTGAAACTTGGATTTTAAAAGTATTTCATTGAATTTAAGGGTAGCAAAATAAAGAGGTATTGTCTTTCGACTTAGAATTATTCACTACTTTTCGTAAGTCTTTTAATTAAAAGCCTGAAAATCATATCCCAGTTGTACTGTGACAAAGTGTGACACAGGGTTTTACAGTTCAGTAAAACCAACAAAAAAAAACAGAAACTGAAATAGATAACTAACCAAAATTAGATTTATACTCATCTTTTTTTATTGTTTATCAATTTTTTTCTACCTTAAACTTGTGTGATTTCCTTTTACAACCAGTTTTTTAATGGTTTTCTCATATGCACAATTTCACTCTAACCTTTTTGAATCCTGCACCTAAGAATTAACCGCAGTATCACTAAAACTAGATGTAAACTAAACATTATTTAAATTGAGCAACTAATAAAACTCAAGACATTTAATCTAATAACTGATTAAAACTGAATTAGAGAGACAAAAAAAACTCAAAGTGCAAAACTGTTACAACCTTGGTGTGGAAAATGTTGAATAGTTCTGAAAACTTTACAAGTAAAGGAATGTAGAGTAACTTGTCCTATTGTGTGTTTTGAGTCGTGATAAACTCTTTTTTCACTTTCCAAATATAAAGTAAAAACAGAAAGATAAAACACTTTCACATCTGATGTAATTGAATATTTCCGATAACGCAGAAGAGAATGAACTATTGGATTTGGATGCGTACGGTCAGATTTTTCTGACTATTGGTGCTCAGAACATTAAGGATCAGCAGAGCCTAGAGCAGCTGAATTTCCAGGTATCTGTACTTATCGTGCACACACACCCAGTGCAGTTATCCAAGTGTCAAGGTCTGAAGTGAGGAATGCAAAGTCCAAATGAGGGAGTCAGAAAACTGTGGCTGATAACATAAACCCGGGTTCAGTTTTTCATGGGGGAATGTGAGAGCTGATTACACACAAATATGCACACCTTTATAAGGGAAGCTGACAGGAGACAGCTGACAGGACTTCAATGCGACTTCTTTCCGCGTCATTGGGAAGAAATGACTCCAGCATGCTGCCCTGTCTCATGCTTCGGAAGGGTGTGTGTGACTCACACCCAGAGCAGCAACTCCATGAAGCCAACGCCTTCATACCAGCGAGGAGAGGGAGGGGTTAGAGAACAAAGGTGAGAGGAAATATGGCTCAACAGGAAGGACAGAGCTGTCAGACAGGAAAGCGGACACAGTGAGGGGGAGTCACACCAGGCCTGGACCTCAGACCCTTGCTGTAGTTAAACACCATGAGAGAGATGCTGTCGCTTAGAGTGGATCAAGAGAAAGCAAATTAAAAAATTTTCTTTGGACTGACTTAGTTAAACTGCTAAAAACAAGCTGGGACTGCTATGCAGCCGGTGTGACCAGTTGGTGTGTTCTGATAGATTCAATAGACCAGGAACTATTTATTCATTCATTAAACATCTATGGATTTCCTTTAGACTCAATGTGATCAAATAGACTACAGAGGAGGGCTTCAACAGGGGGTCCAAGGAAGTACTGCATGGGGGCCATGAAAGTTTTGATTGATTACACTTTTTATATTCCTCCCTGCTATAATTTTCAGTAATATAAATGTCTTTAAATACAAATTAACATGAACTCAACACACTGAAGTAAACGGATAGATGGAGGCAGAAGATGTCAGTCACCAAAGTACACATTGGTGGGCAGTATTTCATTCACAGCACCTGCCCATCAATGAGGAATCAGAAATGCTTTAATAATCACAGGGCAACATTACTTACATTAGTCCATCTGTAATAGAGTGATTATAGGACCAGTTTAATATAACACAATTTCATACAACATAATTAGGGGGTCCCAGCTCCATCTCACCATCAGTTTGGGGGTCCTTGGCCTGGAAAACGTTTAAGACCCCTGGACTACAGGACTGTAAATCTGTGTTGCTGGGGCAGACATACTTGAGGGGTTTGAGCACATCAAGTGCCTAAAACCTTTGGATTAATAACTCTTGTTTGCCTTTTTTATTCCTGCCCGATGTCACCTAAACTAAATTCAGTCTCCATGTCGTCAAATAACCCTTTATATTTAATATCTCACCACTTATTCTTTTCCAGATTAATCCGTCCGTCGTCTTCCTATTTCTAGATTTTTTTTTTTTTTTACAATTTGATTATAACTAGCTGAAAAAAATTTCAACCATTTGATCCCAAAAGGATATTAAATGTTAAGGTTACTTCAATATGTTGCAGATACCATTAGCTGTAGGTAGGGAAAATATACACACACCCACCTTTAATTAGGAAAGGTTTGAAGTCACCTATGACTTTTGCAATTATAAAGTGTGGAAATTTGTGGGGCATCTAGGAGAATAGGGGTGTACAATCAGGTAAATTTGTTCTAAAAGTTACAAAAGCAAACAGCTTTTGCAGCACCACTGCATCGTTTAAAAATGGGTGACCTAAATGAAATCTAATGGGGTAGCCCTTTACCCCCACAAGTCAACATCTGTTTAGAGATTATTTTAGTGCATCTTAAATTGATCAGTTTGTGGGAGCCAACAACGGAGATTTATAAGCAATATCTTGTAGGATACGATGAGAACTCACTTCTGTGCTGCATATTTAAATTTCTCATTTCATTCCACCAACGCCATACTTTGAACTTTAGAGAAAGCAACTGATCTAAGGGAAAGTATGACCCCTGCTGGATGAAACTGGTAGAACAAGAGAATAAGTTCAACAAAAGACAAAAACAAGAATCTTTTCTGGGGTTTTATTTCAAAGATCATGCAGTGCACTTCCAATGTAGGAGCCGAACATCACTGAATGCTACACATGAAAACCAATACACTTGTAATTATCTGGTACAAAACAAACTATATTTCAGAGGAATGTAACAAATTAAATAGGAGGAAAAAAAAAATATAAAGTGGAAACTATTGCCGCACTGCAGATCTTAAAAAGACTTCATGAGTTTTACTTTAACCCTTCTGTGTCAATACAAAAATTCAAATTAAAGAACCTAAAAGACAAAATGCAATAAATTACCTCTTTCAAGTTCGTGGGGCATCTACTGAGGGAACTGTGGAGGCATGGGGTACGGCACCAGAGGGGGAGGGGGATGCTGTGGAGGGGCAACCTGTGGGGGAGCCTGGGGGAACGAGAACTGAGGATGGCTCGTCCCGTTCTGAGCCACAGGGTTGCTGGGGGCACACTGTTGGGCCTGGAAGTTGTTTTGGGCGACAAATGTTTGAGTTTGGTTGTTGCTGAAGTTTGACTGTCCATTGTTATTGTAGTTGCCCCCACCGTAACCATTGCTGGTGCCGTTATTGCTGCCATAGCCTCCATTCTGAGAACCTGTGCCGTAACTCTTGTTTGGTCCATTGTTATAACCTCTATCTCTACCACCACCAAAATCACGCCTTCCAGAGGAATACCTATCCCGACGGTCGTCTCTATAGTCACCACCTCTGCCGCCCCTTGAACGACCTGAGGAAAAGATAAAGAAATCAACTACGCTGGTAAGCTCTTCTTTATAATCAACCCCACCCAGAAACAATCAGCGGAAGAGTTTTGCCAAGGACGGCACCGTTTTTGCATCTCACCAATTATTTTTACCTCCTCTTTCTTCTGCCATTTGGAGGAGCTTTGGGTTGATGGCCTGGTTGGCCTCCCGGAGCACGGAGACGAGGTCCGCCGCCTGCCGCATGTTGTTGGGAGTGAAGAAGGTATAAGCCGTGCCGGTCTTTTGGCTGCGAGCCGTTCTGCCAATGCGGTGGATATAGTCCTCAGAGTTGTTAGGGTAGTCAAAGTTGATGACAAATTTCACGTCTTCCACATCTGTAAGATGTTGCGGTGTGGCAGAAAAGAGGGCAACACGTGTGTGCCAAAGCCAACACAACAACCAGACCAAAGGAGATAAAGTTAGTCCCGTCACTGGAGGACGAAGGTGGGTATACTTTACAGCTGGAAAAAAAGGCTAGCATTAAATGTCAACAGGGAGACTACGGTGGGAAAAGAAAAATGATGCACACTCCATTCACTTCTTATACACCAGGCATAAGTCTTACCTTAAAGGAGTATGCATTCAATAATCCATTCCCATTGCAGCACAACCCTAACACTGTCATTAAAAAAAGGTCTCTATAAAACAACTTCCTCTTAGAAACTTGTCCTTTAAAAAAAGAAGTGGGGGGAAAAAACCCTTCATCTCCCCCCACCCTGTTGCTCCTTGCTGACTACTGAATTCAAACTTTGCCGTTAACCTGTAGACCAGACCCTCCTTGAAGGAAGCCTACAGGTCAACCCCTTTCCAGCATGTGATCTTTTCCATACCAAGCGTTCACTTGACCATAATGTCTCTCGTTGGCAGGTCTCGACATGACTTTCAAACGCAGGCGAGGGAGGAATGTGAGCTTGGATTTAGTCCAACCGTGTCCAACTACCATGTCCCACTGTCACCAAAAGCGCCAGTAGCCATGTCATTACAGAGGTGAGGGTATGATCGGACTGCTCTTCAGACTGATGTTTAAGAAACCGCATCATTTACCATGCTTCGAAAGTCTCACTAGAACAGTTCAATTGGCTCAAATGACTTGCAATGCAGAATCCAAAAGTACATGCAAGACAAAAGGAGGCAGGGCAGCCGGGCTTTTAGCTGGGACACTTAGACCAGGGTGTGTGAAGCAGTCCAAACCATGGCCGGAAAAACAAAACATGGGGGAGGAACTTTGGCCAGCCCTCAACTCTCCCCCATTTTTAGGCAGGCCAGCACATTATGCTTCGTTTGGGCCTGGTCACCTCTGTACATCTGCATGACTGGGAGACCCGTGCCTCGCCAGTCTGGACACCTCCAAGAATCCTCCTTCCCCCTCTGGATACCTGGGCTTGTCATGCCAAGGCCCTGCCACACAGACTGCTCCTTCAGGTCAGGGGAGAAACTCAGAAAGAAGCAGAAGTGTTAAAGAAAGCAAATACTTTCTTCTAGAAATTCATTCAAAGACAGTCTAGTTTACAGGATACAGACCTAGGCCTCTGGATGCGACGTCTGTGGCGATGAGTATGGGGGCTTTGCCAAATTTGAACTCTAAAAACGGCAGAAGACAGAATTATAATTTCAACACATTTTGTAAGGAAAAAAATAAGTGCATCTTTAAAAAGACTTTACCATTAAGAACCCAGTCTCTTTCCTGCTGGCTTTTGTCACCATGGATACCCATAGCTGGCCACCTGAATAAAATTACGGTCATTATTACCAGGAAGTGTAATAGACTGGTTTATATGCTCAAATTAATTTCAGGACATACCCATCTCTTCTCATTCGACGAGTGAGGTCATCACACCGCCTCTTTGTCTCCACAAAGATGATTGTCTTGTTCTCCTTCTCACTCATGATCTCCTCGAGCAGACGGATCAGCCTAGAAAATGTACACGAGTTCAGTTTCTGGAAAAGTGCTTGGGCAAACTTTTAGGGGGGTCTGGTACATACTTGTTTTCTTTCTCTCCATCATTGCAAACATCCACAATCTGAAGGATGTTATGATTAGCACTAAGCTGTAGTGCACCGATGTTGATTTGAACATATTCCTTCAGGAAGTCTTCTGCCAGTTGGCGAACCTCTTTAGGCCAAGTGGCACTCCACATGAGAGTCTGTCTGTCGGGCTGTAACAACAGTCAGCCTAACTGTAAACATCAGCTTATACAGTAAATCTACTTTAGCTCTTGAATCAAGTCATCTCATACCCTGATTTGGTCAACAATTTTCCTGATCTGAGGCTCAAATCCCATATCCAGCATTCTGTCTGCCTCATCCAGCACCAAGTAAGTGCATCGGCGAAGGTTTGTCTTTCCTGCCTCAAGGAAGTCAATGAGCCTCCCTGGAGTGGCAATGCAAATTTCTACACCTAAGAAAACAAAGCAGATGGTCAGTTAGTGGGCAACTCCATGCATCGCCCTCCATCAATAGTTCTGCACACACAAACAGCACGTACCCCTCTCCAAATCGCGGAGCTGAGGCCCTTTCGGAGCACCTCCGTAGATGCAGGTGGATTTCAGACGAGAAGCTCTGCCGTATTCAGCCGCCACCTGCTGTACTTGCTGTGCCAGCTCACGAGTGGGGGCCAACACCAAGCACTGCCAGGAAGAATTGCATTTTATCAAATCAGTATAGTATGCCTAGAAATTTTGTTTTCCAGCCTTTAACTGTATACAACAAAGCCCAGAGACTAAAAAACTTACAATTGGACCATCCCCACGTTCCAAGAAAGGCTGATGATTGATGTGGACAATCGCAGGCAGAAGATACTGCAAAGGAAAACATTAAGTATCAACTACACCCATCATGTTCTGACCACTATCATTTAATCCAAGTGACTAAATTAACCAACAGCTTACAGAAAGTGTCTTTCCAGAGCCAGTCTGAGCAATGCCGACCATGTCCATGCCACTGAGAGCCAAAGGCCATCCCTGAGCCTGGATAGGCGTTGGTTCAGTCCAGTTCTGTTTGTTGATGACCTCCATCACATAAGCTAAAGCAGTAAAATATGGAAAACAGAATGAAGTGTAACTATTCAAACTATTGATGCATACACCAATTTCTTAAACTTACAGGGAAAGCTAGCCTCATGGAACTGAGTTATAGGGTTGGGGCAGTCCCTCCCTTTCACCGTTATCGTTTTGGACCTTCTGTATTGCTCCGCTTCTTGCTGTAAAACGTAAACAATCACAAATGAGGGCAACATCAACCAACAAGAGTAGTCAAGCTAAACCGTTATATAACCTATACATACCAGTGTTCTACGGGCGACATCAGGATGCTGCTGATAAAAGTTTTTCTCAAACTTTGGAAGCTCATCCAGGTTCCAGTGTTTCTTCCTTAATCGCTCCCCTGGATTCCCGAACTTTCCTCCTCCACCGCCACCACTCCGGCTCCCACCGAACCGGGGAGGCCCACCGCCATAGCTGCAGATAAACGAAACTTTTCCGTTTCAAATGTCCACGCTAAGTAAAAATAGTCACACATAGCTAGATTTTGTTAGTTAGCGTAATCATTGGGAGAACCCCGCTTAAAAAGCCCGTTTTATGAGGGATACATAGAATAGTAATCTTATTTGACCGATTAGCTCCCTTTTGTGATTGCAATTCAATTGATATCAGTGGGGTACTACAATTTAACAGTGTTAACTTTAGTTTTAAACGTGTTGACACACGTTGATTTTTTTTTTTTCCAGCAGGGAGCAAACTGGGGAGAGAATGGAAAAAAGAAGGCGGCATTTTGTGTCCGCTTACTAACGCCGCCACATGGCGAAAAGCCGACTAGCCGCGTTAGCTCCACGTTAGCTGCCACCCACAGAGCAAATTAAACATCCCAAACAATCACTAAATAGGACGAAAACTGACATAAAACCCGTTGAATTGCTTGCTGGTTGTAGACTATCGTTTTGATCAAGTTCAAAGTAGAGGTTTGACCAGCTGTTAGCTTAGCAAGTTAGCCGGTAGCTAACAACTTACAGCAGTTTCGGGGCACGAGGCCAAATAAGGCCTCAGGCTTTGAAAAAAACGAGGTAACAAAAGGACTAATATAGAAGATTGTAACGAACAAAATGTTATAATAGTTGTTGCTTGGCCATTGTGAAGCATTCAGAAAGCTAGCTTACAATTGTAAAACGTTATTTTTAATTAACTGAAGTATCAACCATGTCACGCGACGGTAGCATCCGTTAAAATAAAACTAAAGTTACGGACTTACCCTCTGTCTCTATCTCTGCCGCGATCTCTGTCTGAATATCCAGGCATACTGTTAACAAAAAGGTGCAAGTAAAAAAGAAAGCTGTAAATACAAAGCGGCCTCTACTTCAGATGGCAGGCCGGCAGTGGTGCTGAAATGCCGGTTACCGCGAAATGAGGCCCGGCTTTTATATGAAGCAGAACGTCTTACTTCCTACAGATTCATCCGCCGCAGCAGTTTCGATCTCCGTGGTTCCCTAAAAACGATAAAGGCTACAAATTTTCAATCTTTTACACAATTTCACGGTAAGATCGAAGCACGATCTTCCCTAAAAAGAGTTACTGCGTTTAAAGTATTCATATAAGAAAAAATGACAACTTAAGAGTCTAAACAAACATGTATACACCAAAGGAGAACAACTTTATACTAAAAACACAAATAAATAAAAATTAAATCTGTCGTAACCAGTGAAGAATAAAACAAAGGCGGTGGATATCTTTGTAGGAAATCATACATGCTAAACTTCATGGGTTTACTAGTGCGAGTTCTGGCGGATGAATATGTACCATATGTACCAGACAAAAAAAAGGAGTGATACGACCTACTTCCGATGGCTGCACATATAACAGTAAATGACGCAATCAGGACCAACCCAAATATTTTTTTCTTTTCTCTTTTTCTCAGGTATTACGGTTAAACTGACAGATTTTCTTAATTTAATTAGAAGTAACAACTTTTTGATATGATCTTCTTTGTTTTAATGGATTTTATCATTTCTATAAATACCATGTATTTCATTTAAATTTTATGTATTTTAACAGAATGTGCATATGAAGTATGAAAAGAACAATATATATTTTTAATAGTAATACTTTTTTTGTGTGTGTGTGTGTGTGTGTGGCATGTTACCTACACCACTATGTAAAACTGAATACAACCTTCCTTCAGAACTCACCTCATTAAAATGGATTAAAAGTTTGTGTTTCTTAATATTGGTTACAGGTTTTATTTAAAATTTTTAAATTATAAATCAAGATTCCTAACTAAAAAAAAATAGAATCCATATAAATCCTGTGTATTTGGTATTTGTCACAATTTTAAAACATATTTTATGGAGAAAAAAAACAATTTCTTATAACCATTACTTGAATAAAAGGTTCACCTTTTTTCCAAAATATTGTGCAGTTTGATTAATGAAAAGCTTTACTTGAAACTTTTCCTCCCTAAATTGATTCCTTATGACCAGTCTGCCCAACTTCTAAATATTGAGTAGTTTGAGTACTAAACAGTAAAATAAATCCTTTGACATTTTCTACTGTAATCACACCATTCACAACCTGTTTATTGTTTACAGTCTTAGCCAAAGAAAAGACAGAACACGTTGTAGAAGGCCTTATTACATTGTTAGACAAAGGCAAGTTTAATTAGAACTAATTACACACAAAAATAAGATACTCTTACAAAATGATAGTGTTAACGTACGTAAAACTGCATCAGTCAGCTACGAGAAATATAGTCCTGCTAGTGGATCATGCTGTTTGAAAAACAAAACGTAACATCTCTTAACTGTGACCTTTTCTATTAAAAGTGAACAGGCGGCAGCGTCGGGAGGAGGGGGGCAGTGTTCAGCCATGTAGTGTAGAACAGAAAGCAGGAAGATCTGCAGGGATGGAATTCATATCAGCTGCATCCCTCATTAAACACTCGCAGGAACCTCATCTTCTTTTGTGTGCAACTCTTCTTTGCAGACGGAAATTAAAACAACAACAAAAAATCTACTTAAGTTAAAGATAAATTACACTTTGTTTGATCCACATATAAGAACATTATCTTATAACTGTACAAAGCACCGTCTGAGGACACTTTTTACTTTGCAAACGTTTGTGAAAAGTTTTTTTTTGTATGCATGTATGCAAATGATAAGAACAGTCCACGGTCTTTAGAGATTGCTCGACAGGCAGCGTCTTTAAAAAAAAAAAACATTCAAGAATTGTATTTTTTAATTATATAAACAATAAAACCAAAAACGTCTTTCGAAACGACGGAGCAATTCCTTTCATTCAGTCAACTTTTAAGCCCATGTATGGACACATGCACAATAAAACAGAAAAAAAAAATGCTTATGGGTAAATGTTAAATGTCAGCTATGAAAAGATGAACCCCTAAAAAAAGAGCTTTGTTCTTTTTAACTCTTAGAAAATCACGACAAATGGCCAGCATTAGTTTTAAATATTAAACTACATACGGCAGCTCCTGAGAATGTGGCCAGGGAGCTTTTAGCCATAAACAGGTATAAGCATTAGCAGGGTGATGTGCACTTTAGGCAGTAGTATGTCAGTGAGCGTGTTTGCTAGTATATATATATAGAGAGATATAAAAAGTAAATGCTATTTAGCACCACATGGCTGAAAGGTAGTAAAGGTTTCTTCTATTTCCATATAGGCAGCACACAGCAGATAATGATGAACTCTGCCCTTCTGAGGCGACCAGACCAATACCTTTAAGATCACTGCCTGTTGCATGAATATAGTCCAGCTACAAATGACTGCACATCACACCAGGATACTCAAAAAATGATAGTGAAAATAACGCTAAAAGAATTGGTATATTTTAAAGGGTTAGCTGAATATTTGCCCTCTAGATGATTATGGCACTCAGAGGATGTTTATTGATACTAAAGAGATTCTGCTTTCAAATAGCGGGTAACTTTTCAAAGATTCGCTTTTTTTTATCCGGTTTCTGGAACATAATAGCAATAAATTATATATATTACATAAAACTTTTTTTTGTTTTTGCCCCCCCCCCGTTATATAAAAATATCACATATCAAGTGATGCATTCGTTTCAAACACAGCTAGCTCTTAAAATGTGCGAGTCAGGGTTCCAGGGACGACAGGTCCCTGCCTCTGTCTTTGGAGGAGGTTGTAAACAGTCGGTTTTAGCTCCGTTTTTAAGCCTCGGCATCGCGGTTGCATACGTCTCGCCTCCTTGGGAACGCCGCCAGGTGATCGCTTTGGGAAAGCCGCTCCCTCTGCATCCAGATTTAGTGTTTCCAGGGTGCTTGCAGCATAAAAATATGTCCTTTAAATGTGATTTTTTTTGTTTGTTTGTTTGTTTCAAAGTGAACAGACCTTTTATTCTGCTTGACAAAAATGAAGCATTTTGCTACATGGAATAAGGTCTATTTTCAAATGCTGAAATGAAAAAAAAAAAAAAGAAAATGAAGGTTCCTCAAGTTAGTAAATAAGAGTTATTAGCAGCTGGAAAATCCTTTTCAATGATAAAATAAAAAGATATTAAGGGAAGAGGGTTTTAGAACCAAACCCATTGGTCCGCTTTCCTCCCTTCCTTTAGCGTGGCTACATGTCGGAGTATGAGCCCCTCCCGATCTGCTCTGTATGCTGCAGCTTGATAAGGTCGAACCCATGAGCCTGTGATTGAGGGAGGCGGAGCCTGTTCATTCACTCCACGGCAAAGCCACACGTCTCTTCGATGGCGGTGAGTAACTTGTCGTATAATTTGTCATAGCTTTCATAGGGAGGAATGTCGATTCGGTTAAAACTGGGGAGAAAAGAAAGAAAAAGAACAGAGACGATTAGAACAAATCGGTTAAAGACGCTGCTCTGATATATTTAAAAAAAAAATACATTTTAGAAAGTCTAAAATAAATACATCTGCATAAAATATATGATCTTTAATTCAAGAAAATTTACAAAAATAACTGACAAGAGGCACGACTGTTGGCACCCATTGTAATAATATATATAGTGAGGTCAGACATCTGTGATCCTGAATCAAACTCCTATCTGATCTTTTTGAACCACAAACCGACATCACACTGCCTTATTGTTCATTTGATGTCTAAGACGTCGCTTTCCATCGACAGTTGTCACAACTTTGCAAATAGCAGTTAGCAAAATGGAGGACTGCACAGAGAAGGAACAGCAAGATGTTAGAAATCTTTAAAGGCATAGAGGAAGATCCTTTATTTTCGGGTCAATTATCTAATAATAAATAAATAAATGGTCCTACTAATTGTCAATCATTCTGGTGGTATGTTTACCTTAGGCCGTTCTACGTACTCGCCCACTTAGCTATCTTTTTCTGCAGATGTATGCTTTCAGGCGTAAATCTATGGTGAGCTATGGTTTCAGACAGTCATTGAAGTGCACCTTTCTCACAGCTGTTCTTTCAAAATGGCAGAGGGTTCTAAAGAAAAAGTTACTACGAAGGGTATAAGAAAAGAAAGGCCTCAGAGGAGGCAGATATATCCCAGAGTGGAGGAGGAATTATGTGACCAACGGGGAGCAAAAAGTAGTGATCATCTGTCCGACTATATAGTTCCTGCTCTATATAGTGATGGAGGGATTTAGGTGTTAAGGCTAATTTATACTTCGAAACTAGGTCGTCTGCATAAGTTTAACAGTGAACAAAAAGACGTCCCCGCCCCCTCCACATACACTCTAGTGCAGTGGTCCCCAACCTTTTTTGCACCACGGACCGCTATATGTCAGACAATATTTTGACGGACCGACTGGGGTGGGGGGGTGTAGATACGATCAAGTAAAATGATACGACTGGCATAAACTCAAATACAAACAGCATAAAAATAAAACAACAAGCCGGTCCCATCTAGGCGTAATCGGAGAAAATGACAGACGAAGTGTGCTCCTGATGTCCAGTCTGATCCGTATTGTTTTGGTCGCTGTAACCGCAGAAAATCCCGCTTCACAAAGATAGGATGTTATAGATGGGATGTGTCTTGAACTGAATGAACCTGTGTCAAGAGGCACAAATGCACAGACTGATGTAATTGGGAGAGAATACCGCAATTTTTAATATTTTTAAAAATAAAACATCACTCAGACTCTGATCGTCGATAAATTATATATATATATATATATATATATATATATATATATATATATATATATATATATATATATATATATATATATATATTAGTGCTGTCAATCGATAAAAAAAATTTAATCGCAATTAATCGCATCAATGCCTGAGTTAACTCGCGATTAATCGCATTTTAATCGCAAATTTTTTTTCTGATTGAAAATCATTTAAATACTCTCGATGACATACAAAAAATACATACAGGCTAGGTTTGTGCCAATGTTCTTTTTTTAAAATGAAAACAGGTCACAGACACTGATTTATGCCATAGAAACATATGGCAAGAAGATGGGGAGGCATGTAGCAAAAAATAACAAATATGTAGCCAAAAAAAAGGCCCTGAAAACAGGCTGATGTAAAAGACAGTCTTTACAGTTAATACAGTCTTTTGAACAAAGACAAGCATTTTACCCTACTGCTATAAAATTTAGTAGAGTTAACATTAGATGTTAATTAACCAAGATAATAAATGAACAATTTTCAATCAATACATCAAAATCAATAGACCGACATCACTAGATGGAGGTAGTCTATGCCCTAGAAAGTTACTTTTCAGCCTCTTAACAAAAATGAGAACACACACACACACACACACACACACACACACACACACACACACACACACACACACACACACACACACAATACCGACCTGTGGCGTACACAGACAGCAAGAGTGCCGTAGCAGATTCCATTTCACCTCGGTAATCTGTTTTCTCAGCGTATTTCAGGTTGCTACTAGTTACCAGACACTCAACTTGTTTGTTGGTGGTGGGGCTTAAAGAAAAGGCACTAGCGCCACCCAGTGTATGAGCGTCTTTTTTCCTTGAGGAGCTCCGCTCTCGAAGCCTATGGAAAATGCATAGACTGGGGGAAAATAGCCCCGCCTTCCCGCAGGCTGCAGCGGGATGTACTTGGAAAATTGTACCATAAAACCACATAGCGTTAATCTCGCGTTAAAAAAAATATCGCCGTTAAAATGGCCTCGCGTTAACGCGATAATTTTGACAGCACTAATATATATATATATATATATATATATATATATATATATATATTTTTTTTTTTTTTTTTTTTTCTGTGTGGCCTGGTACCAAATGACCCACGGACCGGTACTGGTCCGCGGCCCGGTGGTTGGGGACCGCTGCTCTAGTGCACCTCTCCCAAATCGTAGGTGACTGCAGATAGTGCCGCAGACAGGAGGCCTCTGATTGGTCAAACCTAGATCCGCTTGCCGGCTTGTTTTGTTTGTATGACCGCAATTGCGGAAAAAAACTCGTGAAGATGGAGCAGCTAGAAGAGAGAGGTGCGCGAGAACGCTAGGACCTTTTTTCCACCTGGATACCCACTCTTTTTCGCCCTCATGTCCCTCCGTTGTCGGACAAACTCGCCCTTACGCCCCGGCCGTATCTAGACCCACAGCTAGTTCGTGATTTTCCCTTTTACGTTGTGGCATAGAATAACATAGTGCAGATCACGCTTCAAAATTGAGCAGAAATCAAAAATGTCTGAGACAAGCTCACTGCGACACACTGCTGCGGGAGGATAACCAGCCCTTTAGGGCGGACGTTCGGGCGCAGTAAGCTTTTATGAGCTATGAGAACAGCAGCTTTTAGACATAGCATGCACAAGGTGAAATGGGCTTGTGTTTAATAGGCGTTCCCTCTCGGGAGTGGGTACAGGGTTGTGCATTTGTGTTTTTTTTTTTTTTATATAAAGTGGGGAGGGTGGGTCTTTTAAAAAATTTAGGAAAAATCCTCTACAATACTTTTAAGGATTTATAATTAAACTTTTTTCTAATACAAACTGGACGGCTCATATTGGGAAAATAAGTGATGTACAATGAGGTTACGGCGCGTCAGGTAATCTGCCCGTCACCAGTTTTCTAGCCAAGGCGTCGAGAGCAGAGGCACTGACATATACAGCGAAACGTTGCCCTCAGATTCCTGAAGTTCCCCCAACCCAAATAGAGCTTTATGCTGAGCTGGCAGCCAAAGCTCCCTGAAATACCAGAATACAGAGTTTCACTCTTTTTATTTATGCATTCCCCATCAGCACCTACTGACTCATTAAACGGCTTCTGTTGGACACATTACAAAAACCATAACACATTTTATTTCTCTTCATTTTCCTGGACCAAAGTGTACTGTGTGAGACGTCATTGTTATTGTTCTTCTTCTCCATGCAGGTCAGGTTGAAGCTGCAAACCTTTAACATGGGAATCAAACATACGCTGCTTTAAAAAGGGGGATATTTAAACGTTCCTTTGAGCGTAATATCTCTAAATCCTGCAAAGTTTTGGCTCCCCTCCCTCCCCTCCTCTATCCATTGTAGCCCATGCTTCCAAAAGGCTTTAGGTCTACAGAATCGAAACCACAGAAGGAGACAGGTTTTCTTTCTGTTTACCCATCTCTGTGTTGATTTGGGCTTTTTAATGTTAAAGGATACAGAACCAATTTAGGTTTCAGGTAGAAGCCGTAAAACTTGCTAGTATTCAAAGACTTATTGATGCCACACAGTGAAGGGTTCCCATGATTTTAGTAGATAAGTGTTCCACAGCCTCACAGATGTAACAATATGTCCACATATTATCCCTGATTTTAGAACAAATCCACATTTATCTGCAGAAAAGCCTAAATTCAGTCTCCAAAAACCAAAACACAAAGCTCCAATTAAGGTCCCGTTACAGTTTAGCAAACATGTTTACGCTTGTTATGGTAGGACTCCCAAACATCAATATTTTAAAGGTTCTAAAGTTTAGTACAAGGGACTGAATTTAAAAAAAACATCTCAGTAAGTTTATATATTTTCTTTTTCCTACACTAAATCAATCAAATAAAAAATTGTGATTGTTTTAGATTTTGTCTGTAATGAGGAAGCTGCTGTATTTTCCTGTTTGCTTTAATCAATCAAAAAAGTGGAAAAAAGGTGAAATAAGGAGAAGCTTCTGGTTCCCTCACCAGGTGTGGGCTTTGGGCAGGTTGTTGGTGCTGGCGTCGATCTGGTGTATAGTGAAGAGTCGAGGTCCAGCAGCACCTGCAGAGGAAATCACTTTCACTTTAGTTCGTGTTCAGTAATGAGTATCACATGAAAAAAAAAAATAAATAAAAACAGAGAATAAGCAAAACTCTATTGCTAGTTTTTTAAAATTATAATTATATATAATTATATATATTATTTGCACTGTAAAAGCATCATATTTACTTCTGTAAATATCAAAAACTGTCATTTTTTAGCCATTTAGTCAAGTAAACATGTTCAACAGGTAATTCTGCCTTAAAGGAATAGTACACCCAAAACATGATTAGCCTTCATTTTCTACTCACCCCCATGCTGAACAACACTCTGGAGTACTTTTTGATATCTCAAATGCATCTGGAGATCTGGGAGGCTTCTTGCTGTCTGCTGACATTCAAATAATGGAGGTCCATGGTGCCCGAGGCAGAAAGGTCCATAAAAGTCCACAAAAAACGTGTCAATATTCCTCCATACTGCTCTTCCAATGTATTCCAAGTGTCCTGAGTGGGTAGCATCCAGAATTTACTCGAAACGAAGTCATTTAGAATGTTTTTAGAGCATAAACAGTAGTGTATAGGATTTCCTGAAAGCGCGCACATGCGCGCTCCCGACGCTACGGAAGCCGGCAGACCAAACCAGCGCATTCAGCTCGGCAAAGAACTCATGCTCTTCCTCAACACTGAAGTCCTCAGACATTTTTCTTTCGTTGTTTCTTTCTTTGCACAGGTAAACAGCACATTTCTTCTTCTACGCTTGCATTATTGGCAGAGCAGACGCTGAATGCGCACTTTCATCTGGCTTGGTCTGCCGGCTTCCGTAGCGTCATGAACGCGCCGGCGCGCGCTTTCAGGAAATCCTATACACTACTGTTTATGCTCTAAAAACATTCTAAATGACTTCGTTTCGAGTAAATTCTGGATGCTACCCACTCAGGACACTTGGAATACATTGGACGAGCAGTATGGAGGAATATTGACACGTTTTTGTGGACTTTTATGGACCTTTCTGCCTCGGGCACCATAGAGCTCCATTATTTGAATGTCAGCAGACAGCAAGAAGCCTCCCAGATCTCCAGATGCATTTGAGATATCAAAAAAGTACTCCAGAGTGTTGTTCAGCATGGGGGTGAGTAGAAAATGAAGGCTAATCATGTTTTGGGTGTACTATTCCTTTAAGGCAGATTTATTTTTTTTCCCCACCCATTTAACCTTCAAGCTAAAGTTTTAACTAAATACAGTTGATAAGTTTGACTACAAACATGTTTATACGACAGAAATATAAATATTTATGCTGACATTTACATGAAGCAGATTAGATTCTAATTGGGGATCGGAAAAAAGGCAATTAAGTTTTTGAATCCATGGGGGACATTAGGAAAATCTGGCTTCATTGTTTATCTGTTAACAGGTTTAAAAAGAGCTTTTTTTTAGCAAATCAAAAAGCTCAGTAAGTTGCACTGGGAACTACATTCTGTAGCCGCTAATGCTAATGCCCTGTTCTCGTTAGAGAGAAGCAAAAACATAAGAAGCACAGTGTACTGTAGGTGATTCTGTAAAGTTCTTTTTATATTTGCTTAATTTCCATCAACTTAAGTCAAATTAGTTTTAATAAAAGCAGTTTTTTTTTCCTTTTCTGTTGATGTTTGGCCCAAGAAAAGACAGTGAGGGGAGGAGATCAGCTCGTACTCCTCATGTAGACCTGTCTGCTAGGACGGACTCACTGCAGCAGAGTGTTACACCCACACAGAGGGTTCATCTCGGATCAGAGCAACCCACAGACACAGATGGAAAGAAGGAGGCAAACACTCCTGAGAGCACACCCTGATCAGCAGAACCAAGTTCAACAAGTGCTGCACCTTCTCACCTCTGTGTTCCAAACTAACAAACACGCTCTTGTGATTTCAGCCAGTTTTTTCTTTGTATTTTCTCTGTTAAACTATTCCAGCATTCTCAGTCATTATTCAGTCATTTATTTGCTCTGTTCTAATTCCCCTCATGTGTCTTACAGATGTTAAGGAAAAGAGATGTTAATGGCTCCAGATGTTTATGACTATTTGCAGTTTTTTACCTGCTCTGAAATGCTTTGATTCTTATATTCATAATTAATGCTTTTTTTGTTTAACCTGAATTTGCCTTTTTTCTTAGAAATAACAGCACAGTATTTCCCATTTCTGCCTTGAAGCGTAACTCAAAAATGTTTGTTCTTTTCACTTCATTGAATCCTGTGTGTAGTTTTAATTGTTTTAGCCACTGCAAATGAATGTCCCCAATGTGTAACATTTAAAGCATATTAATGTTTCCTTCCTCAGTTAAAGAGATAAATTCAACATAAATTCACAATGAAAAACAACCACATATATATAATATAGATCAACAAAGAGCACCAACTGTCAAACAAGAAATATTTATAGAGAGAGATGGATGGATGGATGCATGGATGGATGGATGATGGATAAATGGATGGATGAATGGTGGATGGATGAATGATGGATAAATGGATGAATGAATGATGGATGGATGATGGATGGATGGATGATGGATAAATGGATGGATGAATGGTGGATGGATGAATGATGGATGGATGGATGATGGATAAATGGATGGATGAATGATGGATGGATGGATGATGGATGGATGGATGATGGATAAATGGATGGATGAATGATGGATGGATGGATGGATGGATGGATGGATGATAGATGGATGGATGGATGGATGAATGATGGATGGATGGATGATGGATAAATGGATGGATGGATGATGGATGGATGGATGATAGATGGATGGATGGATGAATGATGGATGGATGGATGATGGATGGATGGATGAATGATGGATGGATGATGGATAAATGGATGGATGAATGATGGATGGATGGATGGATGGATGAATGGATGATGGATGGATGATAGATGGATGGATGGATGAATGATGGATGGATGGATGGATGATGGATGGATGGATGAATGATGGATGGATGATAGATGGATGGATGGATGAATGATGGATGGATGGATGATGGATAAATGGATGGATGAATGATGGATGGATGGATGATGGATGGATGGATGAATGATGGATGGATGGATGAATGATGGATGGATGATGGATGGATGGATGGATGGATGGATGGATGGATGAATGATGGATGGATGGATGGATGGATGAATGATGGATGGATGGATGGATGAATGATGGATGGATGATGGATGGATGAATGATGGATGGATGGATGAATGGATGAATGATGGATGGATGGATGATGGATGGATGAATGATGGATGGATGGATGGATGGATGAATGGATGAATGATGGATGGATGATGGATAAATGGATGGATGAATGATGGATGGATAGATGGATGAATGATGGATGGATGGATGATGGATAAATGGATGAATGAATGATGGATGGATGGATGATGGATGGATGGATGATGGACGGATGGATGGATGAATGATGGATGGATGATGGATAAATGGATGGATGAATGATGGATGGATGGATGATGGATGGATGGATGATGGATAAATGGATGGATGAATGATGGATGGATGAATGATGGATGGATGAATGATGGATGGATGGATGGATGGATGATAGATGGATGGATGGATGAATGATGGATGGATGGATGATGGATAAATGGATGGATGAATGATGGATGGATGGATGGATGGATGGATGGATGATGGATGGATGGATGATAGATGGATGGATGGATGAATGATGGATGGATGGATGATGGATGGATGGATGGATGAATGATGGATGGATGGATGATGGATGGATGATGGATGGATGGATGATGGATGGATGATAGATGGATGGATGAATGATGGATGGATGGATGATGGATGGATGGATGAATGATGGATGGATGGATGGATGGATGATGGATGGATGATGGATGGATGGATGATGGATGGATGATAGATGGATGGATGAATGATGGATGGATGATGGATGGATGGATGGATGGATGATGGATGGATGGATGAATGATGGATGGATGGATGGATGGATGGATGAATGATTGATGGATGATAGATGGATGGATGGATGAATGATGGATGGATGGATGATGGATGGATGGATGAATGATGGATGATGGATGGATGATGGATGGATGGATGGATGGATGAATGATGGATGGATGGATGGATGAATGATTGATGGATGATAGATGGATGGATGGATGAATGATGGATGGATGGATGATGGATGGATGGATGAATGATGGATGATGGATGGATGGATGAATGATGGATGGATGGATGATGGATAAATGGATGGATGAATGATGGATGGATGGATGATGGATGGATGGATGATGGATGGATGGATGGATGACAATACATTTTTCCTGTTGTTTATTTTCTTTTTCCATCCAGACTCAATCATTCCATACTTCATAGACACCCTGCCTACAGGAGGAAACAGCTCATATTTATATATCTGGGTGAGATGTGCTTTACCTTGAAGAGCCTTAAAACCTTGCAGAGGAACTCTGGAGGAACCTGTGACAAACTGCAACAGCCGGGCTCTGCGCTCTTCATCGAAAGACTCCACAGCCTTCCAGAACCATTTAACGATGTGGGTGTCCGGAGTGCAATGCTTCAGCCGCGTGTTGGACTTCCAGTCGCTGATGTCGATCTTACCCAGCCCGCATACGATCAGCTAGAGGTGGAGAAAGCATTCTGCGTGTTGGATTAAAAGAAGCCAGACGAAGAAAACCACGGCAATGAAAACTAGCATACTTCGAGCTCCTTTTCATCGAAAGCTTTGAGCAGATGTTGAGGGATGACCTCATTGAAGCCCTTCTGCAGGGCCAGGAACTGGGCTTCTATGCCTCGCAGGAAGCGCCAGTTGACGTAGAGGCGGACGTACTCCTTCTTGCTATCCTGTGTGACGGGGATGCTTTTACCGTTGGGCTTCAGCTCATGCTGGATGATTTCTCCGTATGCATTGTGCTCTACACAGAAGGTGTGGTCCAGCACACCTGTAATGTCGTTGTCCCTGGCGGCAGAATTACGTTTAAAATCAAAGTTAAAAGGGCAAACGTGCGAGTAAAAAATGGTTTAGAAGGAGTGTCTCGTACAGGATCCAAACCAAGCTGTTGTGCAGGTCGGGATCGACGGACTCCATGTCTTCCAGGGTGATGGGTTTCCCCAGCAGCTGTTTGTAGAAGGGCAAAGTGAAACCCCCGTCGATGTAGTGGCCATGGAACACAGCCATCCCCATGATGCGGCCTACGAAGTGAAAGTATGACAAATGCTCCTGAAAGGACAAAAAAAGGATGTTAATTTTTATTATCCAACAGGCTGTGCTCTAAACAAAGACGCTTCCTTATTCCGCTTTTCCTGCTGGTTTTGTCACAACCAAGAAACTCACAGGATTTACAGCAGAATCCGGGTTGATCTGCAGCGTGTAGATGTCATCGCGGGAGTACTGGAAGAGGCCGTAGTAAGGGTTCAGCATCTCGTGTGACAGCAGATAGAGCCACTCCCTGCAGAGGACAAAAAGCAGGGATGGTGGAAATGATGGGCTGAGGAATACATTTAGAGTAACATGCAAAAGTTTGCTTTTTTTTTGTCTTTTAACTTCACCTTTTTAAAAACAGTCCAAGAGAATGAATTGGAAGAACTGGGGATGCATTTGCACTTTAAAGCACAACCCTTTGCATATCTTTAGGGGATCACCGCTGCAATTTATCTGTCCATCAACAGCCTAGAAAGGCATATTGTGTCGTATAATAAAGGGATTTGTTGTACTAATGAAAAAGTATGGATAAAATTATATTTCTTAAACAGTGATGTCTTGGTAGATTAAATGATGAAATCAAAAGCTTAAAGGAATAGTACACCCAAAACATGATTAGCCTTCATTTTCTACTCACCCCCATGCTGAACAATACTCTGGAGTACTTTTTTGATATCTCAAATGCATCTGGAGATCTGGGAGGCTTCTTGCTGTCTGCTGACATTCAAATAATGGAGGTCCATAGCGCCCGAGGCAGAAAGGTCCATAAAAGTCCACAAAAAACGTGTCAATATTCCTCCATACTGCTCGTCCAATGTATTCCAAGTGTCCTGAGTGGGTAGCATCCAGAATTTACTCGAAACGAAGTCATTTAGAATGTTTTTAGAGCATAAACAGTAGTGTATAGGATTTCCTGAAAGCGCGCGCCGGCGCGTTCATGACGCTACGGAAGCCGGCAGACCAAGCCAGATGAAAGTGCGCATTCAGCGTCTGCTCTGCCAATAATGCAAGCGTAGAAGAAGAAATGTGCTGTTTACCTTTGCAAAGAAAGAAACAACGAAAGAAAAATGTCTGAGGACTTCAGTGTTGAGGAAGAGCATGAGTTCTTTGCCGAGCTGAATGCGCTGGTTTAGTCTGCCGGCTTCCGTAGCGTCGGGAGCGCGCATGTGCGCGCTTTCAGGAAATCCTATACACTACTGTTTATGCTCTAAAAACATTCTAAATGACTTCGTTTCGAGTAAATTATGGATGCTACCCACTCAGGACACTTGGAATACATCGGAAGAGCAGTATGGAGGAATATTGACACGTTTTTTGTGGACTTTTATGGACCTTTCTGTCTCGGTCACCATAGACCTCCATTATTTGAATGTCAGCAGACAGCAAGAAGCCTCCCAGATCTCCAGATGCATTTGAGATATCAAAAAAGTACTCCAGAGTGTTGTTCAGCATGGGGGTGAGTAGAAAATGAAGGCTAATCATGTTTTGGGTGTACTATTCCTTTAACATGTAGAACTGGAACCAAGTGGAAATGAAATGGTCAACAAAACTAACCTAATTCATGAGAATTTGTCCAACTAGTATCAGTAATTATATTAGAAATCTGAATAATATAAAGGTAAAAGAAGAGAACTTGGAGAACTAAGCTCTATTGGTGGACGTTTGTTTTTGAGATAGAGGTATAGTTAATGATTTAATATCTGCCAACATAACTGTTTGTGTCACTGCTCTCCCTGCTTAGCATATTTTTGTTCCCTGTTATTATGGCGTATTGTTGCCAATGACCTGCTGTCAGAGTTAGTTTGCCGGTCAGTAGAGCCCAACTCATAGAGCAGAGGTCACGGATTAGCGGACCGCGGTCCAGATCCAGACCCACCTGCTGACTAATCCGGACCAAACCTGATTTAAAATGTTTATAAATTACCACATGATGTCTGACGAAAGAGTCTAATTTCACTTGCGCCGCTTCTCCTGTTTGTACGGTAAAGCCCTCCAGAGCGCCCAGGATCAGGCTACACGTGATACAAATTAGCCAATGAGCTGCTGTCAGTCTGGGTTGCTGCTGTTGCTACTTTAAGACACAGCATGCAAACCTGTGGCAAGCCGGGCGATGGGGAAGAAGGAGAAGACGATGAGAAAAAGAAGGCAGAGAAAGTGTGGACTGCTGGAAGAACTGCAGTCAACTGGCGAAAGAAAAGTGAAATGGTGTGCTCAAAGATGACCCTGCACATTTAGAGGATGTTTGGCTCAACTTGCTGCTGTGAAGCAGGATTCTCCACCATGAACATAATCAAAAATAAATATGGATCCAGGCTCAAAATGAGCTCCTTGATATGTGCTTTAGAATGGCTTTGTCTCCATTCAAACCCAGGTTTAAAGCCCTGCAGGGCAGCATAAAGCTCCCATCGTTTATTAAGCCGTAAAAATAAATAAATAAATAACAAACAGTGATTTCAGGTGTTTTATAAAATATGTGAATCAGGAAATTGTCTCTTTACCAAACTGAACGATTCTTTAGAATTTATATGTATTTATTTTATTTAAAAAGTCAATGTATTGATAAATGGATGGTTGTTAAATTCTGTTTAAAGTAACAGATTATAATTAAAAATGTCTCCTTTACTGGTTGATGGTTTTCTTCATTCGGACCCTGCTGATTTTTAATTGGTTAGCCCCGCCATAGGAGGTGAAATTAAAAGCACTCAGAGCAGCTTCAGGCTATAGCCGGCTGTTCGATGGGCCGCTAGCTTGCCAGACTCAAAAGTAGTCTGCTTTCCATATTCTCCACAGCGGGTGTTCTGTGGGCTAGCAGGGATAGTCAGATCCAAAACAGACTCTTCTCTCCTAACTATGGCTTGATTCACACAGTAAATGGGCTCAAAAGCATTAGCAATATAATTTAGGCGCTTCAGTGTCACTTCAGCTTCGTCTTCCATCAAACTGTTTTAAGAGTTTTATGGTTGTGTTGTGTCTCCAGTGTAGCCACTGTATTCAATTGCTAGCTAAATCATTGACCGACCTTGTGACATCACTGTCACTGGAGTACTGCAACATTTCAGTGACCTTGGTAAACAAATTATAAAACAATATTTTGTTTTCTTTTCTATTTATACTTTTCACATTCAGTATATAATTATCGATTAAAGTAAGATACAATCTTGTGAATTAAGTAACGTTGGTTGACTGTTTCATTTTCTCTTTAACAAGAAGTCTTTCCAAATCTGCCTCCTTCAGACTGAGTTAGACCGACCTGAGTTAGACCGATTCACCAGGGGCTAAATACTTTTGGCTGATATTAGCAACGTTTTCTTGTATGGGTATTGGCAGATATACACATGAGTTAGCTGATTCATTAGTGCATTCAGCAGCTATGAGATCAAGTAAAGTGCATGCATTGCCGCTCTCTCCATTTGCTATCCATGTAACACTTATTTTATTTGTTGAAGCATGTTTATTTCATTTCAGCAGGGATAATTTGTAATAGTTGTCATCACTGTGTCATTTATATTATTGGATTCAAAGATCTTCTTTCTCTCATCTGGGTTATTTTTGTTTTTACTACAGTAGTAGCCTTTCAAAATGTTCCCACTTTCCTTGATGGGTCCTTAGCTGGTCCCCTACAACTCCTTTTTAAACCCCAATATTTGTACTAAAATATTCTTTCTGTCATGATTTGTGGACATTAAGATCTAAAGAGAAGCATCATCTCCTGGTCAGACCCTGTAATTCAGGGAAAGGGTGGAGTTAGAATAAAAAAATATGGGGGTCACTCCGGTGGCTGGAAGTTGGACGGGATTTTGCTGGGAGTTGCAGGGAAGTTGGCTGCCATTCGGCTGGTGTTTGACTGGGCAGGGCCATTTTGAATGGCAGCTAATGTAAATACTAATTGGACCATTTTATTATTGATTATTTTTGGTCACCATGTTGTCTGAGAGGAGGAGCAGGCCAGGAAGGATGCTAACAGTTTAATTAACAAGAACATATAAAGCAAAAGGAGAGAGTCCCTATATAGGTTTTGGCAACTGGAAACCAGATCTCTTATGGCTTTCTTGTAGAGGACTGATGAAATCAAAGAGTAGGTCCAGGTTAATCGTATGGATGTAGCAGGTTAATCTGCTGCAACACATTGAGAATGTCCAGAGGTGACCCCTGAACAAAGGTGAAGCTTTAAGGATTCAATTGCAGAGTAAATATAAGCTAATTTTTCATCTTTGTAAAATATGTCATAATGTTCTTAGCTTAACCAAGGCAATAAAATAAACTTGACTTTGTGGTTATATAAAGCTCAGAGGGATATGAACAGTTTTGTGAGCCACTGCATGTGGTGTATGCCTGATGGACACAGCCTATTCAGAGCAATAAATCGGCTATAAAAGGAAAAACAACGGTGAATGTTTTAAATCATAGGCTCCGCTAACCTGGCCACTCCTCCATAGTCGAGGCCTTCTTCACCTCTGAACTTCACCATCAACCGTTTCCATAGGTCCTTAGGCCTCATCTTCATCACCTGCCGATATGATTCCTGCAAAACAGACACACATCATTAAAGTCGCTTAAATATCAAAGGAACACCTCTTTGTGTCTTAGTGAAGAACTAAGAGATGATCAGGGCAAGTCAAGGATTCAACTTTTCTAATCAACCAGACCTACCTCCTTCTGAAATTAAAAGAACAGCTATGACTGTGTGCAAATTCATGACATTTGACTAATTACAGTCACAGCATACACATTTCATTATGCTGCTATAGGCTTGAGCTGCTGGAGGACATAGGGACAACTTCATATCATTCTGCCTCTATTCACCACTTCTGCAGTATTTGTCATTTCAACCCCTTACTATTTTATTCTCATCATAGCAGCTGAGAAATACCAGCATGGCTGCAGCCTTTAACACCTTTGAACAAATACACAGCTATGGGGTCAGCTTTTACCGTGACTAACTGTATGTGCTCTTTTTCATCCTCTTGACATGAAAAACGGCTCAGAGATAATCTTTTTTACCGTTTCTTTCCTAGTCAGAGCCGCTTGAGGAGGTAGTTTACTATTAACTTTTCCGACATCAGTGGTTCTAGGTTTGTTTTTTATGCCTGCTTCTGTGTCTTTGAACCCCTAGCAAGTCTTGGCAGAAGGCTGCCAACACTGAGCCTGGTTCTGCTGGAGGTTTCTTCCTGTTAAAAGGGATTTGTTCCTCTTGACTGTTGCTGCATGCATCCTCAATGTGAGGGATTGCTGTTTAGTCAATGACAAAAGCGAATATCTACTGTCACCACATCGTCAACTAGGGGGAACATGTTCTGCAAGTCAACGATTCCATGCATTATTGTGTTGACTCCACTTTTTACCAATCTGACTGGATGTTGGATTGAAATATGCCTTGAGATTAGATGTTTTGAGTCTGCATTATATAAATAAACTGAATTCAATTAAATTAAAGTATCTATGTATATATATATATATATATATATATATATATATATATATATATATATATATATATATATATATATATATATATATATATATATATATATATATAAACAAAAGGAGCAGTATGCATATGAACAGCTAATTTTATCATTACTAAATTAAAAGGCAGGTTTCAATTCTCCTGCAAAGGTAGAAGCCAACATTTTATGCGTATATTGTTTTATGGCAGAAGAGCTGACTACTCAGGCTTTAGGATGTTCTTTAGCTTGATCAGAATGAAAGCTTTTCAATGTTAAAACTGGATTATGTAAAAAAAAAAAAACACTAGCATAATGCAGAACCTAAAGTCTACACCATTTGAATAAGACGGATCTTCAGAGATGCTAACTAACCCTTTCCTCACACTACACCCATTTATTTCTAGGATGGAGGGAAGGTCAACCCTAATAATCCTTTCTGCAGACCTTATAGTTTGTCGCTTCACTGCAGACAATGAGTGAAACAGGTGTTTTAAGATGCGCTTATTAAAATCAAATGTTTAGATCATCCTTGTTAAAATGTGTCATTGTCAGCTTTCACTGCAAGTAGCTCTGATATGTTAAAAACTTGATCAGGGTGGCCGCTTTCTTGGAGCTGCATGCAAATGAGCGACCGATTCGTGCAACATAGCACGGTACATGTCTCCAAGTCCCTTTTTATCTTGTATGATTGGTGATTTGTCACAGTGTTCAAAGTCCACAACATCACAGCTTCAAGTCTGGGCCTACGGTTGAACATCGTCTTCAATGCTTTGTGCATCACGTTTCAAAATATACAACTCGAAGGCCTTGATTCCCATGTAACTGAGCTTCAAACATCTCTTGCTCAAAATACACAGAGCCTCATACACATCCTCTGGTACTTGGCTTCAGCCATGAAGAAATTTCATGGCTGGAAATCCACATTCTAGTAGAATTTACACTTTTCCCATGTGGTCTAAGGCAAAGCTAGATCTCCTCTGAGGCGAAGATCGCCTTTATTGGCTTTGCTATCAGGGCTGAGTGATGTTACAGCAAGAGCCGTTCTGTAAATTATTATGTGAATAAAAATATAAAGCAAACTTTAGCAAGTATCGTCATATTTGGGAAAAATCACTATCATAAAATCCTATTTACGGTATGAAAGATTGATTTAAGACATTTTAAAACCAATTAAGGCTTTATTTTCATATTTATGAAATAACGGCAATTGTGCAAGAAGCCAGAAAGCTCCAGTTCAGTGTCAACAAGAGTAGTTTTAGATTTTAAACTCTACTCTGAGGCTGAGAGCTCTGCACCTCTGCCAGTGTTCTCCACACATGCAGACAGCTTACAGTGTTAAGTGGGAGGGCTCCTTTTAAGTGGATTAGAGGCATTTATAATAAACACAAGCATAAGACTCTAATAAGACTGCCTCTTCCTCTGCCAGGCTCCGCCATGTCCTCAGGATGGAGCAGACAAACACATGCCTGGGAGAATGTCTTATCTGCTCCATAAAAATAAACTCAGACACAGCTGTGAAAGTCCACCACCAAACAGTTTCCTATAGAGGCATAATTTACTGCCTGAGTTGGTCTGGAGAAGCTATGCAGTTATGTCTCTCTGAACCTTAAGACTTGCTCTACCCCCCCAGCCCCCAACACTCCCACCCTCCCACATGTTGAGATCAGCCAACAAAAATGTCTTCGCTCAGATTAACAGACGCGGCTGTTCCAGCACATTCCAGCGCGTACTTTATGAGGGTCATGCAGTCTGCTGCAGGTGGTGTTGTTCTGGTGAAGGCTCTGCACCTCCTAGATGCAGAGAATGAAAAAAAAAACTCCCAGAAACAACCCTAAAGCTGCCCCCGCTGAGAGAATCCTCCTCGGATTGAGAGGTCTGGTTTGGATTTGGAGCAGCCGTACCGGCGCAGATCATAGATGACGATGAGTGAGGGAAACATTCTCGTAGCCAGACGGCGCAGGGCATCGACCTTTAGTGGAGATTGTAAAAAAAAGAGCAGCAGAGGAGGAACTGAAAATAAGCTTCACTACAAGCAAATCTTTCAGGTGCACTGATAAGATATACCGACTGCTAAATTTAAGAGGGAAAAAAAACAAAAAACGGCAGGATAGCAGGGATTCAGGGAAAAAAAGCTGTTCCCCGTTTATTCCAGGGTTAACTACAATGCATTACTAAAGTATTCACACCCCTGAATTTTTTTTATATTTAACTTTGTCACATTACAACCAGAGACTTTTTTTGGAGTTTATTTGATTTACCAAGGGGAATTAGCATAAAAAATGAAGTGGAAGGACGACAACTGAAAAGCATTTATTAGAAAAACATCCAAGAGCTACAAAGAAGAAACACGTAGTTAAAGCTAGACCAACATTTTCCTGTTTACTCTGGAGACGGGGAAATCTTCCATCATTAGCACGCTGAACGCTTAGTGAAACACGGGGGTGGAAGCATCATGCTTTTCTTCAGCAGACAGGGAAGCTGGTCAAAATTGATAGGAAGATGAATGTAGCAAAATAAACGACAATTCAGTCTATAAAACCTCTTAGAAGAGGCGACAAGCTGGAAAATGAGGAACAGGTTCACCTTCAATTGAGACTATGACCCTAAATATCCATTCAGAGCTGTTCAGAGTTCAGAACAAGGCCTGTCTCTTCTAATGCTACAAACCGTACGCGCTTTTGGCAGCAAAGAAGCTTCAGCTGCTTCATTTCTTATGCTTGTCCACATAAAGGTCAGACGCGTCCAGTAAAGCTGGTAAAAAAGTAGTATTAATATATTTTTAAGCAAGAAAGTAAACCTCAACACATTGTCTTTGCAGTCAGTTAATCAAGATTATGATCCTGCCTTAAAATATTTGTGTTTGGGATTTTTTGTTTGGAGAAACTCCTCTTGAGTCTTCTCCAAACACAAAATCCCAGCACATTTCAGACCAAACAAGACCCTTAGAGAGAGAGAGACTAGTGCATCCTAAGGACAGAACCTCCAAACCTAAGATTATCAGAGTTGTATATGCAGTTAAATGCACTGAGGAATGCTCTGATTTTTATACTGGAGAAACCAAACAACCTCTAGACAGACGCATGGCCCAACACAGACAGACTACCTCCTCCGGGCAAGACTCTGCGGTACGTCTACACCTTAAGAACAAAGGACATTCTTTTGAGGACTAGAATGTTTACATTTTGGACAAAGGAGACAAGTGGTTTTAAAGGGGTGTGAAGGAAGCCATTTATGAGAGAAAAACCAACCTTAAACAGAAGGGGTGGACTCCCAAAAACCTACAATGCAGCGATAGAGTTGATTCCTTCTTACAATCATCTCAACCCTCATCCCCATGCAGGGGACCAAAACATCTTGCCTGGTCAGCCAGGCTAACGATGACCCTAAAGACTCCCTTTTCAGAGGCATAGGCCAGTATTGGGGAGTTCAGGCTAACAAAGACCTCAACGACTCCCCGTTCCTAAGGGGTGGAACTGTTCTTCCGGTTCAATTTGCATGTCTTCTAAGCCAAAACAAGGCTTTGTTTGGGTTACTCTATAAAGCTTGGAACTCAACGCTAATCCAGACATTTTGAATTGAAAAAGCTTCCTGGGTGGGAAGTGAAATGTCTTCGAACTTGGAAAACAAAGTAGTGGTTTTTCTTTCAACTATTTTGGTTTTCCTTCACAACTAAGCTATTCTGTGCTGATTTATCGACAACTGTCCTGTAGTTTTCACATGATTTGAAAAGCCTTAAGGGTATAAATCCTTTTCTAAGGCACTGGATGTAGCGTTCTGTGAATACAGTCCCGGCTTTGTAAGCTTTAGATGGTATGCTGACCTCAAAGATCTCCTCACGGGACACCTCGATCCGACAGTGGCCAGCCTGAGGCTGCTGCTGTGACAGCTCTTGACGCAGGATCTTGAGTTTCTGAACGAGGTCTCTCTTGTACTTGGGGACGGTGAGACACTCTGCCTCTTCTGGGAGCTGGGCGGGGGACACCAGAGCCTGCTGGGCCTGATCCTTCACCTGGTTCTGACGACTGGAAGGCGTCAGAGATGGAAAAGGAAACAAGAGGGACAGAAAGGGACAAGATTAAGGAAGACATGTTGAAGCAGCAGTTTCATTTACAAAACGATATGCTTCCGACAGCCTTTAATAACCTAAAACTCATTTCTAGAAATACATTCTATTGTTTTTACTAATGCATATTGTATGTAACTAGAGAATCAACATGTAACCTCTAACAAGCACTGCTACTTTTAAATAAGAACAGTGGTCTGCATGACATCAAGTTAAGACAAATGTCAGCCAAGATTCACCACTTATTTTAAAATCATTCAAAGGTTTTTGCTTTAAATAGGTAATAAATTCCTTTAACAGTCAAAGCTTGTCTAAAATCTGCTGGATTCCCATGTAATTAAGCCTCAAGGTACTATAATAAATAAATGCCAAAGTATGCATTATTTATAACGACCAGCAGGGGGCAACTAAACCAGACTAAACATGCTTCAGTTTTCAGCCAAACTGGGACCTTTTAAAAAGTCATCTACAGGAGGGAATTTAAAATAAACAAGGAAGTGAAATCTGCTTGTTTATAAGCCAATAGTAATATATGAAGAGTATTAATAAACCCCCCCAGCCCCACCATTAAGGCTTATATTATATCATAACCTGGTTATGAAACTATTAATGTACCAACCAGAAAATCAGTGGTGATTTTTTCAGGTCACTACTGTGTCAAAATATTCCAATTTCTCTGCAAAACCAAAATTTAACAGAACATTTCAAACTCTCTGGATATTCTAAAACAATTTTGCATTTTATTCCCTGCTTTATCAGATAAAGCAGATTATAGAACACCAGCAAAATAATGCAGTTCTAAAGAGAGTTTTATTTTCTAGTTGATTTCTTGGTGCGTTTATAATTGAAAGCAGTTCTATGGCTTAGGAAACAATCTGCTGATAATAATAAAGTAGATGCAGAAGACAATTTTTCAACAGAGAAGACACAGAGAATTGTATGCTGCTCACTGCAGCAACCTGGGAGTTAAACACATTAGCCTCTGATTCATGTCCTGTTAAGCTTATTGACTTACAGACAGCTGCCACTATGTATGCAGCTGTAATTAAATAGAAAAGAAAAAACAACTAACTGGAAGTGGTAACAAATGACCTCCAGACAGAGCACAGTCGTTTAGGAGCTGCTTTAGACTCTAATGAACCCACCAAACCCATCAGACTGCATTCCAATTCACCACAGCACCCTATTCTCTACAGCAAAGCCCCTTATTGGTTTCTGGGGTCTCTACAGCAGAATCTAATCACTTCCTGCTACCCCAGAAAGCCACATGGCCCCATAGGATGCAGGAGCGCTCCTCACAAATCCCTCTATTTCCTACCAACAAGAAGGAGATGGGAGGCAGACAGCACCCAAACACAGCAGACAGCTCAGAGCGCGGGAGCATCTCTCTCCTTCTGCACTTTCACCCTTAAATTAGTCCTCTGATCTCCTCCCAGCTACTTATTAAAGAGCATGCCTGCAATACGTTACCTGAAAGTCCAAAAAAACTCAATTTGATCAATCACAAACATTTCCCTCTGGTGACAAATGCAATTCTGCAGAAACGGATTGGGTTACCTATTGGATGCCGACCTGGACCAGAAAGGGGGCCTGGACTCAGCAAGACAGCAACAGCACAGGGACGTCTTAACCAAAGCCATGCAGGGCTATAAACTGCAACTTTGATGGACATTATATATATCTGACATTTTTGTGGGATGACGGCACAGGAGAGGTGAAAATAGCTATAATCTCCGGCCTGATAAAAGGCAGATGTCTTGACAGAGAACCAGGAGGACCGATATATTTTCCAGATGTTTGTCACAAGCTAGACAGTCCCTTCAAAGTTAGCTCTGAAACTAAACAGAAAACGCAATAGATAATGTTATACAGAGTTAATATAAACAGAAAGAATTGATGCAGACTCCAGTTAAATCTTGTTACGATTTACAAACTCTGGCTAATGTTCCTAATATTGGTGAAAGACATTTCCTCCAGGATGGAACCGAAAAAGAAAAGCTCATGCGTGAAGAAGGAAGCAGAGAAGATACAGAGCTGTATGCTTTCCAGTTCTAGTAGAGATTGCTAATACAGCTTAAGAATCTAATCTCTGATGTATTTCCTACCAAATCTGATCATTTGATTTTTAAGTTTCATAATAAAAATGAAAAATTTTGCTTTCGAAAAAAACATTTCGGTGCTGACCTTATTTCAAATAACTGACCTTTTAATTTAATTCCAAAAGAAATTAAAGCTGTAGAAAGGCTGGAAAAAAATGTTTCACAACGAACGATGAAGATAACCAACTACATTTTTGCATCTATCACACAATCAGCTAGTTTAGCAGTTATTAGAAAACGTCTAAGTAGAAAAAGAGATGAACTGATGCCACCCTGAGCTACGGAAGCCCAAATGTCCATATTTTCTGAAAATTAAACCTCCATAAACAGAAAATTCGATTCATCGATTTCATCAATTAATCAGTCAGCGTTTAGTTATTGTTTATCCACCAAGGAAAGAAAAAAAACTAAATTTTAGCATGAAACGCTTTTTAAAAGATTTATTAAGTCAGAAGTATATAAATTTATACTTCTGACGCATAGCCTCTGCAACTGTCAAATCTGTTTCTGTGCCATGCCCTCCGTGCAGAGGCTCTGCAACCGTCGCCGCGCACCTCAAAAATATCCTGACTACACAAACCCGTGCAGACCTCAAGGGGAAGTGTGTAGACGAAAAGCCGCGTTGATTGGTCCTTGGTATGTCTTTCCGGCTGTCTATGTGGTCGTCCTTCTCGATTCCACTGCAAAAACGATCTAGAAATAACTTAAAATTTCTTAAATTGAGTGTATTCACCCTTAATTTGAGCAGGTAAATGAGATAGTTTGCCAATGGAATGAGTAATTTTATTCTTAAAATAAGATAATTAGATAATATGCACTTGAAATAAGACAATGCAATTGTGTTTTCTTATTTTAAGTGTAAATTGTCTAGTTACAATGGCAAAATGTCTCTTTTACCTCCTTAATTCAAGAACAAATGCACTTATTTGAAGAAAAAATGACTTATTTAGATTTAGATTTTTTGCAGTGTTGGTGCCAGCACTACAAAAACGATCTAGAAATAAGTAAAAATCTCTTAGATTAAGTGTATTTACCCTTAATTTGAGTAGGTAAATGAGATAGTTTGCCAATGGAATGAGTAATTTTACTCTTAAAATAAGATAATTAGATAATATGCACTTGAAATAAGACAATGCAATTGTGGTTTCTTATTTTAAGTGTAAATTGTCTTGTTCTATTGGCAAAATGTCTCCTTTACCTCCTCAATTCAAGAACAAATGCACGTATTTTAAGAAAAAATGACTTATCTAGATTTAGATTTTTTGCAGTGAGGGCGCGCCGTTTTTAGAAACCGAGGAGAAATAACAACAATGGATAACCACGACGAAAGCTTGATCGAGGAGGTTTGGAAGTTCAATCACTTGTACGATGCCTCAAATATGTTGTCTTGGAAAATAAACACTCCCGCCGGCGCCGCCGAAGAAGTTCTCGTGACCATTCGCCAAAGTTCTCGCGACTTCTCGAATAAGCTCTCCCTTCCACTTTGGTGGGAAACTGATGTGCGTCCTTAGAAATTCCAGACCAACATTGCAGAAGCATAGCAGCAAAACTGGTTCGCGACCAGACGCTAGCGACATTTGATGTGTGCGGTTGCAGAAGTATAATCCGCCCTTTAGCCTATGTATGTTTTTTTCTGTGGGTTGCATCTTTTGGCTTTAACAAAAAAGTTGTTAATCAAGAAGCTAGCTCATGGGTGCAGCAAATGTAGAGCGCCTGATCCATATGCAGGAGCCTCGAATTATTTATTTATTCTCTTATTAATTCCTTTATTGAGCAACAGCAATACAAAGACTCGGAAATGATGGGGTGGACCCCCAAACACAAAAAAATGCTCACTTTTTTTCAACACCCACAGTCCCAATGTTTAAGCACAGTGTATAATGAAAGTAAATTAAAATTACAGACTAAAGGACAGAAAGAGAAAGGGAAAAGAAATGAAAGAACAAAAATACTTGTAACCTAAAGTAAAAATAATAGTGAAAAGAAAAAAAAATCTAGAAATCTAAAATGGAAAAATATAAATAAACAACTAAGACTTGTCTCTCTTCTGGTTGGTCACTTTAGCAATCGCAAACCAGAACATCTGCAAACTAGTAACAACAAGGGACAACATGGTGGATGAACGGCAGCTCTGACCGGTGCAGGTTTGTAAATATAAACTTCTAGAGACATCCTTTGATTAGTCCATAAATATCACTATAGCATAAAAGCTGCAGATGCTGCGTTTGCTCATTCTATTTTCTGTTCCATGAGCATAAGAGAGGCTTTAGACCTCGAAGCAGCTGCCAAGTTTAAATCCCAGTCCTGAGACTAATGCTCCAACTAGCAGCCATTTAGCTAATTGATTAAACTGTTGATTCTTTTTTTCAATTAATTGATTGAGAATCGGAAGACAAAAGGTTCCTTAAAGAAGTTTTAACACAGAATCCAAATCAAGTGAAGCTAAAACTGCACCCTTTAAAGACTTCTAGATGGAGCACATCTATGGAGAAAAAGCTTTTTTTAACCTTAAATGGAAAATATTTTTTACAATTTTCGGACATAACTGCTTTAAATAGGTTGCTCATTTGGCTAAATGCATATTTTAGAGTCTCTATAATCAAATTAACGATTAATTGATTATTGACAATTAGTCAAGGATTATTTAAATTAACGATTACTCACAATGAATCCATTAATTACCAGCAGAGACCTATGCTGCCTTCCTTTCTGCATTCTCCTTCTTCCCTTTTTCTTATCTGCTCTCTGTCAAAGTGGTAAAAAAGAAACAACAGCCTCAAACATTTTTAACCACAGGATTAACCTATCTTGCCCCTCCTTCCTTTCTGAAATAAAGCTCCCCCTTAACATCATGCTGCCACTACCATGTTTCTGTGTTGCAGGTTTCTTCTACCACAAAAAGTGTTTCATCAGGCCAGCTTCTGACTCTTTTTACCAAAAAGAGTCAGAAGCTTTGCTGGATTGTTTCAAAACCTTTTTTGTAACCCATCGTTGTTCGGTTCTCAAGATGTTTTCTACTTAGTATTGATCTGGCTGAGTAAAATCCCTATAAAATACATTCAGGTTTTTGATTTATATCACTAAAAAAGTTTGACTAAAGCTCCTCAGAGGAGGAGTCATTGATCCATGCATAGAAGTTTGATCCGACCCACATAAATCTACATGTATAGAAAAAGATCCGGCTCACTGACCGAGCTGGGCGCCCCGTTTCCTGGACGTAAGACGCTCCTAAGCCACAGACGCTCGGCTATCTGATGTGCGGCCAAAGACGGCTTTGACACGGATTTGGTGATTAAAACCTCTGCAGGGCTAAGGAATTTCCGAACCGTCATGAGGAAAGAGAGGATGTGGGAAATTTGTACACCATGTATGGCTTCTCAGTGTGTGTGTATTCCAGCGGGTGATTGGTCAGAGGGACTACGCCGAGCCATGAACCTCTACAGATGGTGAACAGACTTTGGTGAGGCGTCCCAACGTGAAACACAGACTGACGGGGAGCTAAAGTAGCCATGTGTGATGGATGTCTAACCATGTCTGTTCCTGTCTGTGGTTCAAGCATGCAGCCCATTAGTTACCTGACGTTTTGACTCTCGCCGCTTCCTCGGGAACCGTTGGAGCTTGGACTGAAAATAAAAACCAAACAGACCCTTTCATCTTGGGACTCTTTTTACTTTTTTATACAGATATATATATGATCTGTGAGCAATTCAATGAAAGATCTGAGCTCTTACTTTAGGACTAGATGCAGGTTAGCTGAGAGGCGTGGGTCTGTGAACTGCGTGGTTCGGTTGTTGTGGTCGACGAAGTAAACCCTTCCTGTGGCGGTGTTTCGGATCTCCCACCCTGGCGGTAGAGGGCCAAGTTCCTCACAGTTCACATTACTCAGGTCTCTGAGAACCAACACAGAAATAAACAGTTTTAGAACACAGAAACACTTTTAGTTACTAATTAACCAGTGTTTGACTTTGGGTAAGCTGCTGCGTGACCAGCAGGCCCAAAGCAGAGCTGTAAAAACGCTATCCATATTCAGTAGAGGGGAGAAGCCATCGGTCAGTTTTATGAAGTGAGGCGTGTTTTTGGAAAAGCATGTGCAGATATTTTGCATGCCGCATTCTTTTAGAGTACAGTAATCAACAAGATCCGCATGCCTGAGAGCATCTGATGGGGGTCAGCTGAGATCGACTAGGAGTTTTTCAGGGCTTTTGTAGACCGAGTTAACATGATGTGGTCCTTTGCACGGCATAATCAGCTAAACGATAGAGGATATGCTTGCTATGACAGGTAACTCCGGCTCAGGGGGTTGAAAATGTAGAAAGTCCAGACTGGACTGAAAGACAACTTCATGCTTTTTTAAGAGCACTAGGATTTCTGCGTTGCAAAATAGGCAAATATAATCCTGGAATTGGATGCGAGAAAAGATGGAAAAATCAAGGAATTTTGAAACATGTGGATTTGATCAAAGAAATATGGATTTTTCTCCATCCAACAACCAGACTGCAGCTGAAAAATGGTCAATTTGAGTCTTTTGCAACGGGAACAGACTCTGTTGTGAACAGGCCCCTAAAACGACGGAGGTAGTGACCTCGATCAAAGCCTGCTGTGTTTACGGAAGACAATATGGATGCTACAAACGCCGACGCGTGTGTTTGCATCCGACCTGGCTGTATAATCGCTCCGTCAGCAATGTCTGTTTTAATGTTTGTAAACAGCGCCGATGCACATGCGAGCAGAGACTGTCTGCACGGAGAGTGAAGAGACAGAGCTGGAATCCTTCACCTCCAAACCAGCACGCGATTATTAAACAGACCGCCCGTCACTACTTCCACAACGCTACTTTCATCCTTTGCTTATGTTCATTCCAGCATCATCAGTGGGGCAAACACTGGGAGTCTGGTTCTCTTTACAGGATCTCAGACTGACATCAATTTGAAAAGCATTGACCCGTAATACGAAAAAAGAAGAAACCAATCATAGAAAACCTGGTGTTGTTCTCATATCTAGAACGTCATATCTAAGATTTTACTTTTAAATTACATAAGTACGTTTTTTTTTTAGCACGTCCGTTGCTCCCACACGAAGCATCAACGGAGGTCAGTGCTCCACATTGACTTGAAAATTAATTTAACTCTCAATGTACACTTCTGCTTGAGAGATGAATTATCAACAAGTCATATCAAAACAGAGGAAACAAAATGTGAATGTTAGCTTAAAGTACGTTATTTCTGTCTTCAAAGATCCGAAACAGGCAAGAACAGCTTTAACTGAAGACTTTTTTGCTCTATGTGTTGAGTCAGAAATATGAAACACACTGAGTAATAACTACAGTGAGGAAAATAAGTATTTGCAAGTTCTCCCACTTAGAAAGCATGGAGGGGTCTGAATTTGTCATCGTAGGTGCACGTCCACTATGAGAGACATAATCTAAAAAAAAAAATCCAGAAATCACAATGTAGGATTTGTTAAACTATTTATTTCTTTGATACAGCTGCAAATAAGTATTTGAACACCTGAGAAAATCAATGTTAATATTTGGTTCAGTAGACTTTGTCTGCAATTAAAGAGGTCAAACGTTTCCTGTAGTTTTTCACCAGGTTTGCACACACTGCAGGAGGGATTTTGGCCCACTCCTCCACACAGATCTTCTCTAGATTGTTCAGGTTTCTGGGCTGTTGCTGAGAAACACAGAGTTTGAGCTCCCTCCAAAGATGCTATATTGGGTTTAGGACTGGAGACTGGCTAGGGCACTCCAGAACCTTGATATGTTTCTTCCAGAGCCACTCCTTGCTTATCCTAGGTGATTGTAATGTTGGAAGACCCAGCCTCACTGCTCTAACTGAGGTAAGGAGGTTGTTTCCCAAAATCTCTCACTACATGGCCCCGGTCATCCTTTCCTTAATGCAGTGCAGTCGCCCTGTCCCATGTGCAGAAAAACACCCCCAAAGAATGATGCTACCTCCCCCATGCTTCACAGTAGGAATGGTATTATAGGGATGGTTCTCATTATTTTAAAACTAAATACTGCCTTAATAATAAAAAAATGACTTTTTTTCTTCAATAAATGTCAGGTTTTACTGTTATTCAGGGAGATCTACATACGCTTGATTACCAAAACATTTGGCTGTGTTTTCCATTGAAATATCAATCCAGGGTTCCTACAACATAAGGTAAGTAAATTCAACAATTTTTAAGTGTTTTTTTTTACCCTTGTAATAAAACTTTTACAACCAACTTCAAAATAAAGAAACAAAAATTGGTTGCATCAAATTTAAGCTGATGCTTATTTTAACATAAACCAGTACTTTCTGGCACAGTAGAAATTTTTACCATTTTAAAAAACTTTCCATATAGGAAGAAAGCTAAAAACACACTACCGTATTTTCACGACTATAAGGCGCACTTAAACGTCTTTTTTTTCCCTCAAAATGTGCGGTGCGCCCTATGGTGCGGTGCGCCCTATGTGTGTTGTAACTGGACTTTTGAGACCACCTCATTGAGGAGATGATGAAAGAGTGGCTGAATGTAAGGAGACCAGGTGTTTTTTTTCCACCCCTCACCATCGCTGTTAATATGTAACTCCATGCGTGCCCATCTCACAGCTGATGTGAAAAACATGGGGAAACAAATTAACCCTGTGCTCGCTGTTCAACCGCTCGACATCGGTGTGAACCGGACCCAGCAGGTGCAGCAGAAGCAGCCAGTTTACATGCAAAGTCAATGGTTGACGCGCATATAGGTGCAGCAAAAGGTCCTGCAGCGCGTTCTGGTGCAGCACGTCGGGAGCGTTTAAGCATTTGACGCACCGCCAACGCGCTGCTGCTGCTCAGATGGAAAAATTGAAGTTTTGCTGCTGGACGCGCCGCATCAACCAATCAGAGAAGCAGATCTGGGATCTGACAGCGAGACAGTACAGCGCTCTGATGACATAAGATATTAACGCAAATGAAAAAGGCTGGATGAATGAGGAGATGATGAAAGGCAGGTGTATGTGAGGAGACCAGGTGCTTTTTTCCACGCATCACCATCGCTGCGTGCCCATCTCACAGCCGATGTGAAAAAAAGGTGAATCAAATGAACGCTGTGCTCGCCGTTATCCCGGGGGTCTGACAAAGGAACTTCAACCGCTTGACATCGGTGTGGAGCGGCCGTTCACAGTAAGGCTGACAGACTGAGACCACAGTTTCAGGATAAGTGGAAGGCAGCGCCGTGCAAGTTACGCCACCGTTTGCGGATGGATTGTAGATGCTTGGACTACTACGTGTCTGCTGGCTCTGTTGTTCAAGCTTTTGCAAAAGCCGGCATTATTTCTGAGGAGCTGCGCTGCACGGAAAGTGACTCTGACAGCGAAGAAGGGGAAACTGGCATGTCTGATTTAGCGCAGCTGTTTTATTCAGAGGAATGCTGAGGATAACAGAGGATGATGACTTTGATGGGTTTGATTAATACTTTGTAATAAATACATGAATAAAGCACAATCATACTCAGTTTTGCTCCCGCTCTATTTTTCTACCTGAAAGCTTAATTCAACAGCAACCTCTGAGCGCGTCTCCTCCTCTTCAGCGCGGTGGCTGGCAGGTGTTTTTTCATCTAAATAATCTAAATCTTGCAGCTATATTTGCTGTGATCAGTGGGAATAAAGTAGTTTTAATATGTTTTTAAGTGAGAAAGGCCACCTTAAAACTTAATAATTGCAGTCAGTTCATCCAGATTATCTATTTCTGTCGGAGGCGCTCAGACCCCCACATACCAGCGGTGCACCGACAGTAGAAATCCTTTCGTTCACCGCGGCTGCTGGCAGGTGTTTTTCATCTAAATAATTTTAGCTGCAGGCACCAGGATACCGGTAATAAAAGCGAACATATTCCGTCGGCAGGTTTCAGGATTTTAAGTTACCGGTAATTTAGGAGTGACCACAGCGCTGTGTCATCTGCGATGTGTCTGTCTCACGGCCAGCTCCCAGGTTTGATTAATACTTTGTAATAAATACATGAATAAAGCACAGTCATACTCAGTTTTGCCCCCGCTGTATTTTTAAATACGCAGTAGAGGTATTTAAAGGTGGTAGAGGACATGTACCTGTATATAAAAAACGCGCCCTATAGTCCGGTGCGCCTTATGTGTGTGTTAAATACAGAAATGGGACACATAACTGAGAGTGCGCCTTTTAGTCCGGTGCGCCTTATGGTCGTGAAAATACGGTAATAACAGATATATTTTTAACAACTAATGAATTGACTTCACAAACTTTGTTTTGATCTCGACTCAAATCCCATAATAGCTCTGCTTTTATAGCGGGCGAACCACCAACCATTATCTGGAGATTTGCTGCTACTGGTGCATTTTTTGACGTCGGAAATGGCTGTAGAGGCTTTGCAGAGTCAATGGTGGAACAGGACTGAGAAATAGCTGCTGCTTCTCTGTAACTCGATTTTGGAGCTTTGTTTTTCACTCTTCACACGTCCGACTCCAGAGCTTTGATTCCCATCCTGCCGAGCTTGAATGACTTCTTGCTCAAAATTTGCCATTCCTCATATACATTATCTGGTACTGTTTTTAGCCGTGCAGAGAACTTAAAAAACGCTGGATAGCCAATTTTCATTGAATTTACACTTCTTGTCCAGATAAAAAGTTATAGGCGCATCACTCCAAGGTCTGTTTGCAACATCGTTTTTATTGCTTCTGCTGTCAGGATGGAACTAATAAGCCGTTCATTAAATGTAAAAAAAAATGATTTTGAATTATTTTAATTTTTGATATGAATTACAAAAATAAAATCCTATTTATGACTTGGTGGCAATTTTAAGACCTATGAAAGACTGATTTATGGCATTTTAATATCAATTAAGGCCTGATTTTTATATTGAAGAATTCAATGCCTTTTAAAACTTTTTAAGGATCCGCAAGAACCCTGTAAGCACTAAGTAATAAAACAGAATCTCAAATTTCCATAAGGTTATTATATTCTGAAAAGGCTACAGTGCACAGGGTAGGTTGGTATTTTGTGGGAATCTCTAAATGTTGCCAAAGTTGTTTAGTGCTAAATACCCTTTAAGCTCTGTTCAGCAACTTGATTAGCGTCAAAGTCAACAACTAGAAAACCTTCGTCTTACAATAAAAAGCAGTTGTAGGCATAAAGCACCATTTCCTTTGCTTTATGCGGTCACCAAAAACTGACTAGGACCTTCATCTAGAAAATCAGATTTGGACTTTTAATCATCAAAGTTTCCTTATGCATTCATCTGTATTAGTTGTCGGCATACAGCTAAAGGAAACCAGAACAGTGATGGTGACTGTAAATCATACCTGGGTACCCTGGGGTCATGCCAGGTGCTGACACCTGTCTGAGTGTGGAGAAAGTAAACTTGACCCTGCTGCGTCGTCCTTTGCTCTGTGAAAAGACACGCAAGAGAAACCCAACGTAAGACATGATAAAGCTTTTACATTGTTTAAAGTCATTTATATTCCGCGCTCAGGCAGACGGAGCCCGATCCGCCTGCGTTGGAGAGCGATCTGACAGATGGAGATGAAAGTCAGCGGAGGTCCCAGGAGGCAGCCGGGAAGAGCGAGCGGGGAGAGGAGGTGAGAGACGGTGAGGAGGAGAATAGAGACGAGACGTGGGGAGGGGTGGACACCTGAGTGTTCTGATGGCGAGCTCATTCATCACTCCCATTGAGCTTCCTGCCAGAAAGCTGTCCTCTGCCGTTCAGAGCCGTAACCTTCCAAAACCACCTCATGTTAAAAACACAGCGACATCTTTAGGATGTGTAGGAGCAAAGAAATAGGAACTCCGGGTATCGCATACATAACGCTGCTCTTTATTGAGCCGGTGTAATGCTTCTCAGAGCCAAGGATATCTGGCACCAAGCCGTGGATCTGCAGGGTACAGGAAGTACCCTACAGGTCCAGTTACACTTCCCTGTTATTGTTTCCACTGTGCAAAGAGATGATTGCAGTACATTAGTGCTACATCCCTGTGATTTAAAGCGAATTACTTTGTTTAAAGAAAGAGAAAAGATGGATTTCGGATCCAAACCTTGGAAAGCTTACAGGACGGATCTTTGTAAGGGAGTTGAAGTGTGCTTTCTCCTCAGTCTGCCATGTTAATACATTACCAATGAATACGGAGGACAGCATATCTTAAAGAGCAGAGAGTGGAAGAGTCGGATTGATAGGAAATCAAGCGTAGAGACCTTGGGAGCCTCCTAATCCGAAGGAGTGAAGGCAAAGCTGCGTTACAATTCCTTCACCCGGGTCCCAACCCCCACAGAGGATTTTACTGAGGAGAAACAAAACTTCCCTGTGCTTTAAGGAGAGATTGCAGCTTCTCTGTCTGCAATCTCCTACATGAATGCTTCTGATTGTTTTACTGTGGGCTAAAAGAGGAGGGGGGGGTGGACTGAATGGCTGCCGCCAAGCTTATAACAGCTAGATCAGTTCTATTAGATTGATCTAAAACAGAGGCAGAGAACGGCACGATCAGAGAGCTGCTGGGCTGAATGAGGACATAGATCAGCTGAGGGTCGCTGAGGCCACAGAGGAGCTGGCAGAGGCATCCAAAACACCATAAAAATAAATGAAAAGGGCATAAATGTTATCTTTCAGCCATTTGCATTACATACTCCAATCTACATATAAATTTTGTTTGTATTTGTATGCTGTCTGAAACGCTAATCTTGTTATCAACTGACATAAAGGTCCTGGAGGATGAAGTGGATGTGAAAATTGGAAAGTAAAACCTGAGTGAATTAGATTTAGACATCTTACTTTTCCTGTAACGAAGGAAATAAACATAATAAACTGCCCATACAGCAAGAAAGGGAGAAGTTATAGATGTTTAGATTGAAAAAAATCCAGGCTTACTGAGCCATTTTGGCAAAGCTTCATATAATAAAAATTTAGAATTTATTCTTGAAATTTAAAATTAGGAATGCTATTATTTATTTGGTTATGAAAATAGTTTGATTTTTTTCAGCACTCTTTGTTTGCACACTGTAATTAGACACTATATTATATCTACACAAAGCTAAGTGGAAGATGGTTCCTTTAAGACGCATAGACGTGTCTAAATAACCTTTTGTCCAATCAGGGAGCTTCATAGGTTCATAGGTTTTTGGAAAGGATCCAGAATCCAATGAGAAACTAATTTCAGAGGTCTTCATGATTTATGATGGAGAGAATGTTAAACTTTTAGCTAAATAATAAACTAAGCGTTACCATTTTTTGATGGAAAAAACAACAAAGGAAGGCCACCTGCTATAATCAGCGCCCCCTACTGAACGAGATGGGTAGCCCGGTCAGCAAGGACCTGAGGAAGAGCGGCGCTCAGAATGCTTTTTCGTTTTTGAGTTATGGACAGTACTTTGCAGGCAGACCAGGAAAAGGAAAAAGCAATGTCCGCTGTGTTTTCTCTTTTATTATAGCATAAAATGTGCAGTCTTAAAGAAGAAAATACAAATGCAAATTGCTGGGGTACATTTTTTACATTACATATTTGCTGGGGTACATTTTGAAAAATAAATCTCAAATGTCTTTTTCTTTTTTATCTTAATTAAGTAAAAGGATGAGCAGTGTTGAAGAAGAACATTAAAATGCAAACAGGATGATTGATTACTAATTTCATTTATGAGTCAAATAATGCAGCCACATTCTTAAAATGAAAAAGCATTTCTGGAGATTCCTTTTTATTTTAAATATGGTAACGATTTGTTTCCATAGCCATCGTGGCTTTTAAGAGCATCGAGAAATCGGGGGGTTAAGGGTCTTGCTCAGAGAGCCAGATTGGCAGTCTGTGGGAGTGGATTTTGAACTCACAACCTCAGGATTCCAAGCTCTATGCCCTAACCACTATTCCACCATTCCCCATTTTGGAGGACTTTGTTGAGGGAGCTGCTGATGATGAGTTTTGCTTTGGATGATTATTAGCTTATTGTTGCAAAAGCACTAAAGCTCGTTTAAAAGGAGGCGCTCAGGCTTCATATGTTAAGTAGATGCAACTATTCACTACCCTCCTCTGCTTTACATTTATTTGCTATTTTTGTTTTGGTTAAACCTATAGAATAGCCAAATGTGACTGAGCTCAAAGGGTATGAATACTTTTCCATAAAGTGTGTGTGTTCTCCTTCCTACTGACCGTATCCCTCAGGAAGGTCCGGGTGCATGTGCAGGTGGGTTCTGCTCATATAGTTGCGGTGCCTCTGCGATCGGACCCGCCTCTCCTGGGCTCGCTGGTCGCCGTCGCTGGGGGGTAAAGATGTCGTGGGTGTTGCGCCGTTCGTGCTAACGGGGGTGTTCTCGTCTACGATGCAGCTGAGGGGCCGACCGGGGCTGGAATACTCTGATGCAGGCCTGAGGGTCGGCGTGGAAGAGTCGGTTAGCCCATGAAAAGAAGGAGAGGAGTTTAACAGTTAAGGGTTTAAGATTTCGCAGGCGAGGGAAACTGCGATGGTGTGATTCACAAGAAGTGGGCAATAAAAACAGCTGACTGTTTCCAGGGTTTCTTTGGCTTGTCCACATCGTTAAACCTCAGAAGTCTGGAGCAATCTGTCACAGACTTTTCTTTTTTTTCTTCTGCCCAGCCTATTTTCTGAAATCCACTTCAGTTCTAGTCTGGGTTTTTCACTCTGGGGGTCAGAGGTGATGTCTTCCATGGACCTCCTGGTGTTTGATAAAGGAGGTCTGGGTTTCTGTTCTGGGGTTCTCACCTGGTTGGCCTCTCCCACTGCGTGGTGCGTGTGATGTGGTTCAAGTACTGGATTCTTCCAGATGCGGTCCTCCTCTCCTCCCAGCTGGTGGCAGAAACAGACAGAGGTGTGACACCATGCAGCCGTTCTAACCCTCATTTAGTTCTGCAAACATATCTCTTCACTCGTTCTTGTAGCTTACATATGTTGTATATGATTTACAATAGATATTGAAAAACTGAAGAGTCTGCCCCTTTTATACTCACCCATCTGGAAGATCGTTGTCAAACAGCCGACTGCAGTCGACTACCTGACCTCCTGAGCCGATGCGGTCCCTCGACTGCAGGCTCACTTCAGGAACACATGGCAGACAGATGCAAACACCGGCATTACTAGACAGCAGATCATACCCAGGGCAAGGATGCTTGATGAAAGACTGTAAAAGTGCTGAAAGCCTGAGTTCTTTTAGGTCAAACTTAAAAACCTGTTTCTTTAGAGCCGCCTTTGACTGCAGAAGTTTAACTGTAGCTGAGGTATCATTGCTTTAAGGTTGTGGTTCAACTGCTTTATTAGATTTTCTATTTGCTTTTATCTTCACTTGCTTTGATTCTGCTTTCATTTTCCTGCTGTTTTATTGATTAGATGGTTGGTAGGAAGTGAAGGATGAGTGTCTGATACATGAATGGTGGAAATGTGGGAAAACACCTCATGCTAACTGTTAAGTAGGGAGCGCTGTGGGTCTTTTTCTTTTCTAAACAAAAAAAAAACTGGAATGTTTTCAAACAGCTTAAAATTTTTTTTTAAATCTACAGATGTCCACTAAAATTCAATGAAACTTGATTTTCATTTGGCCTCTTAGGCGAATATTTGGCTTAAATGTGGCGAAAATAAAAACAGAATTTGTTCCTCAAAACAGGAAATCATCCTTGATCGCTGCCTTTGGATGATTACAAACGAAATAAAAGAAAACGAAGGCTATGTTTACATTGCAGGTCTTAATGCTCAATTCAGACTTATTGTCAGATCGAATTTTTTCATGTGGCTGTTCACATGACCGGCTCAGATTTACCCCATTTACACTACCCTTGAAAAACCGTGCCGCGACCGGTCCGAGCTCATTAACTGAGATAACTTATCGTGTGTAAATGGAAAGCAAACTAAACTGAACCGAGCTAGACACAACCGAACCGCGCTAACTGCAGACCAGTTCCAGAGGTGGACTTGGCTCGGTTTTTCGCTGGCTCGGTTCTCTAACAACAAGAGCGCATGAGCAGAACGCGTCATCTCCGTCTGGCTGCACATCGCGATTCACACTCCATTCCAGCAGTTGGCGGTAATGCCCCTCCTTGCTTGCAAACCAACACAAAACAGAAAAAGAACAACTATAAACAACAATCGAAAGCCGACTTTCTCAAGTAAATCCACGAAAGGTTGCCGTCTTCGAACCTAAATAAGTACAGCAATAATAATCAAGCATAACTTTCTGAATGTGACGGGCGCCGTCATTTTGATTTGCTTGATTCCCTCCTTCTTCGTCTTCTTCTTGTGTTTAATGGCGGTTGGCAAACAACTTTTGGTGCATTACCGCCACCAACTGCTTGATTTCCTCCTTCAATACTGGCAGTAATACCGCAGATCGTCACTAGGAGGTAGAGACTGACACGGGAGTGGATTTTCACTCCTGTCCCGTCCCACTCCCACAGAAAAAAATGGTGTCCCGTCCCGATCCCGGGCCAGAGTAGAAATCTAAATCCTGTCCCGTCCCACTCCTGGTGAAATTACTCCCACTCCCATCCCGCTCCCATTCAGAATGACTCCCGCTCCCGCGCCACTCCCATTCTTGTTGTTTTTGAGCGCGGGTGAAAAACTTAGAGCGGAAGTTACTATTGGTTTGCTCCCGCTCCCGTCTGCTCCCGTTAATGTTTAATCCTGTACCGTCCCAATCCCGTGATCGTTACTAATACTGACTCCCATCCCACGGGAATCGCACGGGAATCCCGTGACCCGTGGGATTCCCGAAAAAATGTCAGTCTCTACTAGGAGGCGAGGAGTCGAGGAACCGAGATAGTGTGATGAGTAAACTAGGGGTGGGTATTGCAAAAGAAGTCACGATTCAATTCTAATCACGATTCACAGGCCACGATGCGATTCTATCACGATACTTGAATTATTGCGATGCATTGCAATATTTTCTCCTCCATGTTTTGTTTTTAAATGACTCGTCTCAGTATCCCGCGGCCGGAAATGCTTGTGACAAAAGGCAGCGTGTGTCAACACATCCGCAGCAACATCTACTGGACTGGAAGTTGTATTACACTTGTTTTGGGCTGATGTTCGCCAACCATTAATGGCAATTTTATTTATTCATTTTTTTAAATTAATAATCGATACTTAGCGTCAAGAATCGATGCAGTAGATCATGAAAATTAGAATCACGATGCATCATCATGACGATTATTTTGCACACCCCTAGTGTAAACGGTCGTCGGAACCAAGCTCGGCCTGGTTAACTGATCTAAGCTCAGACCGGTCTCGACATGGATCGGTTTTTCAAGGGTAGTGTAAATGGGGTAATTGTCTGACCCGCATGCTTAGAAGAACAATAACATGACGTTAGAAATCAGTGTCTATGGATGAATCTAAAGCTGTTAAGATGTAGAAGAATCCAGATGATGCAGCAGACGATGTGGAAAAGGAAACATCGGAAAGAGAGCTAAACTATTAATTAAAGCTTTAGGAGGGGGAGTGGCAGCGACATCCATAAGAGAAATGTGAGGCTGCAGCATCTTAATCAACTGACCGGCTATGATGTGACCCCTCAACTCTCTTTTGGATCTCTGTATCTGCCTAAATACTTCTTAACTTGAAAATGTTGTTGTCGCTCCACTGTACATCTCCATCTATGCTGTCCTCCATGTTTGTATTATTGTTTTTTTATCCGTGCAGTAATACAGAGCAACATCATCGTCATAGTAACGTGGGTCATTTTGCTGTTCAGACAACAGTCGGATTCTAATAGATCCGAGCTTTATCCGATTTAAAACATCATACAAATGTGGCCCAGATTGGATTTGAAAAAGTCAAATAGCATGCGAGTTGGACTGTTCACACAGTCAGAGCAAGTCTCTACTGAGTTATGTGAGGGGGAAAAGCAAATTGTCTTTGGGCCATATTTATCTGCACTGTGAATGTAGCCTATTTTCCGTCAAAAAGGGGTTAAAAAAGTTGATAAGATATTTTTTTTAAGCTAGATTTTTCCTTCATCTGAATAAAAGTTCCCGGGTAAAAGGCTGTTTTTATTTTGTCTTTACCTGTATAAATTAGAAGGAAATGTATAGAGAAGATGGGGAATTTCCTTTTTTGAACACCAACTACTTACCGACAATCTGCCCCCTGACCGTGTCGCTGTCGTTGGGGCTCAGCTTGTTCAAGTCTAGTCTCTGGTCTGTTTGGGAGAAAAAAACAAGAAGTGCAATGAGTGAAAAACACAATCAGACAGAAAGGAATGAAAATGGAGATGGGGAAAAATAAAAAAGAGGGGAGCACAATTTGGAAAGGAGCTGGAGGAGAAGAAAGGATTTGATGTGAGAAAGATGCATGTAAACCAGCATGTGTTTGGACGCATTCCCCCCGTGCTTGGATGAGTCCCATGGCTGTGTATCGTTTACATCACTAAGAGTCAGCTCCCTTCTCCCTCATTACCCGTCTCTCATTCCTTCTGTCTGCAGACCGCGGCTGGGCTCTGCCAGAGAACAGATGGTCTGCTCTGAGGAACAGCCACGGGCCGTAAAAATCTCACGAGCTCCGTTACAGAGCAGGCTTTAGTTCAAATGCGAGGGGTCAAACGTTTGACAAATTTCAGCACAAAGCGTGCTCTATTCCGCTCAGTCTGAGCAGGGACACCGACTTCTGACAAAGTCTGGAAACTCTTCCTCTGAACTTCTTAAAGTCTGGAATTTCAGAGTGAAGGAGAAAGAGAAAGATACACAGATCCCCCCCCCCCAAAAGGAAAAAAAAATGTCCAAGTTGCCTGCAGACAGTAAAAAAATGCCACTATCTGTTCTCTCTTGTCTGGGTGTCATGCAGATCAGAGCAGGATGTCTGTCTAGACTAAACAGGGACCAAAACAGGCAATGGTCAAATGGTTACAAGGCTGGTGGAAGGTCAGCAGCCGCAAAGAAAGCAGTAAAAACTAAGAAAACAGGTTTAAGGGACCGTACACACACTCTGCTGTGGAAAACCACTCATTCAACCACTGCAAACTTGCATTTTAATGGGAAATACTGTGGCTTTATGTGACGGATCGACACAAAGTATTGCATAATTGATAACTGTGAGGAACAGAATGAAAGACTAAGATGATTTATGAATAAAATGAATAAAAACCAAAGTGTTGTGTGAGCTGGTTTTTAATAGAACCACCTTTTTTTTGGACATTTCTGAGAAATCCTCTTTGCAAAACAGCTTAAGCTCTGTCAGATTGAAAGGCAGCATCTGTAAACATCTGGTAACAGATTGTCGTTTGGATTCACGTCCGGACTTTTAAGAGCTTTAAACACAGTTTTTTAATTTGCCATCCAACTCTTAATCCAATCCAATCTTAATCCACCAAAGCTAAACTGTAGATCTGACAGTGCTTTGGGTCGTTGCCGGGTTACAAGGTAAAATTAATTTCAATTCAATTCAGTTTATTTATATAGCGCCAATTCACAACACATGTCATCTCAAGGCACTTTACAGTTCACCAGATCATCCAGTCAAATTGATTCAAAGTTTTATATCTGAGGCCCCGTCCACACGAAGTCAAACCCTGCCCTAAACGCACAAATTTTTCACCAAACCAGCCCCTCATCCATACGAAGCCGGCGTTTCGGGGGTCTGTAAACGATCTTTTTTTGATTAAGCCTTCAGAGTGGGAAGATTTTGAAACGCCGTTTTCGCGTTTCCATCTTTAAGCTCTAACCGCATTTTTTTTCTTACACGCATGCATCATAGCGTCGCCTCTAAACACGCATGCGCGACACAGTATCACAACAACAATGGCGCCGTACTGTGTTGAATGGTTGCTGCTCATGCTACTCACCCTGCTGTCGGGCTTACAACAGAATCTTCTTCTTCTGGAATATCTCCAGGAAGAACAGAGCAATATCGCCGACATAGTTCATCACCTCAATTTGACTGAACCACGAAAATGGACCCGCAGGGCCATTTTCCGTATTTCTGGTTTGGTTGTTGTATAAATATTACTGCGCATGCCCAACATTTCTTCGCCTATTTTTGCTTTGGCACCACAGCGCCACTTACAGGCCTGGCATACATTTTGCAGCGTTTTCATGCATTCGTGTGGTCGATCACATTTATTTTACGTCTCCATCTTTACGACAAACGTTCTGGAAAATATTAGCGTTTCGTGTTCGTTTTGACTTCGTGTGGACGGGGCCTAAGGAAAACCAGTTGGTTGCATTGACTCAAATGCAATCCTTAGGTAAAACTCTGTTTCAAACAGTTTTCTTCCTGTAGAATTGCAAGCCCACAGCATGATGCTACCGCTACATTTAGCTGAGCTTTAAGATGGAATGGTATCTATAAGGTTATGAGAGACGTTTGGTAGCTTTTGCACTACTGGTTCATTTCCAGGGATCAGTTCAAGTAAGAAAGAAGTAGATTAAATCAGTTAGTAACTCAGTTTGCTCTCACTACGTGTGTTTTAGACGAGCCCAAAAACTACTAAATAAAGTCTGTCTAATCTAGACACCATTTTAAATGTAAATATTTTAAACACCTCATGGGTCAACTGAAAACCAAAAATATAGTTTTACTTTGTTTTTCCTCTCCTTTAAATGCACTATGTGACCCCACACCCCTGCAAAGTGGTATTGTATAGTTCACTGTCATGGTTGGGTTCACAACACTGTGATGAGCACTAGACACTGTTCCAGTGAAACACGTTTTAAAGGTATACTATGCAACCGGTGTTGATTTTCCAGCGAGGCTCCCCCCAGAGGGCGAAAGTAAAAGTGCACTGTCGTAAATATGCTCAGCTGTTCTCCTGGTTTCTCCATCAAGCCAGGCGCGGTTGTTTTGAGCTTAACAGACAGGCGAACTCAACGAATTACCATGTCTACTGCGGTAAGTGACTATTTTGTTCCAATTTTCGAGTTTTAAAATTTAGCATGTTTTCATACATTATTTGTTATGCATGTGTCTAAATAACAAAGATTGTAGTTAGCCTAGTTCTCGCCGTAAAGCAAGTACGACTTTCGCGATGCACGAGACTTCTGAGCCTGTGGGTGCGGGCCGAGGGCTCCTGCAATTGCGGTATTTCCCCTACAGACCAGCAGGGCGGCCGAGAAAACCTTTATTCGACCTGAAATGACTCATTTAATCATCCAAAACGTTATGGAACACATTAATTAATTGAAAAATGTTGCATAGTATGCCTTTAAAGGTTTGGTGTAGAAGCAGCTCATATTTTTCACGATAGAGGATTTTGCATCTAACTCTCCCTGATCAGAGCAACTGGTTAAAACTTTAGGATGTCTGGGCTCTTTTTTTTTTTAAATCCCAAGAAGTCTGATTTAAATGCATATCAAATTATTGACATATTTCTTTGTAATTATATATAATTTCCCATTGTTCTAATAAGGGGGTCTGCAAGCCTTGGTTTTTAAAGTGGCTCTTCACGACATTCGACCAAAATTATAAAGTCCTCCTTATAAAATGTCTGTTTACTAATTCATGTTATATTTGGATTAAAAAGGTCAAAACTAAATATACCAGGAGTTAATTTCCTCATTCAGATCTTTTTTTTCTTTTCTCATCTGGCTACAAACAGCATTTTTCTTTTCCATGACATACGGAACATTTTAATCAGGAACGTTTGACTGTTTTCTCATCAAAGAAATTACATTTTCTATGTTTAAAACCTAAACTTAGATAAAATGTATTCATTTTTAAAACCGTTAATTCAGTGGGTGTTAATAAAAACCAGACAAGATGGAATGAAAAATGTCTTTGGATTGTAGAGGTTGCTGACCACCGATCTAAACTGGACAGAAAAGTGGAACTGTTCACGGTTTGAATACTTTTGTACTAAAATACTTAAGCAGTCATATGGACCAAAAGAAGAACAATAGAATTTATGCAGTTATACATAAATGTTATAGTCGAGCAAAGACACTGCAATTATACACAAACCTTTCAGTCAATGCAAGGTCATTTGTGGAGGGACGGAACGGCAACTGACGGTAAACGCAGGAAAAACAAGAGTGACAAAAAAACCACAACAGAGAAAGAAAACTACAAATCTAAGCTTAAACATAAATAGCTGTACAATTATGTATGTCTGTGCAAAATGACCGGTTGTCTAGATCTGCAGACGGAGATGGAGGTTAGTCACAATGGCATTTCGTTTGTGTGCGGGGGTGTGTGTGTGTGTTTGTGCTCACACACATTCTGCCCCTTCATGGACGGGACTGGAGGGGAAACCAAGGGGCGAAGTATAGGGCAAGTCAAAAAATGCAAAAAGCAAACCACTCGCAGCTGTTGCTCAAAGTTCAGGTTTCCTGTGTCGTTTCAGGAAAACAGTGTCAGGAGTTTCTAGGAAAAGGTTTGGGATTCTTTCCCGGGTTCAGCCAACGGGACCGCAGGCCCTCAGAGCAGGTACCGGCCCACCAGCGCAAAATAACCTCCAGACTGCTGCATTGCAGCTAAATCTGTCCGGGCCTTGCTTTTATAAGAGGACATTTACTGAAGCCTCCGTCTCATTTACCCGGCTCGCCTCTGACATGAGACATTTTTACTGTAATTGCAGGGTGATGCTGAGCGGCTCTTCCTGTTTCTGGCAGAAAACAGAGGGCCGAATGACCCCCCCCTCCCTACACATTGCAGTCAGACCAGCTGAGCAGGTTGGGACTTTAATGCCATTTTCCTTGAATATCCAGTGTGATTGTTTTTAAATCAACAAAGCAAACGTGAAAATAAAAAAAGATGACCAGAAGAATGCAGTGTTAAATGTGGCTTTAAAAAACATATTTTCAGCAGGATTTAAATCTTTTATGGGAGGAGAAAGAGCACCTGATGGCTGCAGAACTTCAGTCTGGTGGGAAAAGGGAACATAATCCACGCCTACGGATCACAAATAAGCACAGCTATTTAACTGCAACGCAAACAATATTAGTGGCAGAGCGAGACTTCTCCTGGAGGATTTCTTTGGCTGATATTTGCTCTGGTTTCTGGTATTGGCGTCTGTGTTGGCCTCATAAGTGTGTTCAGTGACCAGGTCATGAGATCATGTGGATTAAAGCATTGTCACTCCTCTGCATTTTCTATGGAGCTAAATTGGGACCATAAAGTTTATTCAAAACATAGTGTTTAAACTGAAATAAAATCATTTAAAACTCAAGTTATTGGTAAAAATAAAAAAAACTTTTATTTTTTTTTTAATGGCAAAGAATTGAATCTAAAAAAATGTTTTAAAGGTATAGTGGAGGATTTTTTTTGAAAAGCCCCAACCCCCTTTCCACTTAAAAAAAAAAGCACATGCACAACCCTGTACCCGTTCCTACGAGGGAACGCCTATTAAACACGTGTGAGAGCGTGCACGAGGCCATTTCTCTTCAGAAGTCGCTGCTTGCATCACTCATAGAAGCTTACTTTCCAAATATAGATTTCCAATTTTTCCATGATGTCAGACTCACCACCAGTAAGGGAAAATGGGGACGAACACGTAAGATGGGCTTATGTAAACATATCACCAGAATAATTGAAAATTAGGAGGACCACTTATTTTGATGATCGACCTGGTAAAAAAACATCCTCCACTATACCTTTTATACTGATTAGCGATGAGGTTTTTCAATTATATGCAATATTAATTTGGAACTGAATCTGAAACAATTAATCAGATTAATTTTGATGATTGAAATAATCGATTAATAAATTAGTAATCGATTAATCGTTAACTGGAGTACAAAACATGCCTTTAACTGACAAAGCAACCCAGTTAGAGCAGTAATTATAACAAAACAATTAAATTTTTTTTTTTATAATTTTGCATTAAAGATAAAAAAATTTATTTTTGTCTGTCAATATGCTCTTTCCAGAACTCCTCAAGTGGGAAGGTTTTAGTTTCACTTTGTTTCATTTCATAAAAAATCTTTAAGGAGTGTCTGGCTACCCGATTATTAATCGAAAAAATTATCAAGAGATTAATCAATTTGCAAAATAATCATTAGTTGCAGTCCTAGTAATAACGTCAGAATATTGTAATAGTTCTGTAATAAGAGCAAATAGAAGTTTAATTTAATTTTAAAAGCTTCAAATATATAACTTAACACCCCATTTGTTGGGGAAATTTCACTTAAAACACGTCTGATTTACACAGATTACAAATCTCATTTGGTTCCTAGCTAAAACAAACACTGTCAAAAAAAAAGACTTTATTCTAAAGTTACATTCACACGAGATTCGAAAAATCACTGAGAGCAAACATTGAGAGAATATCCATTACTTATAGTGTTCCAATAGGAGGCTGGTTCTGTGCCTGGTAATTAGTACTAATAATGTTCAGCTCATTTATGAGGCTTACAATAATGATCTTCTTTCAGTTGCATCCTTATAAGCTGTATTATAATCTAAAAATCCTCATGATACACTGAAGATGCTTTGCAACATACATGTGATCCAGGAGTAAACGGTATAAGATTCAGTTGTTTCTGCTGTAAGGTTTCTCTAATACTTACAGCCCGTGTCTTTAAGGCGGTTGATGGCGTTAGACAGCAGGCGGACACAGCCCAGGAACCCTGCCCCTTGCTTCTTATGAATCTTCTTGTGATTCCAAACACTGATGGTGATTGAATCCGATTTCCCGATGTACCTGAGGAGAAACAGAGGATAAATAACTCTTTTTTCACAAATCACATTAAGATGAAGATTAATGATCCAAGGACAGCGAGTTGGGAAGTTCCATCATGAATTTCATTCAGGATATCCCCGCCACGCCACTTCCACAAACAACGCTCTGCATCAAGGATGCCAGCTGACACGTCAGGGGACAGGGGAACAATCCAGGAGGAGTGAGTGAGGGTGCATGTGTACATCTGACCCTGAGCATCTCCGTGTGTGACTGAGCAAGAAAAGTTTGAATCTTTAAATCCTTTTTACATTCCTAGCAGCACTGCCCAGGAAAAGCATGACAGGACTGGAGGAAGAGAGATAAAGATCAGTAGTTAAACTCTGTTCAAAGACTCACCTCCTCTGCTTTTCCCACTAAGCTACCCTGAAGATGAGACTGGTGCTAACTTCCCAACTCTTTGGCCTCTTTTTAGGTTTATACTGCAAAAATGACAATATTCATACAGCTGATATCAACTTCCTTCATGGAGCAATCAATCCTGATCCAGATTGTGCATATAAAGGTTATGATGTAAAACTGTGTCGCTATGCCGCAATAAAAGTCATTTAATCGCTGCGCAAATATGGAAACAAAGGCAATAAAAGAAAGGTCAAGCAAACAGAAGAGAAAGGAAATTATCTGAGGCTGCCTTTGTTGGTCAGAAAAGTACCAGACCAACTTAAAGGTTTAGTGGAGGATTTCCTTTTTCCAGGTGGATCCTAAAAATAAGGGGTCCTCTTAATTGTCAATCATTCCTGTGATATGTTTACATAAGGCCGTCCTACGTGCTCGTCCCATTAGCTATCTTTTTCGTAGAAAAAATGTCTACGAAGTGGACCTGAAGAACATTTCCAGGATTAAAGGACTAATGTCTTAGCATGATCTGGAAAAACTAATCCATGCATTTATTTTTAGTCGAATCGATTAGTGCAATGGTGTTTTCACAGGTCTGCCTAAAAAGTGGATCAGACAGCTGCAGCTGATCCAGAACGTTGCTGCCCATGTCCTCACTAAGACTAAGAAAGTAGAGCACATCACCCCGGTTCTAAAGTCCTTACACTGCCTCCCTGTATCTCCGAGAATAGACTTTAAAATACTTCCGTTAGTCTATAAATCTCTGAATGGCTTAGCAACTAAATACATCACAGACTTGCTATCAGTGCATTAACCCTCCAGACCACTCAGGTCTTCTGGTTCCAGCCTGCTCTGCATACCTAGAACCAGAACTAAACATGGAGAAGCAGCATTTAGTTCCTATGCTCAACTTACCTGGAACAAACTTCCAGAAAACGTGCGGAAAGCCTGAGTTCCTTTAAATCAAGACTAAAAACACATTTTTTTAGGATTGCCTTCGACTGTTCTAGTTTTTTATTTTTTATTTTCTTATTGTTTTTAATGTTCTTTTTTGTTTCTGCATTTCTTATTTTATTTTACTTATTAATTTTTTTCCTGCTTGCTTTGATTCAGTTTTATTTTCCTATATTTTAATCATGTAAAGCACTTTGCATTGCCTTTGTACTGAATTGTGCTATACAAATAAATTTGCCTTGCCTTGCCTTGCCTCAGAAGAGAGAAAGGGAGGTTCTTTTGAAAAATTCACAAAAATCCTCCACAATATCTTTAAGGTTAAAGCTTCCGATCAGGCAAGATGGAGTCCTATTTTTCTCATGCAGGAGGTTCATTTGTATTTTAAACTATTAACCCTTAACTCTAATCCAACCAGAATCCCTAGTTTCTAGTTTGTTGGGATTTTTTGTGACATAATAACACAAAGAAGTAGATACCTTCTTGCACAAACCCTCCCAAAGTAAAACTCCAAACATTTCTGGAGGAAAAACTCTTTCAAGTTACAAAAAAAGCACTACTTCTTGTAGAAAATTATAACAATAAAAAGCTCAAATTAAGGAATTAGGTCACATTAACAAAACAAATAGACTCCCATGTCCATTATTTTCCCTCGGCTACTATTGTAGACAAAAACAACATTAATGGATCAACTGTTCTGCCTTTTGGGTCAGTAAAAATACATAAATAAAACACAGGAAGGCAATGCAACTAAATCAAAGAAGCCAAGACACATACTGAAACTGAAAGACACATTTAGATGAAAGTGGCTCTACTTTCTGTTTATGTCTGTCTGCTCCTGGATTTCAGCCCTAATGTGCTCTAATGCATTTCTCCTCATGTGCTAGGCCAGGCCATATCTGAACTTGTTGTGGCACATCTGCTCGGGTGGGCTCACCACCCACCCTCCCCCAGCTTAAAACGAATTGACTGAACGATCTGCAGAAATGCATCCCATGTAATCATCCTGCTGCTTACCGAAAGGGATATGAAACAATGGGGCTGTGAGTAAGACGTCTGGACGTTTTGGGTCGATGCCAAATGCCTGTCTGGGGTGCGATGTGAGCGAGCCTCTCTGTCAGACAGACATGATGGGAGGGACGCAAAGCAAGCAAAAACCCAGTCATTTGGATCACCCTTCATGTTGTCAGACTCACAAGACTGGCGAAGAATTTTTAACTCAGCGGTAGACAGTAAAAACACACACAAGTCCACATGAAAAATTAAAGCATGGCAATAAAGAAAGAAAATATTTTCTGAGCTAGATGCATTGTTTTTAATTAACTTTAAGATATTCCTTTGGCTACAGTGAAAAAACACATGATCAACAAGGCATTATGCAGGAAATAGAAAACCGCCGCAATTAACATTAACAAGTTTTAAACCAGAATCTGAGGCCCCGTCCACACGAAGTCAAAACGAACACGAAACGCTGATATTTTCCAAAACGTTTGCCGTAAAGACGGAGACGTAAAATAAATGTGATCGTCCACACGAATGCATGAAAACGCTGCAAAATGTATGCCAGGCCTGTAAGTGGCGCTGTGGTGCCAAAGCAAAAATAAGCGATGAAATGTTGGGCATGCGCACTAATATTTATACATGGTTGCCCTGCGGGTCCATTTTCGTGGTTAAGTCAAATTCAGGTGCTGAACTATGTCGTCGATATTGCTCTGTTCTTCCTGGAGATATTCCAGAAGAAGAAGATTCTGTTGTAAGCCTGACAGCAGGGTGAGTAGCATTAGCAGCAACGGCGCCATTGTTGTTGTGATACTGTGTCGCGCATGTGTGTTTAGAGGCGACGCTATGACGCATGCGTGTAAAAAAAAAAATGCGGTTAGAGCGTAAAGATGGAAACGCGAATACGGCGTTTCGAAATCTTCCCACTCTGAAGGCTGAATAAAAAAAAGATCGTTTACAGACCCCCGAAACGCCGGCTTCGTGTGGATGAGAGGCTGGTTTGGTGAAAAATTTGTGCGTTTAGGTCAGGGTTCGTCTTCGTGTGGATGGGGCCTGAAAGTACATAGTAGGCTTTAGAGCTTTAAAAGGTATAGAAAGTGGGCTAATTAAAACAACATGACCGTTAACCTAAGAGTAAGGTTTTTGGAGTCTGGGCCACAGTGTTACAAACTGCACCACCAGCAAACATCAGATCCACAAACTTAAATACATTTTTATTGATATTTTAAGAAATCAATACAAAGTTGGTAGAAAATAGTTTACCTGAAAGGAAAATATGTGAGCTTCTCTAAATTCTCCTTAGGTGTGAGCGTGTGCGTGAATGGGTGTTTGTTCTGTGTGTCTCTGTGTTGCCCTGCGATGGACTGGCGACCTGTCCAGGGTGTACCCCGCCACTCACCCGTAGACAGCTGCAGATAGGCACCAGCACCCCTCGCAACCCCATTTGGGATTAAGCGTGTCAGAAAATGGAAGGGTGAAAAATATTTTATTTTCCAAATAAAAAAAAACTCAAAGTTTTGTGGTATAATAGTCTACAACGGAGTATTAAGGCCATAGCCTCGTGAGACCATCTTGATCTCTCGAGCTTTCAAGATTTCACTCGCTAATCAGTCTGGAGACTCTCCGTTGAAGAAAATTTGGAGCCGTTCACCAAATGAACGTCCAATCAGCGTTGGCTTTGAGGCGGGTTGAGGTGTGACGCAACGAGAAGCGCGACAGTTCAGTCTAAAGAACATGGCGGCTTCAGCCGATAAAGCTAGCGTTAGCGTGGCTATCGAGCAAGTTTTATCGGAATTACAGAGTATTTCTTCACTGAAAGAAGAGCAAAACACTGCTCTGGAGGCTTTTCTCAGAGGAAAATATGTTTTTGCTCTTCTCCCGACTGGTTTCGGCAAGAGTAGCCTGGCTGTTAGTACGTCATATGCTTCGTTGACCTGATTGGTTTATTTGGTCCGTCTATCACCAACATAGGCCAATCAGCTAACCAGTATTTTCGCACCTTCCCAAAATTACTTCAACGGAAGGTTTCCAGATGGATATGGGGAGCAAATCCATATGGTGGAGTCAGGTTATTAAGGCCAGGCTAGAGATTTTTTTTCTTCTATTTCGAGAATAAAGTCGTAACATTACGAGATTAAAGTCGTAAAATTACGAGAATAAAGTCGTAACATTTCAAGAATAAAGTCATAAAATTACGAGAATAAAGTCGTAACATTACGAGAATAAAGTCGTAAATATATGAGAATAAAGTCGTAAAATTACGAGTTGAAATCGTAATATTACAAGAATAAAGTCGTAAAATTATGAGAAGAAAGTCGGAACATTAAGAGAATAAAGTAGTAAAATTACGAGAGTAAAGTCGTAACATTTCGAGAATAAAGTCATAAAATTACGAGAATAAAGTCGTAACATTTCGAGAATAAATTCATAAAATTCTCAGAATAAAGTTGTAACATTACGAGAATAAAGTCGTAAATATATGAGAATAAAGTAGTAAAATTACTATTTGAAATCGTAATATTACAAGAATAAAGTCGTATAAATTAAGAGAATAAAGTCATAAAATCACGAGAATAAAGTCGTAAAATTCTGAGAATAAAGTCATAAATTTACACGACTGAAGTCATAAAGTTATGAGAATAAAGTCGTAACATAACGAGAATAAAGTTGTAAAACTACGAGAGTAAAGCCAGATTCACTAATCTAAGCTGTGCTTCTCCGCAGCTCCTCCATGAACAACCAGGTTGCTTCTCCTATTAAAGTTATAGTCCATATCTTTTAAATGTTAAGAATGTGAATTTGACAATAAATTTTACAATAGAGAACAGAAATGATCTATCATAGTTAGTATGTTACTTTTATCCACAGCATTGAATGATTGTGGTTAAAAAATAAAAGTAAAGTTTTTTTTACCCCTAGTCTCTTTGAATCTAGCTTAGACCAGAGGTCTCCAACTGAAGCTCTCCAGATCTATTGGCTTTCAGCTTTTGGGTGCATCGCGGTTCATTTAATTTCTTAAATTCTCATGCATCAGTTTTAAAAAATTAGTTTAAAGACACCATAGAAACTCCTTGTAAAAAATGAATTATTTTTGTAGGCATGACGCCTTGGTTTGGATAAATAACACCAACAACTTAATAACTAACAGTTTAAGTTAGAAAACAGCTCAGTTGGTCACAGGAAAATTACTGGATGAGTGGGTGTGCATAATTTAAGACGCACTGGGCACTTAACACTTCCAGGATTTCTTAATGCGGTATCTAAAGGACTCTTTATTAACCTAATGAGATAAAGGGAAAAATAACAGGAGTGTGGTAAACACTTCAAGCTAATGAGCGCTGGCCCTCCGAGAAATAATATCATTACAAATCATCGAAGCATCTTTGCCGTCTGCAGGCTGACAAATTGGGGAAGCTAGTTTGTGGGCTTTATGTTAATCTTCATCATGTCCTGCGCTGAGTTCAGGAATGAATGTGTGAGAAAAGAAACCAGACCTTCTATCTTTGGCTTGTCCACCACATCCTGGAACAATGCTGAAGGGTCACAGTTCATGGACCAGTTTGCTGCTGGTGACTCGTCAGTGAAACAGCAGGAAGCTGCTGAAATGTCTGGTTGCATTCAGATTTTAAGAAGGAAAAAAGGCTACAGACGGCTTACTAAATGCTCCCACCCTCACCGTACCACCTGAGAATCCATCAGCGAGACACAAGCTTAAACTCTGACAGACTGAAACTGTGGGAATGCATCACTGGCACAGAAAAGTCGCTTTCACATAAACTCCAGTCAAGCGTATCTGCAGACTCATGGGACGAATTAAACACACAGAGCTTCCTGTCGCCGTCTGATCGTCCCTCAGGTGCGCCTGCATCCAGTCAAGCTGTTCCTGTAACGGCTGCGCGGAAAGAGAGACCGAGAGGGTCCCGTTTCCACGGCAACCAAACAAACCAGGACACGTGCTTCCTCCCGTTTGCTGGCCACGACTGACGGTTTGGATAAACACCGGGTGGACGCTGGAAACTTTCACTCTCACGCTCCGTCTGCACTTTTTTCCAGGTTGCTTTCACAGGACAGACCATCTTTGGGGAAAATGCAATCACGGTGCAACAGGACATGCACGTGTTTTAGGCAGTGCGGGAAAATAACATTCTGCTTCTTTAAGTGCTGCTCCAGAGGACATTTTTAGACTCCGTCCTGATGTCATCGTAAAGGATCTACACACTGAGAGGCCAGATGGAAGGAGTGTTTTCATCTGTTACCCATTAGGTCCGGTTACCATCTCAGACACAATAAGGTTAAAGACAGACAGACAGACAAGGTGTGAGGCACAAACCAATGAGGAGACTTTCATCTTTGAAAACAAATGTCAGGAGTGTGATATGAATCAGCCGGGACTCACAGATCATAGTGTTGGTTCCACTTTGGGTCAAGCGTATTCCTCACAGTGTCTGTTGAGTGGCATTGGCCTGAACCATCCACAACGACCTTGGCAAAGGGATCAGGAAGGCCTGAAAAGAGATGAGAGATACCTGTTTTTCACCGTATTTTTTATTTTAAGTGGCATAATAAAACACATCAATATTAACGATGCAACAATACCAGATTTTTCCAACCTTAATGAAACTACAAGCATTGATATTTATATTATATTTGATATTTTACACTGAGTACTGACCAAATAATACATATATGAAAACTCATAATGAAAATTTTGATCATATTTTCTGTTTAGATGCATTTTCTTTTTTTTAAATCCTCTTGATAACTTTGATAAACATAAATCATTTAGTTTTAACCAAGAATGTTTAATTTTAAGGTTTTCGGAGCATCAGAGCTCCACTTACAGACCAGTCTGGATGCTACGCTAACCCGGTAATTTCCACTGATAACATGAAGAAGAGGCTACCAGAGGCTACCAGCTATCACATTAGCTGGTAGCCTCTTCTTCTTCTTCTTTATATGGTTTTCCTCCATCCAGTGTTTGATCCATCATATATTTTACCGTTAACTTTTTTTAAGGTTTAGGTATACATCCTGTGAATTTAGGTGTAGTAGTAGGGGTGAGTATTGGAATGTGTGTTGCGATACGATACGTGTTACTATACTTGGGTCACAGTACGATATAATTACGATTAGGGCTGCAACTAACGATTATTTTGCCAATAGGTAAATCTGTTGATTATTTTCTCTTTTAATGATTGGATAACCAAAGGTTCCTTAAAGAAATTTTTTTACGAAATGAAACCAGGTGAAACTAAAACTTTTCCACTTGAGGAGTTCTGGATAGTGCATATTGACAAACAAAAATGTCTATTTCAATCTTATATGCAAAATGTTTATATATTTTTATACAATTCTGATATAATTACTGTTCTAAGTGGGTCACTCTATCAGCTAAAGGCATATTTTACATTCTCTATTCTCCAATTAACAATTAATCGATTACAAAATTAGTTGATGATTAATTCTATAATTGATTAATCTATCAAAATATTGCAAAATCAATATATTGCGATATTTACCCAGCTCTCAAATGATATGTGTAGATAAAAAAACAAGTGCTGTCTATGTTCATCAGAATCAATACTGTTTGAGTCAGTCAACGTCTTCTACTGTGACTGCCTCAGCTACGGAAAAGTTGCGGCACACAACAAAAGGGCTGCACAGCACTATCTGCCAGTGTCACGATGCAGAGGTAGCCCATTTCCCCCTCACTGTTTTAAATAGAAATGTCTTTATAACATCGACATCAGAAACTGAGAGATTGCTGTTATATCACGATACATTGCCAAATAGATTTTTTCCCACACCTCTAGTTAGTAGATAGTAAATCTTTGAGGAAAATCAGAAAAAAGCGTCCCCTTGAGTCACAACCAGTAGCTGAGTTGTAAAAAAAAACTAAAAAAAGAAGTTGGATGGTGGATTTTTTTTCCAGGAAGCATACATAGCCTAATGAATATATTCTATTGACCTAAAGGAATATGCATGGTATGGTTGTTACATGTCAGGTATACATTGAACTTGACTGAGGCACCTATTAGCAGAACTGCAGTCAGTCCCTGCACTGGCATGGCTATCACTGCCCCTACATAGTTAGGGACTCATTTCCCACTGGGATCAGCTTCATAGTCATGGTAGGACTTAGATTTTACGTTGAAAAATCTTTTGGCAATTAATCTATTAAGATTTGAAACAAAACCTCACAAAAAATTGCAAATGAATATCTGAATCCTTTCAAGTATATTTTTAATCAAATTCAATCAATACATTTAAAACAGCTGAAATAATTTCCAAAAACTGAAAAAAAAAATGCTTACAAATTCAAATACATTAGAATTAGCCTGAAAATGAAATAAGCCTATATAAAATCTCCTTTCAAATATTCATTCATTATTTTATAAGATAGACTTTTTATCAGAAAATCAGTATTGTTTCTATTGGCTAATTTAACATAAGCTCGGCTACATGCTGGCAATGAATGAGTTAAAACTATTATATTAACTAACAGGTCAGTGGAACTATATTTACCATTCATTGGACAACAGTAATTCTGCACGTCACACGAGGGACCTTGCAGTCAGATTTCAACGTTCAATTCATTTATCACCATGGGCCAGACATTTACATCCCATTTGGCAGTTCCTTTAAGATAATAATCTTAACACGCGTCTTAAATTAAAATGCATTTTTCAAACCTTCGATTCTCTCCTCCGGGTTTCATCTGTCGTACCTAGAATTACCTCCCCTGTCGCGTTAGCGCGCATCTCCCTAAACTCCCGTCCATTGATGAGAAAACGGATTGAAATATGAACGACAGGGAAATTTTAAACATATTCTTAATTTTTTTTTTTCTTATACATTGATGCCTCAAAATTGATAGTTTTGTTGGACAGATAAATTTGAATCAATAGGATTTTACTTTTACAGAGAGACATTTCAGTCGATGTGCTACAGTCAGCGTGCGATGAATAAATTCTCTGCTCAGTGGATGCAAATTCCCCATTTTGCGATCAACGCCATTCTAGATCATTTCTGACACTTTATTTGTTAAACTTAGAACCTGGAACCTGCCGAAGATTCCCTCCCATCCTTATTTTCACATTTATTGTCCCAGACATACAACAATAAGAGAGAACAGGTATGATTATGTGGAGAAACTTGCACATTATTTCTAGATCTCGGGAACCTGCCAAAGATTCCCTTCCCTCCTTATTTTTACATTCCCTCAAGTCGTCTTTGCAGCTTCTCCGTGATGCTGTTCAGAACACAGTCACCTGCTCCGCTGGTTGCACCACTGAGGTTGAAAACAAAATCGTGTGTGCCCTCTGGGCCACCGTAATTTGGTCAGGCTACTCATAAGCGCACAGCCTGCCAAATGTTGAAAGGGCAATATTATTGAAATTACTGTGAATCTATAGTAAAAATGTACACATTCAGTGACAAAATGTCACAGGGGATTGTATGGGGGGGATGGTCATTTAAGAAGGGATACCATCCCCCCCTCATCCCCCCTCTACTCGAGTACTGGTCACAATATAATGAATTCCTGAATATGGCATCACACCAGTCATTTAGTATCAGAGAGCTTTTACAGATACAAGTAAAAATACATGGTATCAGGCCTGATGCTGACATCAGCATCACTGCATCCCTAAAACAAACAATATATTTTGGTGTGATTTTATGTGAAAGACCAATAAAGAGCAGCAGGACTTTGTTTAATGAAAAAAACAACAAAAACAAATGCAATGTTTCTATTCATATGACGTGTGATTTACTTTTATATTCTGTTTACCTGATGCGACTCACTGCAATAAGAGCTGCATGCTTGGTGGCATGTATCCAGAAACTCTTTAAATCTACAGTCTTTGCCAACTGATCAAAATCTTTTCTCATTAACAGATCATAAGACCATCCATTTGATGCTCAAAATCTTGATAAAAGCATGTTAGAGTTTGTAACAAAATGTAAAAGAAACGTGTTCATAGGGGTGTGAATCATTTGCAGGCCATTGTATGATACTGATTACAGCCAGTTAGAAGTCTAAAGAATATATATCATTCGTACTTTTTAAAACTAAACATAAAATCTAAGAAGCCCACCATCAAGGAAGGTCATAAGGTCATATAGGAGACTGTCACACTAATGTAGACAGTGGGGCCAATTTTTGACCTCAGTAAACAATAAAATGGCCACTGTGGACAGATGACCATTAGCCTCGTGAGACCATCCTGATCTCGCGAGCTTTCAAGATTTCACTCGCAGATCAGTCTGGAGACTCTCTGTTAAAGAAAATTTGGAGCCGTTCACCAAACAAACGACCAATCAGCGTTGGCTTTGAGGCGGGTTGAGGTGTGACGCAACGAGAAGCGCGACAGTTCAGTCTAAAGAACATGGCGGCTTCAGCCGATTAAACTAGCGTTAGCGTGGCTATCGAGCAAGTTTTATCAGAACTACAGAGTATTTCTTCACTGAAAGAAGAGCAAAACACTGCTCTGGAGGCTTTTCTCAGAGGAAAAGATGTTTTTGCTCTTCTCCTGACTGGTTTTGGCAAGAGTTTGATCTATCAATTGGCTCCTCTTCATTGTTGCTCTGTTACGTCATATGCTTCGTTGATCTGATTGGTTTATTTGGCCCGTCTATCACCAACATAGGCCAATCAGCTAACCAGTATTTTCGCCCCTTCCCAAAATTACTTCTACGGAAGGTTTCCAGATGGATATGCGGAGCAAATCCATCTGGCGGAGTCAGGTTAGATGACCACATAGAGTCCTGATGCTTTTCATCAAGGCAGAGATTTTTGAACAATAAAATAATCATTGGAGCAGCAAGTGCTCAAGCTAACCTTTCAGCTAGAAAATCCCATGGATAGCATGGGGCCATTTTGAGGTTTTTCATCTAACCAATTCTCTTGTGTTTTTTAAACATTATATTCTGCTGCTGTATACAGCGTGGAAGCCAGAGAATATAGAAATCCACAGTTATGTACATGTAACGATCAAAGTATTTCGTAAAAGTTTAAAAAACAATCCACTGGACTTTGTTTCCAAGGTTTGAAGACGTTTAACTTCCCCTCCAGGAAGCTTTCTCAATTCAAAATGTCTGGAATTGAGAAAGCTTCCTGGAGGGGAAGCGAAACGTCTTCAAACCTTGGAAACAAAGTCCAGTGGATTGTTTTTTAAACTTTTACGGAATGACTATGACCTGGATGACTAGGAATCTTCACCAGCACATGATCAAAGTAGAAAATATAAATTTTATGAATGTAGAGAACTGAATATTAATGTGAAAAACATGTGGTTCCGTTTTTATTCCTGCAGCCATAAACATATTGACCCTCTGAGGAAAAAAAATGGAAATCAATCATATTTTCATAATTAGCATCAGGTTAACATGACCAGGAATCTCTGTCGCCTGTACAGAGAAGAAATGACGCTTATCCAGTTATAAAAAAGCTAAATTGAGTGGAGCTGAAAAAGAAGAAAGGGAAGCATGGATCATTTTCTTTATACTGGGTGAACTATACGGCATGTGCACAAAGAAGGTGGCAGAGTTTATATTTTTGTTTCTGCCCTCCTGATAACTTTCAGTGTAAATCTATCCTTCACTCTATAACACCAGAATGGCAGGAATGGGTGGCACAAAAACCACCCAAGAGGGTGGAGGAACTTTATATGCTCTTTCACCATGACAGCCTGCCCCAAACACACCAAAACTCTGCCAACACCCAACAGGAGGGTATTAGGAAATTCAGTCTGCAGCCTGTCCAAAGTGACTAGGCACAGCACCAGCCACATGTTGTTCCAACCTCATAAAAAAAAGGTTTTGTTTTCTGTAGCACAAACGTACTGTACAATGAGAACTGTATAAGAAATTCAACTTTAACTTCTTTAATGTTGAGAATAACAGCTCTTTAGGTGTCACAATTATTATTACTGGTTAAGCTCTTTAGAAAAGAAAATGCCCCAAACTTTTGGCTTTCTTCAGTTATAATTCATGACGTCTGATCACACAGAGACATATTTCTCTGACTGTTCATCTTTCTACAATTTCTATAGACTTTAGGTCTAAGGACGGAGAAGGTCATGCGAGAGCACTGCACTGCAAAAAAAGTAGACCTAAATAAGTTATTTTTTTCTTAAAATAAGTACATTTTTTCTTGAATTGAGGACTTAAGTGAGACGCTTTGCCAATGGAACAAAACCATTTGCATTTAAAATAAAAAAAGAAAACAAGTGTATTGTCTTATTTCAAGGGCATATTATCTAATAATCTTATTATACGAGTAAAAAATCTCATTCCATTGGAAAATCATCTTATTTACCTACTCAAATGAAGGGTAAAGGGTAAGGGTACACTTACTTTTAACCTTTATTTTAACTTTCTTCTAGATCGTTTTTGAAGTGCAAGTCTTAACATGTGAGTAAGATGTATTATAAAAGTATTAGGACAGATTAAAATAAGTAGTGCCTGGCTCTTTTAAATCATATTATTTTGACATTTTTTCAGCCTATAAAGCAGGGGTTCCTAAAGCAAAGTTGGGGGTCGCAAGATGTTTTTTTTTTTTCTTAACCATCGTAATGTGATTCCCTCATGATATCTGAATGTAAGTACATTCAGATATTAAATATTCCCAAATTACATTGTAAAACACACCCTTGAATGATTGGATGTAGAATTGCTATTAAAAATACAATTAAAATGGTTCATAGAATTTCTAAAGGTAGAATGGGAGGCAGATCTTTTAGTTATCAGGCTCCTCTCCTGTGGAACCAACTACCAGTTTTAGTCCATGAGGCAGACACCCTGTCTACTTTTAAGACTAGGCTTAAAACTTTCCTTTTTGATAAAGCTTATAGTTAGAGTGGCTCAGGTTATCCTGAGCTATCTCTATAGTTATGCTGATATAGGTTTAGACTGCTGGAGGACATAGGGACCACTTCTAATCATTCCGCTTCATTCCATCTCTATTCTCCCATTCTGTAGAATTTGTTAGTTCAATCTCTAACATTATGCTCTCTCTGCTCTTTCTCATTATAGCAGCTTCATCTGGACTGTTCCTGTTTGTCTGTGACACCAATATTGAGAGAATTATCAGCTGTGACGCTGCCATCAACACCTTTGTTTAAAGATGTTGGAGCTTGGCTCACTACAGTGTAGTCCTGTTTCTCTGACTGTGACTAAATGGATGTGCTCTCTTCATCCTCTGACATGGAAGCTGGCTCGGAGCGCGTCTGCCTGGCTGTGTGTTTCCTGGATGGGGCCGCCTGTGGAGCTGGTTGACAGTTACCTTTTTGTATTTTGCTTCTCTCTCCTTGAACCTCAGTTGGCCTCAGCAGATGGCCGCTCACACTGAGCCTGGTTCTCCTGGATGTTTCTTCATGTTAAAAGGGAGTTTTTCCTCTCCACTGTCGCAACAAGCATGCTTGGTGTGTGGGATTGCTTTCGAAGCAATGAGTCAATACAATTAGGAGGTTTTCCTTAGATAGAAAACTTCAAACCAATCTGACTGTTTGATCTGGTTGAATTGTCTCTGTAAAGTGCCTTGAGATGACGTGATTTCAATTAGCGATATATAAACAAACTGAATTGAATTGAAATAAATATAATTACCTTTAGTTTGTTTAATAAATAGATATAAATTGATCTAAATATGTGTTTTTAGGGGATTCTTTTTTGGGGCCACTGGCTGAAATGTTTGAGAACCTCTAAAGCATCTATATGCTAGGATTATACTGGCTACAGAGTGAGATTATTTAACAGAAAAAGAAAAATAGCTGGGGTTTATTTTTTATTTTTACACATCTTTACCAGGCGGAGAATCTGTTTATGGCACACTTCAGAATTAAGCAAAAAAAGAAGCAAACAAAAGGGACAAAACAACAGTGTTGGGCAAGCTACTTGTCCAGTGTAGTGAGCTAAGCTATCAGTTACTCAACAATAAATTAAGCTTCACTACACAAAAGCTACCACCTAAAGAATTATAGCAAGCTAAGTTACACTAATGTGTTAAAAGTAGCTTAACTACATCAGAAGCTACTTAATGTTGTACCAACCTAATATCAATTCAAAATGAGTCTGACACACTGGTTAAAACATTTATTAAAGATCAGCCAATGACATATCACAGTGTAAACATTGCTTTATGATCAGCATATTAAAATAAAAACTAAAGTATTTACTAGTAGACAAACTAGTAAACAATCTGCTGTTATTAGAACCAAATGAAAGGTACTGTGTAGTGTTCTACACATGGAGACATGGCGATGAGGTTACATTCAATGGACATCTCTAGGGAAAACAAAACCCTACAAAAGGCATCTTATTTCTTTAGGGTTTCCCTTAGAGAAAACTTCTTCAGACCTCAATTAAACAGTTGATTCAAGTAACAAACAAAACTGTTTACAAAAGAAGGTGAAAAAATAAAGAAGCTAATTAAGAGATACATATATATATATGTCTCACCATATAATTTAATTTCTACCTACATATTTATTCATTGTATTTTTGGAGGCAATTAATTGAATGCTTATTTATTTATTTATTGAGCATTTATTTATTTATGTATTTATTTTATATACGGTAGAGCTGTTCCTCCATAAAAAATCTTATCTGTGCAAAGCCTAAAAACAGATTTATGTAATTATCCTGTCAGGTAAACTAGGCCATGAAAATACAATATCGAAGTTTCACTACTGCTCTCTAATTAGAGTATCTTAGTGGCACATTTGGGAGAATTATCCTGCCATAATGCAAGAGCACATAACTTCAATTAGAGAAAAGAATTTCATCTTCTTGCTCTCAAAACTTAAAATGCTCACACTCAAAACATGCGCTCTCTCTCAAATATTTTCTCTTCTCTCTTAAATCTTTGTTTCTTCTCTCAGATTTAAACAGATATTTTCTATATTATCACAGATATTTTCTCCTCTCGCTTGCCTCCTTCTCTTCGCGCACAAACCGCGCTCTATTACGCTCGCAAACCCGTAGGCTCTGCTTGCGGATTTGTTTTGCTCTCTCTCAGACTCCTGTTGGATCGTTGCCTAGCAACCTTTCCAGCCAATAGAACGACAGACTCGGAAAGGGTGCGCTTGTTTAACCCTACGGAGTGTGCCTGTGCTACTACGCCACTTATAAGAGCGTCAGCTGAAACTGCTATATACAGTAGTTTTGTGGCTGATTGTTGTTTAGAAATAGAAAACCTGGTTTCATTTCTTAGTTTTGCCCTGGATTTTGTAGCGTTTGTGGACGCTACGTCGCTACTTGATCAAAACAATAACGTCGCTACAGGAAAGTTACTTGATAAATAAAGCAGCGACGCTACGGTCAAGCTACTGCAAAATGTAGTTAAACTAATAGCTTCGCTACATGTAGCGGCGCTACTGCCCATCACTGCAAAACAAATCTTTACTTCAGAACACATGGAGAAAAGTATTCACATATGTTTAAATGGCTGCTGCCTCTAGAGCTTCTCCAGTCAGTGGCTGTGGAACCATAGGTGCAGTAAAGATTGTTATCACAGATCCTTCCTCTCAGCACCTTTATAACCATCACTGCCTTTAACAAACCCAGAAAGTGTTTACATCCCTTCAGCTTTGCATGTTTGTTTTTTTCAGTCTAGTAAACAGTATCCCGGTGTTTTAAATGCATTAATGTAAATACACGTTTTGCACATTTCTTTATTGCCCCAAACTCCATTGCACAGTTCTTATACTTGTTTGAAAAAAAGCCATCTGTTCTACATGTACAATATTCTTCCCTTACTGTACAGTCTATTATTCTTATTTTCTAGATTGTTTTACCTTTGTGTGAATCTGCATGCTTCCATTTGCCTTTCACTTTGCTGCTGGTAATCCGGAATTTCCCCACTGTGGGACAATAAAGGACATTTCTATTCTATGTGTAGAACCTTGAGAGCTTCTAATGTCTACAGCAGACACTTCACCAGTCTTACATATCCTTAGAATCAACAGGACCTTACAGTGTCTGTTATAAATTTCCACAAGTCTTAAAGGGGAACACCTTGAACAGATTAATAAAACAAAAAATGTACAAATGGAAATTTCAAAGAAACGAAAAAGTCGGTTACTTACGGAAGAAGTCTTTCTTTGCCAGGTTTTTGGCACACAGGACTAGAAAAGAAAAGAAAAAGTAAATCGTTAGGTTCCAGCAAACTACAAAAAGAATGAAAGGGTTTATATTCTTGCTTTGCAGGGTAAAACTGTAATTTAAGGAGCTTTATGAGTTAATGGTTATTTTGCTGCAACTAACAGTTTTTTTTCCTTCCAATGGAACAATGAAAAGTTAAACAAAAAAAAAAACTGTCTCCATCATAAGCAGCTCGCCTGCAGGAAAGTTTGATCCTGATGCTCCACTGTAAGCAGCGTGGAAGGCGTTGCTTAGGTGACAAAGAACAGCTACTGACATCCACTGGTGTAAAGTAAGGATTGATGAGGAAGCTTTTAAACCACCTGGGTGTCTGCAGCTCAGAGTTACAGCCAGTGAGTCAGGCACATGGAAACTGTTTTCCTCTAGTAAAGGAGCTAAGTGGTTCGGATTATCAGTGCGTCTGGATCTCTGGGTTAAAAAAAAAGGAAAGAAAAAAAAAGAGATGATGCATTCTGAAAGTATCAGGAAAAGGCTTAAAGGGGTCAATGTGTGGTTTTCTTTCATCATATTCCTTTTGAAATTGTTTGAAGACCATTTCGCCGCAGCAGAGGAATTGACTGAGTTGTAACATCTGCTCGGCGGCAACGCTTGAAACTGCAGCTGGAGTGACTCAAAGGCAAGAGCAGAGGGAGGTTCAACAATAAAGACCTCATCGCTGGCATTTCACCCCTTTTCTCCTCTGTAAAGTCTCCATGATGCCCGGCGAATGTTGCTGCTGCTCTGACTTCTATGCTGCATAAACCTGTTCTCACGCCACAGCTGGTGTTGGCAGTAATAACGTTTGATTATTTATAGTCCACACCTCTTTGAAACCTGCTCTGCTTTTCATCACCTGGGCTAACTGTAGAGGTACGACAGCCTGTGCACCAATATTTTGGTACAAAATATTATTAGTGATGAATCATCCAAATGAACGACAATATACACTTCCTTGAAAATTACACCATGTGTCGCGTTTCGATGACAACCTGCGAGGTATTGGACTGTTATGTACCAATGCAAAGCATTATGCAGCAAGTGACTTTAAAAAAATCCCCAAACTGCAAACTGAATTGAGTCCTCATGTGGGATCTCAGCATAAGTTTAGCCGTAGTCTGGAAGCTTTTTTAGACAAATTTAGTGCACAAACAACAGCATGAAGTAGGGATATCCTTACCAATATTAGGCCCGTTTTTCCTCTAGCTCCAAAATGGTGCTCAAAAGCCCCTTTTCCGTTTTCACTCCAACTTCTGCGGCTTTAAATTCCTGTGGCTTCGTTCCCACTAAAGATCAAGTACTTTCTAGGTTTTTGAGGGGTGGTTTATATAGAGCTGCAGTGCTTTATTCCACCAGAAGTGGCAGTAACCCGTGAAGGTGAGTGTACAAATGTTGCTTGTTATGGAATACGTTTCAAGAGGTTTTTAACCGAGAATGTACACCTCAATACATCTACCTCAATACATCTACCTATAGAGCCAGTTTGCCCAGGAATGGCTTACTGTCAAATCAGTGTTGACCAGTTAGAGCCCTGGGTTAAGAAGAATTATCTCCACCTAACTGCAACCCTAACGTTGGTCAGTCAATCGGTCATTATCTGTATTAAAATGTAATTTAAACAATGTTTTTAGCAGGCAAGTACACCTCAAAACTTCCTCTGTCTAGTCAGCTCATCATTATTAAGTTTGGATTGTTTAGGTGAGAGCAGAACAAACACCAGAGGCTACAGACACACAGCGTGCCCTATTTATAAACTTAAAGTATTTTAAGGAAATTGTTACCAAAGGTGCGCCTCATGCAAAGGAACAATTCATTACAATTTGGTAATGCTCCAGATCAGGCTTTTACCTAGAAATATTTCATAGGGTGTACACCATGGTGTATCACATCTTTAGGTGCAACAACATTTGACCGAAGTTTCCAGGGGAAAATTAGGGCATACCAAAGTTGTACATCCCAAAAACAGGGCGTACAATTTATATTTTTTTTTAGTAAAGGGTGTGCAATGTATGCCCGTATGCATTGCTAGCTAAAAGCCTGATCCAAACCATGCACAAATTTCAGGTAAAGGTGTAAGTAACTAGCTTAGTAAACAAGCCCCACCAGCCAGCGGCCAAAATCCTTTTTGCCTGCGAGTGGTCCAGCCTTGATCAATGCCCCAGGCCCTAGAACTGGCGGGCCATCACAACGCAGAGATATGTTTTGTAAGCTGCGCGACGCTGGAGAAAGCACAACAAGGAAGATGGCAACAACTATTGAACAGTTCTCATTTGACTCAGCTCTGGAATCAGGTTAGGAAGGATTAGACTTGGGGTTTTCACTGAAACGTGAGCAGGAAGAGGCTCTACGACATATTTGCCGACACCCTGTTTGTTTACACTCCTCCACCAGCCTTCTGTCGCACTTACTCCGTCAAAGCAGTTGTGCTCAATGGTCAGAGCGTTGGCCAATATGCACAGACATGGTTTAATAAACAACGGGTTGTTCTCATCAACAATCTTCCGATGTCTCATTTATCGGGGCCAGACTAAATTACACATTTAATCTCACATTTAGTCTGGATTATAAGGCTAGTAAGTCACAATTTGAAGCAAAATTTGCTGCTTTGTGGAGGTCTATGCTCTCAGAGTGTTTTTCTAGTTAAATATGTTCTTAGAGTGGTTCTACAAGGAGACTCCCCAGATTAATAAGTGTAGAATTCAAATTGAACTGTATGTATCCTCTGGTTTGCCAGGTTAGTAAAAACTGTGCCAGAATATAAAATGTAATGTTTCGCCTGAAAGTTTGGAGATTTTTCATTGTAGAGAGAAGAAATATACATGCTCCGTAAACTAGCTTTGAATGTAAACCCAATTTAGTGGAGTGCAACCAATTGTATACATGTACAAATAAATTTTTTTTTTCATGAAACTATGCTGACAACGCTGAAAGAGAGATCCCGAGTTGGATGCTGTCCATTGGGTTGTGCAAATCCTTCAATCAATAAATTCACTGTTTAAAGCTACTTGATATAAATATGTTTATGTATATGGACTTTAATAAATCACAGTTTAACTAAAATGTTTTCCGTTTGTGTTTTAAATATTTAAAATTTACATGTATATTGAAATAAAAGAATGCAAATGCAACACTGGCCAGATGCAGGTTGATATGTTTCTTTTTTTTTGTCTTAAATAAACTTTTTAAGCTTAGACTTTCTAAGGTTAGACCTCTACACTTGGTTCACAAAATTACCAATAAAGGAGGTGGTTACACCTGAGGAGCAACAGTAATTGGTTTAACTGGTTTTAAGTGTACTCAGGAACCAGAAGGGTCATAGAAAATGGAGAGGGTACAGAAGAGAGGGTAAAGTAAAAAGAAAATGCAACCACAAAGAAAGATTTGAAACGCAAGTAAAAAAGAAAATGGAATAAGGAATTAGCTTTTTGAAGCTGTGACAAAGAAAGGTATTTATAATCAGATTTTTGAATAGTCGCCAAGGCTTCAAGGGAAATGGGAAAGCACTCCGAATTACCTACGAGTCTATAACCTGGGTAATACAAATCCTGAGTCTTTAAATTTCAGGGTTTTCAGTGGAAAAGGGAATAAATACAGCAGCCTATTAATACATGATATACACTATAAAACAAAGACAGGCCACAAGAGGAAAAAGAAGCAAAGTGGAAGGAGCAGGCCAGTGGTTGGACAATCTGCCTAAGGAGGAGCTACAACCATGTCCAAGAAGACAACATTGGCCTGAAAAATCAACATACAGCAATTTAAAAAAAATAAATAAATCAGGAGCAGATGTATATGATTGACTCAACCAGTGGCGGCCGGCCCATAGGGGGCGCTGGGGCACCGCCCTCCCTGATAAGAAGAGAGAAACGTAAAATATATTTTTAGAAATTAACTCATAAATGTCATTTTTACTCTCTAGAGTGTGTACCTATAAGCAAAACAAATTTTGGGGTGTGTACGTGTTTATGCTACGGGGACTTGTCATCTTCTGTCTGGCGGCGTCTTTGCTGGGTTAAAACCCGAGGCAACGCTCAGTAAGCGGATAAAACGACACAGTTGTTGGAATGCGGAAGTGACGTCACCAACACTTGACTCGCTAAATGTTTGTCAGATTATATATTTTTTATTATTTTATGTTTAAAAGTTTGGTGTAATTGAATAAGTCAATGAATCTGTGTAAAGGAGTTAAGTTGTAAAAATGATTTGTTTTTGTACATCAATTGTTTGTGGAGGTAATATATGGACAAAACTGATTAATGAGAAGAAATCAGAAATAAGAGAGCCTGAGGGGAGGGGCTTAAACTATTTAATGAGGGCTGTGGGAAGAAGAGCGGCCATTTTTGTTTTCTGTTTCTTTGTTACATTGCTGGTAACTGGAGGGAGGCTGAGGCCCAGAGTATCTTGTACATGTTTAGTTTCTTTTGCACCCTGTTTTGGGTTTTTGAGCTCAATAAATCACCAACACCGGTAACCCGACTGAGACTGGATTCATGGAGGCCAAAGAACCTCGTCACAGTGACCCAAATCATCACTGTTACTGTTATTATATAGTAAATTAAATCATTACTGTTAAAGTGTATTTAATTTCCAATTGTTTATTTGAATCCTTATTCTGGATTAGTTGGAGACATACACTGGGCTATATCAGCCCCACCAAAAATATTTTTCACCAGCCGCCACTGGACTCAACCAATATGAAAACAACCTGTATAGGCTTTAAAACACCAGAATTGGTCAATCTCTACAAGGAACTACTTCCCTAAATCCTATATTTTGCACTACTTTGTGCCTGTCTATCTATAAAACATAATAAACTACAATTAAGTTTGGAGATTCCACGCAAGAAACTGAAAATCATCAAGAGAAATTAATGATTTTACAACCTATTAAACCAGAGTTTATAAATAACAGAGATATGAAGTCTTCCTTCTAAATCTGGCTTGTCAGGTGGAAATCCTTCAGCTTTACAAACATGAATGCATAAAGC